CCGCATATCCTCATCCCGGAACGATAGCCCCTGCTTGTCTATTTGTCCTTTTTGCTCTTGTCCGTCCCCGCTCGGCGTTGGACCCAAGAAACGCGATTGTGCCACGTCTCTCTTTTGGTCTCGTTCTCCATACAAGAAAGACGCGTTCCCGCCGGGTCGAGGACGCGAGAGACGGGCGCTTCCCCCCACCCCTCGTCTTCTCCAGTCGGTCGAGTCGTGAACGTGTATGCCTCGGTCTCCTTCCTCGTCGACAATCCTCGGCCGTTCACCGTTGGCACTGTGTTTCGAAGACGATACGCTGTGCATCACAGATGCAAAGGAAACACCTCCCGGTTGCCCTTGTCTTGTATGCCGTCAACAGCCACGATCGTGGACAAGGTACCCTGCTGTCAACTGCTTGAGGCCATACGGTTGGCGCACCCTTGTGGACGGTCTGTACCGCCACCTACACTCACTGAACGTTGACAGGTCTTGTGCGTTTGCTACACCCTGTGATTCTGAGATACAGAAACCACTCGACGTACCGAATTCCCGGAACGCAAGCGAGCAAAACCCACGCCCAGACACGGGACGGATACAAATAGGGCTGTTCGATTGTGAGCGTGTGTCCCGGCGGTTAATTCCGTTTCCCGTCATTCGAGACGAACTCCTGCCAATGGAGCAAATTGAATCGAACTGCGAACGAGGCTGCAAATGGGCAGCCAACAGGATGGTTTACCGGGAAAATGCATGCGGTACATCGGAACGCAAAGCATCGACCGATTATGACACATCCATCCGAGCTGTGGTGGCTACAAGACAGTTTTTGTTCCATCGCGGCGATTTGCAGTTCTGTGATCGAGACCAATTGAGTACAATTGGTGCATGTCCCAGTGACGACTGACCAAGCAGCCGTCTTGAACGAGCTGTCAGGACGCGGGCATTGCAGAGGCACAAAAGGCCCATTGCTAACCAATGTTGGTGAGGGGAAAGGCGCGAGCTAAACCCCAGCTGCGGTGCATCTGCGGTCCGGTCGATCCACCCCGCGATGACGAGTTTCGGTTGCTTTGTCAGGCAACTTTTGTAGTGAAAACTTGCGAAGGGACGGTGCAACTGGCTACCACAACAGACTGCAGGGCTTCCCAGGACGAAAGTTTTCTACCGATTTACAGGTTGTATATTTCGACGATTCCACACAATCGACTCGCTACCAAAGCCAGCTCCCTTTGGCAACGACACAAAACGACACGATGACGACATACATGCGCGCAGTTGGTGAGTTGCGCTTGCTGTGGAGGGCGCCGTCTACAAAGCGATGCAAGAACAGGCTCTAACCGCAAGGAATCGGTTTCGGCCGCAAACAGACGTCAAGGGCGGTGCCGGCCATGCGGACGCTCTGTTCATCAACGACAAGACGCCGAAGCCGACGGCCGGGGACGGCGAGGCCGTTGTCAAGGTCAAGGCGTTCGGGCTGAACCGCATGGACCTCTTGCAGCGCGAGGGCAAGTACCCGCTGGGCCCGCACATCCCCAAGACCATGGGCGTCGAGTTCAGCGGCGTCATCGAATCCCTGGGCACGCATCACAGCACGAGTGCCCCGACGGGCGACGCCAGCGGCGCCTTCAAGGTCGGCGACGAAGTCTTTGGCCTCGCCTACGGCGGCGCCTATGCCGAGTACCTCGCCAGCTCGGTGCGCATGTTGGTGCACAAGCCGGCCTACCTGTCGTGGGAGCAGGCCGCCGCCATCCCCGAGAACTGGATCACGGCGCTGCAGGCGCTGCACGAGGTCGGCGGCTTTCGCGGCGACCTGGGCCAGACGGCGCTGTGGCATGCCGGCGCGTCCGGTGTCAGCATTGCGGGTATCCAGCTGTCGAAGCTGGCGGGCGCGTCGGCCGTGTACGCGACGGCGGGCACGGACGACAAGTGCGCGTTCCTGGTCCGGGCGCTCGGCGCCAAGGCGGCGTTCAACTACAAGACGCACAACTGGGCCGACGAGGTGCTGGCGGCCACCGACAACAAGGGCGTCGACTTTATTGTCGACTACATTGGCGCCGACTACTTCCAGAAAAACCTGGATGCCGCCGCGCTCGACGCACACATTGTGTTGCTGGCGCTGATGAGCGGCGCGCAGCTGCCGGCCGACGTCAACATCAGCAACATCCTGCGCAAGCGGCTGCGCATCGAGGGCAGCGGCCTGCGCAGCCGCGCGCCCGACTACCAGGGCCGGCTGCGGGACCGGCTGGTGACGGTGCTGCCGCACTTTGAGGCCGGCAAACTCAAGCTGTACCTGGACAAGGTGCTGCCTTGGGAGCAGATCCGCGAGGCGCACGAGTACATGGAGAAGAATGTGTCCATGGGCAAGATTGTTTGCACAATCAACTGAGGTGTTGTCGCTGTGCCATTGCATTTGATAATTGTCTGTGGACGAGGAAATTGGCATGTAACGTGAAAGACCCAGGCCCTTGACCCGAAGAAGCGCGTGACAAAATACAGAAGAGAAAAGAAAAAAGACTGTTGAAAAACCCAGAAGCACTCGAGAAAATACCACCCCAAACGCCACTGCTGCCATTGTCCATAATACGTCGTGTGAACGTCCACCATACTGTCCCTAGTGGGCATTGAGCCACTTGAGCATCTGCTCAAAGGCAACGGCCTGTGCCTCCTTGATGGATGCGTCCGCGTAGTCGCCCACCACTGCGAAACCGTGCGGCACGCCGGGGTAGACTTGCACTTCGTGCTCCACATTGTTCTGCGATAGGTAGTCCTCGCCCGCCGTCCGCACGGCGTCCGGGAACATCGGGTCGCTCTCCACGCACACCATGCTGATCGGCGCCTGCAAGCCCTTGAAGTCGTCGGGCGACACCAGCGTCGCGTGGGCCAGCACGCCCGCCTTGATCAGGGGGCCAGGGCGCTGGAGGAGGCCTTCCTCGAGGGCCGCGACGTCGACGTCGGCGTTGGGGTCGGCCGCGCCTGATGTGGTCGCCGGGGCTGTTCTCGTCCCCTGCGCGGGGGCGGCACCAGAAGGCTTGGCTGTCGGGCCCTCTGCATCGTACTGGCTGGCCTTGTCGCCGGCCAGCAGCAGCACGTACCGCCCGCCAAAGCAGTACCCGACCGCATACACCCCGTCGCCGCGCGCCACCGCATCGGCAAACTCGTCCCGCGCCGCGCGCAGCACCCGGTGCAGCAGCGGCAGCACCTTGGCCTCGGTGTGGCGCGCCAGCCACATGTCAATCATGAAGCTCTTGACCGTCTCGGCGGCCTTGGTCTTGAAGAGGTCGAGGAACGACCCGCCCGCCGCCGTGCTCTCCTGGCTGCGCACCTCCTCCTCGACGGCCGCCGAGTTGGGCGCCACATCGCCGCCAAAGAGGTCCGGCATGACCACCACAAAGCCCTCGTCGGCGTAGAGGTCGGCCTGGATCTGGTTGTTCGTGGACGGCAGGCCGGTGCCGCCCGTGAGCAACAGAAGGAGCCGCGCGGGCGCGTGGGGGTAGCCGCTGGGTTTGACGACGTAGGTGTCGACGTCGCCGAGCTTGCGGATCTCGCCCGCAGGGACACGGCCGTTGGCTAACGAAGAAGGCGAGGAGGTCAGCAAGGAACCAGACACGACCGTTGGGACGTGGACAACATACGGGTTGGGCGGTCGGTCACGCAGTCGTCGCAGAGCTTGGGGCCAGCTGCAGCCTCATCGGCGGCCGGTTGGCTGGCACCGGACGCTGTCGCGGCCGATGATGGCACAGCCGGGGCAGCCTCCTCGGCCGCATCGCTCTCAGGCGCTCTCGTCGCAAGGTCGGCCGCAGTCATTGCTGCGTTGAATGGTTGTTGTTGTCGTGGAGGTAGTCAGAGTAGTGGAGCAATTGACGTCGTTTGATGGTGCTTTCCGTCGATTCGTCGGACAGTCTCTGTGCAGTGTGTCGACGAGAGGGCGAAACAAACACGATTCACGCCGCTCACTCAATAAGATCCTGATGCGCGAAATCTTCAGGTCGATGTGATTATGCAGTGCACACTTGATTAACTGTTCGGAGAGTGAGGCTGTTTGGAGTACTCTTTCCTCATAGTGTAACAGCTTGGCCTACGGCGGGGTCGCATAGGCTCTCACCAACGTTCACAGTGCTAACCTACAGTGCCAGTGTGCCCGCAAATCACTACAGCCGTCCCTTAACTCTCCCCGCGCCTCCCTCAAATTCGACCTGCGTGCTGTAATTACTCCGCACTCCGTAGACCTTGAAAATGTGCACCGTACGTGAACAATACGCCACCTTTGCTGTTGAAACCAGGCACCAGCACGCCTAAACCACGCCAAACGGCCAAACAACGCCAGTGAACCCCGCCACAGCCTTGCCACTTAAGCGGCGGTCCCATTAAAAACACGCGCCCGACGCGCTTTCGACGCGTTTTCTTCTCTCCGCTTCTCGTCCCAACTTGTCGCTTTTCGCCGCCCAGCATCAACACTACCGCATTTTGCCGCTCTGGACGCCGATGTAAACAATTTGGCGTGTTCTTCTGTTCTGACCTTGCATCCCTAGGTGACGCAACATCCTGCATACCGCAGCTCGACATTGGCCCTGGACATAGTCGTCTTTCCAACAACCAAGACGGCAGCGATCCATTCGGACTCGACATCACACCTTTTCTCACATCCTCATCCTCATCCTCATCCTCATCCTCATCACAGCCATGTCCGACGCAGCAGCAAGACAGATCTCGCGGGGTGCCTTTTCGTATGTCGTCACAAGCTTCCCCTGCATCGTGAAGACCGCCCAACACTGACCCTCTTTTCTCTTTCTCTCTGCAGCGTCATCTTCAACGACCCCGAAAAGGGCAAGGAACAGTTCCCGGTGCCCATCTTCCAATGCCTACAGGTCAAGCCACTGGGCAACCAGCAGCCCGGCGGCGGCGGTGAGCGGTACCGCGTCGTCCTCAGCGACATGGACCACTACGTGCAGACGATGCTGGCGACGCAGGCGAGCCACGTCGTCCACGACGGCAAGCTGGTCCGCGGCTGCATCGTGCGCGTCAAGTCCTACCAGGCCAACTCGGTCAAGGGCAAGAAGTGCGTCCTGTCCTACCTCGGGCCTTTCTCGATTTGACCGGACACTGACCGTTTTGGTAGCATTCTCATCCTCCTCGACCTCGAGGTCATCGAATCCCTCGGCACACCCGAGCGCATTGGCGAACCCGTCGTCTACGACGCGAGCACATCGGCCGCCGCGGCCCCGACCAACACCACCATTGGTGGTACCGGCTTCTACGGTGTCAAGAAGGAAGAGCCTGGTGCTGGTGGTGGTGGTGGTGGTGGTGCAGCATCGTCGACAAAGTCGGCCACTGCGGCAGACTATGCACGGCCCAGCGGAACGAGCTACGGTGGCGGCAACGCCGCCCACCCCAACATCTGCCCCATCGAGGGCCTGTCGCCCTACTCGCACAAGTGGACCATCAAGGCCCGCGTCACCAGCAAGTCGCCCATCCGCACATGGCACAAGGCCAGCGGCGAGGGCAAGCTGTTTAGCGTGAACCTGCTGGACGAGAGCGGCGAGATCAAGGCCACGGGCTTCAACGAGCAGTGCGACGCCCTCTACGAGCTGTTCCAGGAAGGCTCCGTGTACTACATCTCGAGCCCCTGCCGCGTCAACATTGCCAAGAAGCAGTTCACCAACCTGCCCAACGACTACGAGCTCACGTTTGAGCGCGACACCCAGGTCGAAAAGGCCGAGGACAGCAGCAACGTGCCCAAGCTGCGCTTCAACTTTTGCAACCTCGGCGCCCTGCAGTCCGTCGACAAGGACGCCACCGTCGACGTCATCGGCATCCTCAAGGAGATTGGCGAGACCGCGTCGCTGCAGTCGCGCACGACCGGCAAGCCCTTTGACAAGCGCGAGCTGACGCTCGTCGACGACAGCGGCTACAGCGTGCGCACCACCGTGTGGGGCAAGACGGCCGTCGACTTTGACGCCAAGCTCGAGTCCGTCGTGGCCTTCAAGGGCGTGCGCGTGTCCGATTTCGGCGGCCGCTCGCTGTCGCTACTGCAGTCGGGCGTCATGTCCGTCGAGCCGGACATTACCGAGGCCCACCACCTCAAGGGCTGGTACGACTCCGTCGGCCGCGCCGGGACGTTTGCGTCGCACAACACCATGGGCGGCGCCGGCGGCGGCGCCGGCGGGCGCACCGAGGTGGTCAAGACGATTGGCCAGGTGCGCGAGGAGAACCTGGGCATGGACGACACGGCGTACTTTACGCTCAAGGCCACGGTCGTCTTCATCAAGCAGGAGACGTTTGCGTACCCGGCCTGCAGCAACACGGACAAGCCGTGCCAGAAGAAGGTGGTCGAGGTCGGCGACGGCACGTGGCGGTGCGAGTCGTGCGACGCCAACCACCCGGCGCCGCTGTACCGCTACACGATGATGCTCAATGTCAACGACCACACGGGCCAGCTGTGGCTGTCGTGCTTTGACGACGTCGGCAAGATGCTCATGGGCGGCACGACGGCCAACGAGCTGACGCGCATGCAGCAGGACGAGGACCCGGCCTTTGGCAAGGCCTTTGAGCAGGCCAACTGCCGCAAGTACTCGTTCCGCGTGCGCGCCAAGCTCGACACCTTTGGCGACGCGCAGCGCATCCGCTACCAGATTGTGGGCGCCACGCCCATTGACTTCAAGAGCGAAGGCCACAAACTGGCCGAGCTGATCAAGCAGTTCCAGCTGTAGTCTTGTCATTGGACGGAGAGTTTTGGTCATGGGAGACGATAATGGTATAAAATACAGAGTGTTATGTTACGAACGGCGAGATGGCTGGGCTGCTTCTTACGGAGTTTTCATATTTCGTGTTTTGTCTTTTTTCTACGATTGCATTTTATTTGTCAATTTTTGTTTTTTAAATCGTACCCACAATCTTGTACTCTTTGATGTTTTCATTACGAGAAGAATCGTTATCATGGCCACTTTTGATGCTGTTTGTCAGGCTTGTTATGAACTTTGCAACGACGGAGGAAGTAGGATGTAAATGAAGAACTTGACACAAACGTACGAGACATGCGTCGAAGCTCGATAATGACGTTAGAATAGCAAGGCTAGACATGAAACCTGGGTACGCCTAATTTTCTCTCCATAAAACTACTGATCCTATCCGCCCACACCTTTTCACCCATTCACCGTCTATCGCTCCCCCGACTCAATGATCTGCAGGCTCCGGCCCGTCCATCATCAGGTCTTCGTCCGGGTCCACATCGTAGTTGAGCATGCCACCCATGCTGTCGTCGTCGCCGGCGGCGGCACGGTCCTTCTCCCGCAGAGCGTCGCGAATGTGCTGCCGAATGTAGTCGCGGTTCAAGGTCAGGTGCTCCTCGGTGGCCGCGTGCAACGGCTTGAGCGCCTGGATCCGGGCCTCGATCACCCCGATCCGCTGGCCAAACTCGGCCTCGGTCATGTCTTCTGCCTCGGGCAGGAACTCGAGGTATGCGCCACCCTCGCGCTGGTTTTGGGTCCCGTCCACGTCGTCTACTGCTGAGGATGCTGCTGCTGTTGTTTTGGATGATGAATCTGTTGCTGTTGTTGGCTCTGCTTGCCTCAGCGCCGCTTTGATCATCCCCGACTCGATCATGTCCCGGATCAGCGCCGTGACGTCGGCTTCGCTGAGCGCCGCGGCGTCGTCCACCATGTCAGGGTTAGGGACGCGGGCGGCGGCGGCATTTGCACTCTTTCCTGGCGCGGGGTTCCGTAGCTTCTCGCAGATGGCGGCCACGCTGATGGTTGTGTAGATGCGGCGCAGGTGCGCAATCTGCCACTTGGGGTGCGCGGCCACGACCTCGGTGGCCAGGCTGAGCGTGTTGTCGCTCGCCAGGGTGTCGTGGCCCATGGCCACCTCGAGCTGCAGGGTCTCCGCGCTGGCAATTTGGAAGGCGTTGGCGATGTGGCCGTACAGTTTGTTGATGGAGGCGCAAATGCGGCTGGCGGACGCGGAGGTCTGGGGCGGGCAGTTGGCGACATGACCAAAGAGGAGCAGGCCCGTCAGGACCCAGAACTTGTGGGCGTCGACCATGATCAAGGAGGCGCCGTTGTCGCGGGTGGGGTGGGACACGACGCGGGCAAAGGCGGCGTGCGCGGGGGCCCAGGCCCGAACCGACAGATGGAGGAGGCCGAGGACAAAGTCAAACTCGAGGACCTGGGTGCTCTTCAAGGGCAGGGTGAGTCCTGTGTCCTTGGAGATGTACGACGGTGGCGCGAGGGTGCGGCTGGAGAGGCGCTCGCCGTCGCGGTGGGCGGCGGCCATGCCCGGGAAGAAGACAATGTCCCTGCTGAGGACGGGAAGGGCGACGGCGGCATTGTTTGTGTGGTAGGCAAGCTTGGCGAGGACCAAGTGGTTGGATGTCAGCATGCGGCCGGAGGGATCGATGGAGGCGAGCGCATGTGCGAGCAGTTCGACAGCAAGTGGTGCCTGGCAAGGGGGTGGGGAACGGATAAGGTTAGCTAGCTGCAGGATGCAGAACCGAGGAGAGGCAGCAGGGAGTATGCACCGGAATGATCTTGCCCGAACCGACGGCGGTAAAGACGTGTGTAAAGGCCGAGCCAATGTAGCGGACCTGCCGCGGGTCAAAGGCCGTCAGCAGGGCGGCAATCTTGTTGGCGACGACGGGCTGGACGGACGCGTAGAGGGCGAACTCGGTCGGTATTATGGTGTCGAGGAGGGCTAGGTAGGAGTAGGTGTGGACGGCGGGATCTAAGCTGTCGAGGAGCTCTGTGGCGTGGGCGGCAATAATGTTGACATGTTCCTTGAAGAGGTTTTGGATGCGACCGGCATGGATCTTGATCTGCTGGTCGTAGACGTCGTCGGACAGCGACTCGATCTCTTGGCCCTCAGGCGGGAAGCGCAGCAGCGTCGCCGCGACCTTCTCCATTGCGAGGACGTATGCGCGTGAGTGTGTATTGTTCCGCTGAGGCTCAAGAGACCAGATTGAAGCTATTCGCAGAAACAGTGTTTCTCACGAGGTGTCAAGGTCGAGGCCGAGGGCGGACGGCTGTTTGTGAGGGGATCGTCCCGTGCTCGAGACGGCTGGAAAGCTCGGATTACGGTCCTCGAGTGGCTGCGAGAGAAGATGGAGAGAAGATGTAGAGATTGAGTGGTGTAGGATCCCCTTGAGAGCTAGGGGACGACACTGCTATTATGAGGCGGAAAGCTGACAGCAATGTGGCCGTGATAGGCAGCTGCTACTGTCTTTGTTGGTGGTCGTAGATGCTGGGGAGAGCAGCCCCGCCATTGCTTATCGGATGTGGCTGAACTGGCACAGCCACAAATGACCAAAGTGACGCGCCATTCGTGACTGCGGAGTCCTAATTATTACAGCTCGTCAATTGTAAACAAAACAATTGTCCAAGTTCATCGTGAAAAACCTCGTAATTCTATTTCTTTTTTCTAGATTTTTCACTTAGGCTACTATGAAGAAAATGAAACGCCAATGTCGCCAGGCACAGAAATCAACGAACAGGAAACAAGAACAATACAACTGATCCTTCGAACGGCTTGGCCGGCAAGCGTTTGGGGCATTTCGAGCTTGGACCTATTTATCCACCTCCCGTCTATTCCATGAAACAAACGATGCCCAGCGGCGATACATTTAACACAGGAAAGAACACAAAAAGTCATCGCAATCAATAGCCAAAACAAGGCAAAACCTGAACTCCCACGCCTTCTCCCTACCAGTCGGTTGCCAAGTGGCCGCTCTCGTCTCCGGCACTTCGGTAGGTGAAGCTTGCCGTCGCCGTCGCCGCCGGCGAAGATACACCTGGCATTGAGGAGTTTGATGCTGTCGGAGGTGGGCCGATGGGGCCAAACGTTCTGCTGCTGCTGCCGCCACCGCTTTCACTTTCACCAAGCGGGCCGAGTGGGAGCAGATGACCACCGAGAGTACCGAATCCGCGGCCAAAGCTGCTATTGGCACCGTAGCCGAAGCTGCTAAAGGCCGCTGTTCCGGTACGTGGTTCGCCGCCCATCGACGTGGGCGATGTGCTGCTGGTCAAGCTGGCGACTCCGTCCATGGTGAGGCCGCGGGCAAAGTTGTCTGCGAGGTAGTCGGTGGTGACGGTGGATGTCACGGCAGGAGTAGCAGCAGCAGCAGAAAAAGCAGTGGTAACGTTGGCCATGGTGCCGGCCACGGGCGATGTGCGCCAAGAGGCTGCGTGGATGCTGTTTGCGCGCCAGTGGCCATCAATACCGGTGGCAGTATTGCCATTCAAGCCGGATTTCTGGCGGTTGCTCGTTGGGCTGCCAAAGTTCGAGAAGATGGGCTGGTATGCCGCAGGGGCAAGGTGCAGCAGGGGCGTGGGCGTTGGCGGTGGCGGCGCCGGCACACACACCGGGGCAATGTTCGGGTATGGGAAGCCGGTGGGAAAGGGTTGCGATTGGACGCTGGTGGCCTCCAATCCATGTCCGGGCGTAGGCGGCACCAGCAGCGCCAATGGTGCCATTGCCGGTGTTTCCATGGACGGCTGGTGCGGGTGCGGGTGCTGTTGGTGATGCTGGTGCTGCTCCTGCGCCTGCAGCTTCTTATACCAGTTCGGATACCCCTGAAAGAGACCGAGCGAGCGCTGCGTGGCACGGTCGTGGGGCATCTCGTGCTTGAACTTGCAGCCCTGCTGGGTGAAGGCGCAGATGCCCTCGTGCACCCATTTGTCGCAGTATACCTTTTGCTTTTTGGCGTTGGCACTGCCGACTTGGCCGGGGCGCTGGGCTTGGGGAACGACAGAGGACAAAGTCTGTCCTTGTATTGACCCGTAGGGAGCGAAGCTCTTCGACGGAGTTAGTACGCGAGCGTGTATGAGTATGAGGGCAGCATTGGGAAAAGGACGACACACCTGTTGGACTGGCCGCGTGCCATAGTTGTATGTGACGCTGGTATTGACAACCGGCATCGATGGCAGTGCCATACTAGGAGACAGATGGGTTGACGGATCCGGGAGCACAAACATGCCCCGGCTGTCGTTTTGCAGCGCCACAAAGCCAGCCGTGGGAGGCAAGCGATCGGCGGGGATCAGTCTGGTATACAGACCGTTGCCGCGATCGAGGCAATAGGCAAAGTAGCCGCCAAAGGTGGCAGTGTCTGCGCTGGACGGAGCTTGCTGCATTGTCTGGGCCGACTGGGCTGTCTGTGCCTGCTTTGGAGGGGACGGGTGAGCGATGCTGGCATTGTCCGTGACGCTGTTTCTTCTTGGCATGGGAAAGTGGAACGGCGCTGTGACGTTCTGGTAGGTACTTTGGCCGGGCCCGGCGCCTGGCTCAGGAAGGCTGTCGTTGACGGGGACAATGTCATCACGCACAGTGTCCCGGTCGCTGCTGCTGTCTATTGTTGCATACGCTTGGCTGCGAGGAGACGGCGCAGACGTTGGACTCTCATGTTGCGAGGATACCTGGGCTTTGGGAGAAGGACTGCGGTCTTTGTGGTTGTGCAGGGCGTTGCTCGTGGCCGCGTTCTCACCTGGCGAAGAAGACAGTGCTGGAACGGTCAACGGTGTCTCCGGCGAAGCAGGCTGTTTGCTTGCAACGTCACAGTTGGTGGTCTCGTCCATCGCGGCGATGTGTGGGGCAATGGAGGCCTGCTGGAGAGACCAGGGATATGGCAGTTTGACCGACTCGATAAAGGAAACACTTTCTTCGCGAGAAATCTGATGATTAAACCCACCGGGATTGGAAACGTCGCGTTGCTGTTGGAGAGCCGGAAAAACGTCGTGATGCGGTGCGCACGTGCTAGTACTACTACTACTACTACTAGATATGGAGATGGATGTGTTGGAAGACGCAGGAAGAGAAGCAGGTTTTTGTTGTTGACGGGGCCGATGAAGTTGATGGAGTTGGTGGAGAGAGTGATTGTGTTGATGGAGTTGATGGTGTTGGCTATTTATATGGGCACTGGAAGCGAGCTGATGACTGGCCGGCCAGAGATCGGCTTGAGTCGGAAGGCATGCAGAACCTGTGGGTGCCGTCCCTGCCCGCGTGAGGCGACCAGCGCCGCCGTCCAATGTTTCCCGGGCCACGCGGCCTTCGTCCGGTGCGGCACGGAGGTACTGCCTCCGGCTGGCCTCCTGGCAGTCCTGCTGGCGGTGGCGAGCGTTTGGCTGCGGGTTGTGGGTGCCGTGAAGGCCATGCGACCGCTGAGCGCTGATGCTGCCGGCGTGATGCGGATGGCGATAATGGAGGCTGAGGTTGAGCTGGCTGCTGCGAGGGCCACAATCGGCGTCCATGGCAAGGGCGGACAGAGAGAAGTCTATATCATTCGTCGTCCGATATATTGTCGCTCGCTCTACAACGGACGCAAGAAAGATGGGAAATAAGGGTTACCTTGTCAGGGACTTTGTCAGTGTGTCGGACAGATTTACCTGCCTCGTGAAATATAAAAAGAGCGTGAGGGGCAGGCGTGTGTGTGTGTCTCTGCTGTCTGATGCCACAAGAGACCTAAAAGATGCATGAAAATAAAAATATAAAAAGAGACAAGACACACACCTGTAGCCTTGTTTTGTTGCCTCTGCCTGTCCTACCGCCGATGCGACCTTGACTTCTGTCGGGTAATCCTGCTTGCCCACTGCTTTTGTTTGCAAGTGCCTGTTTTCGAAAGTACGTGTTGTTGGTACCAGCATGAAACAGGAAAAAAAGGATTGGCAAGTTCGGTGAGGACGATCCTGAAGCCGGAACTAGTATATGGAAATATATACAAAGTGAGGGGTGAGAGGCTGTTTGAATTCCGGTATAAGTTCAATGAGGGAAGGGGTACGTAACAGGGTTAAAGTGGATGGGAAGACTAGACAAAATAAATCAAATATGGATTCATTGGAGAAGTGAAAAGGGGTGAGGGAGGAAAGGAAAAATCACGAGGTGACAAGGAGAGGGAGCGGTGAAGAAACGCTCTTCTATTTGGATATCGTGCCCCCTTTTAATATTATCTGCTGCAGGCTGCAAACAGGGAGGGGCAAACAAAACAAACCATGACGAGTGCAGACAGGCGAGACACGAGGCGAACCAACGTCGGACCGGATCGCCTTTGCCTGAAAAGCTTTATGATGCCTGGAGAGGCTCTGCAAGTACATTTGTCCCATGATTTCGCTCGTCTGACACCAGACAACTGAACAAGGCAGACGCAAGGTGAGGCAGGTGCCACGGGAAGCGAGCAACAAGGACAACGATGTAAAAGGTGTGGCTTCACAGATCTGATAGGCGGGAGAGGGGGCGAGGTGGAGATACAAATGGGCCATGTAGCTGCGTAGACTGGTTTGCGGTGAGTCGCCTTTTGAGAGTCCTTGGTCAATGGCATCCTGTTTATGCATCTTTCCTTGCACTGCATCTTGATACTATGAGTAGCCTATTGAGTAAGAAGTAAATAAAGGGGGCTGGCAGGCCATGGCTGGTTTACGCTCAGTGATGTTTTCTAAAAGGAGTAGTTTGGGGGGCAAGTGCCTTATTTGGACGGGCGATGTTGCATCTCGTAGTTCCTGGGCCTGAGCGGAAGATTCTGAGTCCAGAGTCCAGAGCCCTTTGCGTCATAAAGAAGGTGCTTGGTTGATGCCACGTTATTACCCGTTGCTGCCCCTCTGGTTTGGGTCGATGTTCTTCACCTTGGGCGAGAGGAACCAGTTCGTCGGCTACATGCAGTCGATCTTTGGTAGGGCCGAAAGGGGACAGATTTTTTTTAAAAAAATAAAAAGTAAAGTAAAATAAAAGGCAATGCAAAATAACTGGCGCTCAGCCAAGACGAGCAATGGGCTTCCTGACGTTCCATCTCGGTGAGCATGCCACGGCTTCTTTTGTCCTTTTTCTCTCTCAGTCTTTTGTGAGGCTCTGGTTCTGGACGCACCATGGCAGTGCCCTTCTGGGAGACGAGGCAGGACACAACGTCACCTCTACAATTACACAGACACAAACACACGAGGGCAAACCTCTAGTAAACATAAAAGCTGCCCTCCCTTTTCCTTCTCTTTTTGTCCCACCGTCTGTCACCCGCTCACCTTACCTACCATTGTTCCTTCTTCCCCGGGGTCGTGCAAACGCGGCAGCGATGCTCTCCTTGCGTGCGTGGTGCTTTTGCATTGGTCGCCTTTTTTACCAGTCTGTTGCCTTTGTGTTCCGTGGCCAGGGGCAGTTCGTTCCAAGTTCTGACCTACTTTCACGTTTGCCATTGTTGAGTGCCACACCGTGATTTGCTGGGCTCCCCCCCCCCCCTTTGTCACCGTTTTCAGGTAGACTGAGCGCAACGGCTACCAGGGATAAACGAAAGGCTGGAAGCTGGAGGAAGAAGAGGCTCAAAACAAAAAATAATTTCAGAGAGGACAGGCCGACGTACGAGACGCAAATGCCACCTCTTCGTGGAACCGTATTGTATCGTGTTCCGTCCCTTTGCGGAAGCCTGGCCGGCTTAATCGCCAATGCTGGAGAGCAGACCGAAAGTCATTGGCAAAATCGTCCAAAATTAACAATATGTAGTAAAGTGGAATATATGCATACCTCCCACCCCCGGTCTATGGTTCCCTGATTTTTGATTGTTCCGCAGAAATAAGATCATGAAAAAGAGACGAAATGCTCCTGGCCGCCCACTGATGATGTTGGTTCCCGCTGCAAAACATAGTTTTCTGTAGACATTTTCTTTTCTTCTCCCCCTCCTCGTTCCCTTTCCTTGGGTATTATTCAAGGCGCATGCAGCTTCGCTGCAGCTCGCGGAAAAAGAACGAAAAACAAATACAAAAACACCAACAAAAATCACAAAGCAAACCAATACCAAAATCCATAATGCACGGTCCAGTGACGTACATGTAGAGAAAACCCAAGAATCGTCCCTCCGGTTTCAGGGTATAAAATTACGACAAAAGGTAAAAAATGATGGGTAATGAGAGATCGAGAAGATGGTGGCCCGCGTTCCAACAACAGTGAGCCTGAGCAGACGAGCTGCATCGGACGCACTACCGGCGCGTCGTGCCCTGGCGCGTCTTCTTGCGCGGGGGCTCCTCTTCGGGCGCCGCCTCCTTCTTCCGGCTCTGCTTGCGCGAGCGAGCCGGCGGTGGCGGCTCGCTGTGGAGGTGGCCGAGGTCTTCGAGGGCCATGCCGTTTGTCCACTGCGTGCAGCGCAGGATCGTTGGGGTCGGATCGGGAGTAGGTGCCGCCTTGACGGCGCGTGTGCTCTTGCGCTTGGATGTGCCCTTGGACGTGCCGTTGGTCACGGGGTGCTCGACGGTCATCTCCTTGTCCTTGTCTTCTTCCCCCGTCTCCTTCTCCTTGTCGTCGCTGGCTTCCTCTTCGTCTGGCAGCGACAGGTACTTCTTGCGGTTCTGCATGTGTGTCGCAATCTTTTCGCGGAATGAAACCAGCTCTTTACGTAGCTTCATTTCGTTGAACCCGCGCGAGTCCAGCCAGTTGATGAGGTCGTCGAGCTCCTTGGGCTCCGAAAAGTAGCCCCACTGGGTGGCGTTGGAGATGCTGGTTGCGCCCTCTTCGAGCTTCTTGCGTTCCGGCACCGTCATGTTGAACTTGGCCTTGTACTCCTTTTGGTACTGCTCGGGCATGTCAATATAGCCCTCCCGCTCGAGCTCGTCCGGGCCCTGCACCCAGATGCAGCCGTTGGCGTAGCCGGCCTCGGCCGTCGAGCTGGTGGGGAGACCACCGTACGGCATGCCGTTGCGTTCGAACCAGTAGTACCGGTTCCAGAACCGGTCCTTGCCCAGGACGCGCGTGCGCGGGCAGTCGGCTTCGCGCAGGTCGTTATCGAGAGTCGCAATCTCGTCTTCGCACTCCTTGATCTCCTCTTCTTTCTTCTCAATGTCGCGCAAGAGCTTGATGAACTGCTTGGACTGCTTGGGCATCTTGGCCGCAGCCTCGGCTTCCTTCTTCCGTTCAATCTCCTCCTCGATCTTGCGCTTGCGCTCTGCAGCGCGGTCGTCGGCTCTGCGCAGGCTACGCCCGCGGGCGGTGACTGGGGGAGCACCAGAGTCGTCGGAGTCGTCGTCGCCGGCATGAGAGAGATCTTCCGCATCGGTCATCTTGACATCGTCGTCAAGTTTTGTCGCCTCTTGGGGCGGAGACGGCGGCATGTTGTCCGGGAGGAGAATTTTGCGCTGCTCGTTGAGTACCTTGAGATCCTCGACGCTGTCACAAATTGTTAGTTCACCATTTTTTTTTCGTTACAGCTTTTGTATGCAGGAGAAACGTACGCTTGCTTCCGCGACCGTTGCCACTCGATCTTCTCCTTGCGGTACTTGGTCATTTGCTCGCTGCAGTCCTCCATGTAGCCGCGGACGGCCTTGGTCTCCATGGTGAGCATGCAGATGATCTGGAGCACCTGGACGCGGTAGTTGATGTCGAGCGCGGAGTAGTGCTCCCGCACCGTCTCCTTTGTGGCCTCGACGTTGGGCGGCACAATCTGGGCCAGCAGCTCCTCGCAAACGGCCTGGCGGCGCTCGTCCTTGGAGAGCTGGTACAATAGGCCGACGAGGATCAGCTGCCAGCCACCCTCCTTGAAGTTCCGCTTGCGGAGTTCATCGATCCAGTCGTAGTCTTCGAGGGCCGCTTCGGCACTGTGGACGGCGGCAGCTTCCTCCTCTTCTGCTTCTTTTTCGGCTGCGGCAGCCTCAGCCGCTAGCCGTTCCGCTTCGACCTTTGCGAGACTGCTGCGGGTCGCTCTAGTGGCCCGCGGCGCAGGTTCAGGTTCGGGCTCCTCTTCCTCTTCCTCTTCTTCCTCGCCCTCCTCGTCCTCTTCGTCATCTTCGCCCTCGACATCTGGGAGGTGGATCTGAACGGCGCCGCCGTCGGCTTCGGAATGGACAAGCGTCTTGAGAACAGAGCAGTGGATTTCGTCAAAGAGCTGCACGGGTTCGTCGTCGGACGCCGAAAGCAACGTTTCGATAAAATCGTCAAAGGTAAACGAGTCGAGCTTGAAGATCTCGCAGTACACGTTGAGCGTATCCCACGTTTCCAGCAGAGGACCAACCGTTTTCATCAAGATCTTTTCGGAGGCAGGTAGTCGCGCTTTCTGGCCCTTCTGGTCCGCTTGGATAGGCGGGTCGTTGCATAGGAACCGGAGGGCAGGGCGCGTCGATCTGCTCGGCTCGAGCTGGAGGTCTTCGATCGGGTAACGGGGAGGAGGCGGCGGCGGCGGCGGCTGAACGGGAGCTTGCGTGACGTTGTGACCTGGCGGTGTGAGGGTCTGATTTCGCATGGACAGGGAAAACTTAAAAGGGCTGTTCGGTAATGGCAAATATTGGAATTGGCCGGCTTCAGGGTGGTGGGAAAATCCATTGTGTCTGGGTTTCGACGAACCATTGATCTTGAGCTGATTTTTCTCCTGGCTCAACTGCTGGCGCTGCTGCTGAGCGAGCTGAATGTGCTTAGCCTTGTGGCTTTTCACCGGCTTCAGCTCTGGCAGCCGCAATCCACCACCGGCGTCTGGGCTGCTCGGGCTGCTGTTTAAGAGGGTGCTGAAATCGCTGTGGTTCTGGGATTGGCGCTTTTGCGCCTGCAGTTGCTTCCTCTCCATGATCTTGGTGTTGTAAAGAAGGTTGGAGGGAACGCGCGTGTCGATATGGTACTGCTCTGCAACATCGCTCTTTACCAGCCACGGGGCGCCATTCCACGCCTCCCGCGAGACGGTCTTCTTGATGAATGATCGGAGAACCGACTTGGTGAAGACTTTCCGGTCGCGGTAAATGTTCGATTCCTCGAGAACAGCTTCGTCGCCACGACGGCCATCGAGGCCAACAATATACCTCGTGTACGGGGGCGTGAGGGTACCGTCGGGAAGCACTTTGCTGCCGTAGCGGGTCTTGTCGCGCACAATGCCATGCCGGCGCTCGGCGTCGGACATTATGACGGTGACGGCTTCGCCTGGGTGGTAGTCGGTTTTGAACTCGTCGTAGATCTGGTCGACTAACGAGTCGATGCGGGAAACGGTTTGGAACTGGACACGGCGCAAGACTGGGCCCTTGAGGGCTTCGGGGAAAGCTTGATCAACTTCAGCAGCACCGGCACGCTGTGAGATTATTAACGTTAGTACACAACCGGCGTCGGGGGGTGATGAAGGACGCAGAGCCGAATGTCGGAGGAGTGGAATGGAAGGAAGACAAACCTCGCTCTCGATGGCCTCGAAGAAAGTCAAACCGGAGTGGCCGGTAATCTGGCAGTTGAATTTGCGCTGGACGTAGAGGTCACATGTTAGCCACACTTTGGATTCACTTTCGACAACTCGGTTGCTATATTAATATTAGTATCGCAGTTGACAGCCCATACCTGCTTGTAGAACTCCATTCTGGCTTTCCGTTAGCATTGTGCGCTTAGGTGGTGTTCGATATAAAATTAGGTCCAAGATGCATACCTTGCCAAATAGGAATCATATGAGTCGAAGATCTCGCCTGTGTCTTTTATGTACCAGACCTGTATTACGAGTAAGTTAACATGCTCATAGGATGGGCTAGACGTAGGTAAGTAAACTATGCAGCACAGTAAACCATACCTCGTCGTGATCTCGCAGATTTTCTGGCGGTGGCCGGAGTTGCACCGGCTTCCGTTTAAAAAGCACCTGCAGAGTCACGTAAGTAAGAAGAGCATATATGAAGTTTTGGGGACCATTGATGAACGACATATCCGAGTTGGGAGAAGTGCTTCTGAGGAATAGTCCCACTGGCCGGCACAAGTCGAGTTTTTTGTATACCACTGCGGTAGAAAGTGTTGATGTTATGTGCCGGTGCCATGGCGCGGAGAGAACATACCATTGTGAGAAAAGGCCAAGACGCCAGGGTCGTACTATGCCCAAGAAGCAAGATAAACCCTTGTTATATTCGCTGTGCTGTTTTATACAGCATTAGAATGGAGTTCGGAGTCTGTCAAGTAGCTTGCGCGATTAGAGACGTGGTCTCAAATATATACAAGACGAAAAGCGAGAGCAAGAACGGGGAGTAGGTATGGAGGAGGTTAAACACCGGGCAAGTGAAGATGCGGTGATTTCAGGGTTTGTTAAGCAAAGGTTGAGAATTTTGGGGCGCGGTCAAGACGCGTGGCATTTTGTTGGTGGATTTGGGGTGGGCGGAGAGTGAGAGTGGACGGTGTGATGGCATAAATATATGTGCGCGTGTATGCGAGCGGCGTTACGAAAGCTTGCCACGGCAATATGATGCTGGTTGCCTTTGTGCTATTTTGGAGGTCGAAATTTGATTGAGGATTGTTTGGCGACGGGGGGTGGTCGTGGCTGGGTGGGGAGACGGGAGCGAGGGAAGGGGAGAAGTATGGATGGTTGGAGCTGAGCGAAGGGAGACGGGGGAGGAGAGGCGAGGGCCAAAGAAGCGCTTGGAAAGGGGACACGCCTCGGGACCCCAGGGAACCGCGGGCGGCAATGCGTGCAGCACAACAACAGCCAGGACACGGCTTGACGTTCTTTGAAAACAGGCATAAGTGGAGTGAGGCAGTAGATGGGATGCAGAAATAGACAAGAGCAGAGACGGGGACGTGGTGACGTGAGAGGATGGACGAGGTTGAGTGGAAGGCCAAAACGGTCACGGTTTGCAGGACGATCTGTCGACTTACACGAGCATGCGCGGAGGGCAGACGCGCATGTAAACGATAGAGATGGAAGAGCCGTGACGTTGGCCGTCTGGTGCTGAATGAAAACAAGCTTGGTAATGCCGGCGCGGATGGCAGAACGTCACGAAGGTCGAAGCCTCGTCGCGTCGTCGGTGATTTGCTGCGGTGTTGGTGCGTATGCGGCGAATGAGTGGAGGCCTGCGGAGGATGAGAACTGGCGCGCGCGCAAAAGGTATCTATATGAATGAGGTCGACAAAGAGCGTGACTGGATTAAGCTATCGATATGTGATGTGCCGAAGTAAGAGATACTGGCCGCGATGCGGCGGCGAGTGCGGGAGTTGGGATAGAAAGAAAGCTGTCGTGGTCGTGGGTTATGACGCGGGAAGGAGAAAGGGTGAGAAAAAAAATAAGAAAGAGGGAAGGAGCAAAGGTGGAAGTAGCCGAAGAAAGACGAGGACGGAGGCGAAGTGGGACAGGGGGAAGGTGCAAGTCAGAGAGTAAGAAGGGAAAAAATATTATGAGACTAAAAGCGAGCGGGTTGGCGGCGGCGGCGGAGGTGGACGAGGAGGAGAACAACACGACGGGGGGGAGCAAGAGATGACAACAGACTAGTTTTGGCAGGAGCAGATGTTAAAAAAAGAGCCCCGTCGCGAGCCTGCCGAGAACAGGAAAGAGACAACATCGAACAAAGTCAAAAGGCAAGAACGGACGACACGATACAGAAATATGAGACATACAGAAAAGGCATAGAAAAAAAAGTAAAGAAAACGGGCAGGAATGTCACCAGCCAGTTAATTTTGGATTTTCTTAGTCGCAGGGCAAAAGCCTGACCAACACGCGCAAGGTACCGTTCCCGCGGTGTGGGTCCCCCACCATTTGGCCTCTCCCGCTTCGTCCTCCTCCCCAACGGTGTACTTCCTCGTCCTCGTCCTTGTTTTTTTTTTCTGACCGGGCTCGGCCACGACGAACGCACCCCAAGCATGCGCCACTTTACGAAGACGTCTGCATCGGGTGAACAACATGGGATGTGTATTTTCAGGAGATAAAATCAAGTACGTTGTCAATGAGTGCGACATCCATGCCCGTCTTGATACCGGTCAATGAATCGCACTTTAAACAGGGGTCGCGACGCATGTCGTTCACCGTCCTGCTGTTGGATTGATATTTTGCCTCTGCGACAAACCATAAAATAGACAATTTTATACTTGTTGAAAACTGCTTTTAAAGGGCTATCGTTTGAATGTAGATTTGTCAAATTTATTTCGCGCATGCAGCTGTTGAAGCGAGCTGAAAAGTTTGGACGGAGATGGCATCGCGGGTAGCCGAACGAAAGCAACCATCACCAAAAACGCGCCGAGGTGCGCCAGCTGCACTGTTTTAGAACGCGATTATGTCGCCATAGAAGGCCACCAAAACTGAACAGAGATAGATCAAACGAAAGCCCTTTTCTTCGTATACGTATTGATATATATGTCTTTTACATAATGGCAGCACAGGCTGCAGTACAACGAGATATATTGTCGCCAAACTTTTGATAGCTGGGCTAAGTCGGGCCTCTGTTTTCGATGTTTTATATTGCCAGCGAAAACAAGCCAGCCATTTCCTCTTCTCTTAAAGCTGCTTAAGACAAGCAACGCATCCGATGTAGCCTTTTATTTGTGTTTCTTTTCGTCCTTTTGCTTTCGTGTTTTTTCTTGTCCTCGAAAAGTGGATGCCCTCCTCCGCTGCCGTCTTGGGTCTAAGGAGATCGGGGAGGAGGACAAGGACACGACGTGCGATTTTGGCGTGGAAAGCGCAAAATGAAGAGGGGGGGAGCAGAACCGAGTGCCCCGGTCTGGTTCCGTTTTAGGGCACTTTAAAGAAATAAATGATTCTGTTTTGGTATGTACCCCGCAACCCATTTTGGGCGAATATGTACATGTAAGTGCCCATCACACTCTTCAGCCTTGCATTCCGCGGATGACTGGGACAGTGTGGTGTGCTGGTGGTGTTCCAGACAAGGGACTGGCAAGGCCAGAAAAGGGAAAGAAGGAACTTGTCAAGTCAGCGCGGACCCACATAATCGTCCCAATGTGGCTAGCAGGATCACGTGGAACGACCACAACCTCAACCTCACCTCTAGTTTTGCCGGCACCACAGGACCTTCCGCAACAGGGAGGAGGGCCCATCAGCACCCTGCAGGACCGACACATACTCGACCCGGGCCTCGTCGGCACCGTTCGCTACGTTTAGCGATGGAATGTCCCTCGCTGCGACTTTGCTTTATATTTATGAGCTCTACGCGTATACGAGGCTGGGAATCTTCTTGCAGCCTTGTTGACTTTGCTGCGATGGCATGATATCTTTTGCATTGTTGTCTAGGAAAATGAATTAAATGGCATTTTGGCCTATGTTGGTTTCTATATTTTTTGAAATGATCCACTAGCACGGGAGTCTTGGCTCTTGGCTCTTTTTACGACGTAAAGTACACGACTAAGAAGCCGATCCAGCTGCCAACAACGCCAATGGCGGAATAGGAACTGGTAAACATAAGGGGCAGGAACTCGTACCGCGCACCAAACACGAGCTGGTGCAACAGGGAGCTGTAGACAACGAGTGGGATACTGATGGCAATGTAGAGCGTGCTGAATCGGTCAAACAGGAAGAAGCGGGCACGCGTAGAGGCGGGCGCAAGGCTGTCAAACGTCAGCAGGAACAGCACGAGCCAAAAGATGGTGTACACGGTCTTGATCGGGAACTCGGCGGGCGTGAACAGCAGCGGGAAGAGAGAGACGTGGCCCGCTACGGCGAGCGGCCGGAACGCGCTCAGGTAGCGCCGGTTCTTGAGCGCGAGCAGACTAAACGGGATGATGACCAGAAGTACAGCCTTTTCGTGGACGTGCCAGCCAAAGAGAAACGACGCATAGCCGCAGAGCGTCACGGCGCCAATAAAGTTGTCCCAGGTCGGTGCTGCGAAGAGCTGCAGCAGAGGCAGTGCTTGGAAGACGATTGTGAGAATGAAGCACGTGCGAGGGCTGACATCAGGCAGGACCGCAAACGCCGTGTCTCCAACCAGACCGCGCGTGACGCTTGTCAGCGCCTCTGTCTTGACATGCCACCCAAAGCGAGGTGCAACTGCGCCGTTAGTATGGCAGGAATACGTGATAAACACATTGGGCATGGAGTAGAGCGTACCATAAATCAGGACGCGGTCGACAAAAGAGTACATGGCCCAGACGTTGGGCGCCCAGTAGGCATGGCACAACCCGCGCGAAAAGGGGAAGAGGCGGCTCAGGATCTGGGGGATCTGGTTCGTGAGCGCAAACGGACCAAACGCCACTCCCAAAATCGCCGCCATGCCCGCGCCCAGCTTGATGCAGTTCAGCCACTGGATACGGACGATGGATTTCGGCGACAGGCAGTAGGCGCGCAGCAAAAAGACAATGTACGCGGGTGCGAGGTACGCGTAAATGTGCTTCATGCAGAGCAGCGCCGCGAACACGAGGCCACTGCCCAGCAGTGTCGACCGCTTCTTGGCCAGCACCAGCGAGTACACCAGGATGCCGTACAAAAAGCCATTGTATTGGAAGTGGATGTGGTCGATGATGAGGAGGCCAGGCGACAAGATGATCGAGATGGCGACGGCCTGGGCGGCGCGCTTCGCGGGCCCGTGGCACGAGTCGACAAACTTTTGCAGCGCGTAGACCAAGAAGATCTCGGTGACGATGACCGACGAGCGCTGAAAGTAAACAGTTTCCCAGCTCGCGTAGTTGAGGTTGCGGATGCGGAGCATGGCCGGGTCGATGAGGGCGGCCACCTTGGAGAGCACAAACTCAAAGTAGGCGAAGAAGGGCGGGTAGTCGAGCGTCCATTCCGACGTGTGCTCGTAGTACCAGTCCCAGAGCGGCAGGCTGTTGGTGATGGCGAGCCAGTTGCGATGGACTTCGAAGTCGGTCGATTTGCTGTCGGCACGCGTCGAGAGTAAGTTTTGTGGATAGCCAAACGGGGGTTTGAGATAGGGGGACCAAGTCTCGCAAACTCACTATGCCGGGAACAAGAGGATCTTGAACGCCGCAGCGACAAGCGCGCACTGCGCAATTGACGGATAAGCTTCTACCGCCATGGCAACATTGCTGGAGGACTCGCCAAGTGGTGATCTTTGAGAGAGTGGTCGAAGAACGTGATGCTAAAGCGGCCTTGGGCCAATGTGCACGTTGGGGTGACTTTCTGGAGCTTTCCAAAAGAGCTTAGCGCTAAATCCCGAGTAGCCGATAGCGCCGCACCACCTACGGAGGTTGATTGGCGCGACGCACTCCGCGCCTGCTTATTTCGTTACGAAGTAGTGATCCCCGCGACACAGGGGGAAGGGGCGACGGTATGACGCGACAGGCCCACGACGTCTGGAACACGCAAAATTAGAAGGAACCTACAAACACGAGGTTCACACATGATACACTGCTTCGTTCGTCCAACAGTGGCTTAAAAGACGACAGAGGCCCTTGAGAAAGAGAGAAGAATATAATCCAAGCCGCAGGGATTTTTTTTTAAAAAAAAAGAAAAGAAAAGAAGAATCGTGGCCCCGTTGCATCAATCGAAGCTCAGGCTATGCAGGAGTTCTTTCCCCCTTTGTCTCGCCGGCCCTGGAACACGTAGCCACTGGAAATGGGGGGACGGGCGTTGTCTCAAGTATGCGGCGCTAAAACCAGTGGGCTCCAACTCTGGTTTCCAGAAGCCGGGGAAAAGTACGGTGCATTGCACTTGCTATACTTGGCGCTACCTGTCACCACCTGCCAAGTGAGATTAAAGCTTTCGTATCTCGAAAGCTCTCCCCGATCGCAAGTTCTCAACTGTCCACTTGTACGCGACAACACACCCACGACTGCATCTCAACGCACGATATCGACGCAAACGCACCATATTTTTACACTACGACCGATTGGGTTCGTTGTAAAGCATATGCGGTAAAGACAAGCACGAAGCGCACCCTTGACGAGCCAATTGACGTGGCCGGGGCGCAAGTCGGCGCAATTCAGCCGGATCGCCAACCAAAGAAGACAGCTTTGATCTTTTTGGAACTCCAATTTGGTTTGCCTTTTTGGGTATTGTTGAGTGGTTCGTTCCGCACCTGCAAGCTGTCCTCAAGGCTTACAAAATTTCGCCAGCGACCCGTCTTTAGCCGTTCTGGAGCGCATGACAGCAGAGCCTCTTTGTGACATTTGGAGGTTGTCCTTGTCCTTGTCCTGTTATAAAGAAATCGACCAGCGCTGGAACCCCTTTTGGCCTTGAATCACAGAACCTACAGGCAAGAAGAAATTGGAAAAGATGCGGATCTCGTCGGCCTCGCTGGCATGGAGCTGGAGTCTCCTGGCTGGCGCTGCACATGCTCAGTTCCTCGTGAGCGAGCTCAGTTTTGGCTACACCAACAGGTAAGTGACGTTCGGCGGGGACGAGACAGCACGTTCGACCAAGTAGACAAAATCCCCACGGCGACGAAACCCGCTGACACTCCCTTAGAATAGCACCGGAACACTCACGGTCCATCCCGCACTTTGAGCTCCAGGGCAACCCCTACCAACCCGAAATCCTCTCCAACAAGGTCGTCCTGACCCCTGCGGCGCCCGCACCGGGCGGCCAGCGCGGCGCTGTCTGGGCAGAGCACACATTGGACTACTCCCGATGGCTGGCCGATGTCGACTTCCGCGTGAGCGGGCCCGAGCGCGGCGGCGGCAACCTCAATATCTGGCTGGTCAAGGACGGCCCGACCAATGTCGGCACGAGCAGTGTGTACACTGTGGGCAAGTTTGAGGGTTTGGTGCTCGTGCTGGATGCGTCGGGCGTGCGCGGCGGCGGCTCGCTGCGGGGCTACCTCAACGACGGCACAAAGGAATACAAGGCGCTGACGGGCATTGACAGTCTGGCGTTTGCGCACTGCGACTACCCCTTCCGCAACCTGGGCCGGCCGGCGCAGGTCAAGATCCAGCAGACGGACCGGCTGTTCAGCGTGGAGCTGGACGGCCACCTGTGCTTCTCGAGCGAGGACGTGGTGATCCCGACGGGCTACCGGTTTGGTGTGACGGCGGCGTCGGCGGACACACCCGACTCGGCCGAGATTTTCAAGCTGGTCGTGATGCACGACAACAACGACTACACGTTCAAGTCGGATGAACACCAGCGGCAGCAGCAGCAGCACGAGTTCCATGACGAGCACGACCAGTACACCAAGCAGAAGCCTGTGGCCGGCGGCGAGGGCCACCCGCCCGTGCGCATCAGCCGCGGCGGCATGGTGGAGGACACGCCCGAGGCGCGTAACTACGAGCGCGACAACGTTCCCGACGCGGATGCGAACACCATCACGAGCTCCAAGGCGCAGTTTGCCGACCTGCACAACCGGCTGCAGAGCGTCAACCACCACCTCTCCACCATCTTCCGGCAGGTGGCGACGTCGGACCAGGTGGGCGAGAAGCGGCACGAGGAGGTGTCGGTCCAGCTGGGCCAGCTCAAGGGCCTGCTGACCAAGCTGGACCGGCTGGACATGATTGAGGACAAGCTGGAGCAGATGGAGCGCGACATGAAGACGCTGCATAGCGAGCTGCGGCAGTCGGTGGCGAATGCGGAGAGCTCGGTTCGGCAGCATGTGGCGGGCCGCTTGGAGGGCCACCACGACCGGCTGGCGGAGACGCTGCGGCACCCGGGCTACGGGCGCTTGATTTTTGTGATTGTGGCTGGGCAGTTGCTGCTCGCTGGCGCGTATGTGTTTTACAAGCGGCGCAAGGCCAGCTCGCCCAAGAAGTACTTGTAAATGTTGAGACGAACGTGTGGAGTGGGGACTTGGGTATAGTGGAAAGGGCGCAAAGAACAAAAACGCAAAGTATGAAAGCACGGTACTGATTGATGATACGACGAGGTAAGAGCCTGTGCATTGTATAACGAGAGAAGTGTTCATTAAGGCTGAGGGGATTCGTGTCTGTTTGTTACTTTTTGTATTTATTTCAGGCGAATTATGTTTTTTGGAAACATCAATATTGCTCAAAATTGCCTTGCCTATGTGACGTGCCATGGTACTATGGCATTGTTGCCTACGATTAAATTATACAAGGGACAAGATTTTGTCTACGACCTGGGCTACTTCAAGTCGATTGCAACCCATATCCAACATCCAAAATGCGGAATTTTAGTTGACGTTTCTCTGTCCTTATTTGTGGTTGATGAGCCGCAGGGCATCATCGCCCTTGGGCGCCGTCGTCAGGTTATCGTAGCCGTCCTCTGTCACGAGCAGGCAGTCCTCGATGCGGACACCTCCGACGCTATAGTATGTCTCCAGCACATCCTTGTCGATGTACTGGGCATGCGTCGGGTCTGCTAGGAAAAAGGACTCAATGTACGGGCGGCAGAAGTAACTAAGAGAACAGTTAGTCAAACCGTACGACATTTTTTTTTTAAAAAAAAAGAAACAAAAACATTGGAAGGGGCCTAGGGTATGTGCTTGTACGTACATTCCTGGCTCGACTGTGACAACCATACCCGGCTCGAGCAGCCGCCGCCGGTCCTGCTGCTCGAAAAAGGCCGAGACGTCGCCGTTGGACACGGCAACGGCCTCGTTCATGAGCGCCATGTACATCTCAGGCGTCACCGGCTGCCGCTTGGTGCCGCCCAGCTGGCTGCGCACGTCGCGCGTGCTTGTGACAAAAGTGTTGGATTTGGTCTTGGCCTTGGCCTTGGCCGCGGAGCTCGAATCAGCGGGCGGCCGCGACATGAGGTCAGAGGAGAGCACGTCGTGCACCTCGAGGCCGACGTGGTGGCCCAGACCGTGCGTGAAAAAGGCCGATATGGTGCCCTTGGCCAGGATCTCGGTGGCGGAGCCGTTCTTGAGAATGCCGAGGCGGAGCAGCTCCTGCGCAGCCACGTAGGCGGCATGCAGGTGCAGGTAGGCGAACGGCGCGCCCGGCTTGAAGCGCGCAAAGACCTCGTCCTGCATGCGCTGCACGGCGGCGTAAATGGCGGCGGCCTTGGGCGTAAAGGAGCCCGAGATGGGGAAGGTGCGCGTCACGTCGGATGCATAGAGGTCCCACTCGGCGCCGGCGTCCAGGCACACGAGCTGGCGCCCGGCCAAGGGCTCGTCGTTGCAAAAGTAGTGCAGGACGCTGGCGTTGGTGCCGGAGCCGGCAATGACCGGGTAGGCCTGGTGCTTGGCACCGTGCACGGCCACGCAGTGGTTGACGAACACGGCCTCGATGTCGCTTTCGTTGGTCATGTTCTTGAGCTGACGCAGGACGGCGGCATGGGCGGACGAGCTGACGTCGTTGGCCTTGCGGATCAAATCAATCTCGTAGGCGGTCTTGACGACGCGGGCAGAGTCCATGGCCGGCAGCAGACTGGATGAGTCCACCACCAGCGAGCTAGGAGCCGGTTCATCCTTGAGCACGTCAGGGATCTGGTCCGCGTGCAACACGTACAGCGTGGTCGTCGATGATGATGTGCCGCGGCGGTTCTGGTCGCGGCAGAAGCTGCTGCCGAAGGAGGCGCCGATACGGACAACGTCGGCCGCACCGAGGTCGAGACGCTGTCGCAGGAACGCGTCCAGGTCTGTGGTGTAGCGGACCTCGTCGAGATCGGTCTTGGCCAAGCATTCCTTGGGTCCCGGGCTCGTGCCGTACCACATCACCTGGCGTGGGTCGATGTAGGGCACCCAGAGAATAAGATTGTCGGTGGCGAGATCATATGTGGCGGCGCAGTTCTCAAAGTCCGCACCGGCGATGTAGTAGAAGCTGCCATGTTAGCCGGGGGGCCCCAGGTCCTGGTTGAATGGGCCGCCAATCTTACTATCGTCTTTGCCGGAAGGCCGGCCCCATATCGGAGTCTTCGTAGATCTGTGTCGGCAGGCCGGGGAGGTAGACGAGGCCATCCTTGACACCGAGCGCCTTGGCCACCTTGCGTGCATGTGTTTTTGCTGGAGGGGACGTCGGATTAGCATTTGTGTGCAACGTCGGACAATAACGTAAAGCTGCAGCCATGGACATACCGGGATATTTTGCCTTGCCAGATGTCGGTGCGATGCCGCTCTCAAAGGCATCCTCTGACCCCGGAACCACCTTTAGTTCAATCGATCTGACGGTAAATCGTTAGATGGACGTCGTTGTGGAGCTAAACTCGACCGGGCCGAGCAGTTGCGGCTGCACTGCAATACATACAAAGCATCAAACTCCTCCACAAAGACCAGGTCGTGGTCGATGTCCGACATTGTTGGGGACATTGCGTCTCCACTCATACTGACAGTGGATGTCAGGTCACCCGAGTGTGTGTAATTTTCTCCTTGCTGAAAGAGTCGGCGGCTATGGTTATCGCAATGAACAGTGCGCTGAGAGTGATGGCGCGCGCACTCGGGACGTTCGTAATCAGACGACGAAATCGCAAGAAATGCGCAAATCGACTTGAGACGCTGTGGGTGACGCAGACAATACAGAGAAAGGACCAAAACGAATTGAACAAAGAAGAGGAAAAAGTACAAAAAATGGCTCGCTAAATAGTGGCCTGAGATGGAGGAGGGGAAATGCAGGGGAGGCTATCGTCGGGATGATGAGGGAGTCGAGGCGAAGCTATGTTGTGATGGGAAGCGAGTAAACTGAGAGGTGTGTGAGCCGCGAGAGAGGGATAGGGAAAAAGTGGAGACGTTCTGCCGAAGCGAGGAGACACATTCGCCATTCCCGCCGCTCCTTCGCAGCTGCCTTTTACGGCGTAATTCGAGACCTAAGATAAATACGACGGGCAGCGGCCAAACAGCAGCAGCGACATTGAGGTGCTCTAATAAACGCACCGTGCATATCGTCCTACTCTAACAATCTTGACAGCTCCAATGCAGTAGGAATTTGTCAATGGAATGGTGCACCCGGCATCTTTTAATGATTCCGCACTGCGTCAAGAGGAAAGCCGTTGTTAGCCACAACAGCAGCCCCCTGTTCGATGAGAGTCTCATATCTGGAGAGGATCCACCTTGGTACGGCGCTCTTATACACTGCCTTTGGTGCATCTTTGGACTCTGCAAAAGGCACCACTTCTTAAAATACATAAATTCTGTTTTAACCCGCATCTAGATGAAATAAATGTACAATAGTAAGAATAATCTCACGCCGTCCCGTATGTGGTATCATCCAAAATGGTATACGAAAAAGGTAAATATATATATTGTATGGCCGGCGACTGGCGTTTCCCGTCGGATTATGTTCTCACCGTCCTGTCCTATCCAAAGTATTCCTCGCCGAGAGGAGAATTCCTGTGATGCTTTAATGCATTCGTACATGGTCATGGGTATGTAGATCTGGTATAGAGGGCTGGAAGGGCCTTGTCATTCATAAGAGTAATGTTTCGCGAAGTGGTGGGTCTCGTAGTGCGCTCACAAGCGCTGTTGGTATTGGCCGGAAAACATGTCATTGAAGTTGTCAGCAAACATGGCATCAACGTGCTGTTGTTGCTGTTGTTGCTGCTGTTGTTGTTGTGGGATTTGATGATGCTGCTGATGTTGCTGCTGTTGGTGATGATGTGCATGGGCGGCCTCCTGCTGCTGTTGGGCATTGTGTGCCTGCGCTTGCTGCAGTGTGAGCAGGCTATTAGCACCGTACATCTCGGAAGCGAGGTCGATGCCTGCCGGTGCACCGGAAGGTTGCATGAGGTATGCAGGTACGGGCTCCAAGAGTTGACCTTCGATTTCATTGTAAATGTTCGGAGCATAGAACTGCATTGCATCGGAAGGCGGCTGCTGGTCTTGTCCGGCGCCGCCAGAGCTGGAGGGAACACCTCGTCCATCACCGCCGCCGCCGCCCCCACTGGCGCTACCGATGCCTCCGCCACCGCTGTTGTCTCCAGTCACACTATCCAGGAGGTTTTGCAACCCAAAGTCCATAATCGGCTGGCTAGGATAGGCGAATGGGTCGCTGGACGGGAACAGCATAGCGTCCAGCTTGTACAGAGGGTTCGTCGTCAATGTGGATCCATCAGACACTGGTACGCTGGAGCCACCAGTCGTGACACCAGCATTACTGAGCCCGATGCCACTGCCCATGCTTGCAGTGGGCGTATGGTGCGCAGCATAGCCTCCCGCCGATCGGTGGCTCGTTGATGGTGTACTGCCTGATTCCGGACTGTCAGTCGACGAAGGAATATCGAGAGGAAGCAGCTCCTGGAAGTTCGCAGCAAACGGCGCCGTAGGGATGCTGTGTGCATGCTGCTGCTGCTGCTGCGAGTGCTGGTGCTGGTGTTGTTGTTGTTGTTGTTGTTGTTGTTGCTGCTGCTGCTGCTGCTGCTGCTGAATGATAAGTTGCTGCTGCTGTTGAATGGCTTCAAAGGACATGCGGTGTGGTGGTGTCTGCCGATGTTGGTCTTGCACGACAGTACGGTTGATCTCGTTGGATCGTCGGGCTTTTGGAACAGTGGATGGTGACGGTACGCCGGTCTTGGCGGCCTGGACATCCTTGGGACCAGGCGCAGAGCGCTTTCTCGTTGGAGGAGTTGGCCCTGTCTTGCCTTTCTTCAGGCGATCGGGAAGCTGTTCAAAGAGTTTCTGCAAAAAGCACAAAAACGTCAGCAATCCACTCTATATGCACCGACTCAAATATACAAGGTTGACTCACGTCCAAAGCTGCAGTCACGCGGTCCGCAGCCATACTTCGCTTCGACAGAGTGGCAATCACAGCCTTGCCAGAAATGGCGTCTGCCATGATCTCGGTTGAGCCCGGCTTATCCGGGTTTTCCAGCGCATAGTACACCAACGACAAGATGGCGAAGAACTCGGTGTATAGGATGAACCAGTACGGGCCGATCAGCACGGCCTGTTTGCGGATCTCGAGGCCGATATGCACAATGTTCCGGGAGATGCTGACAGCTGCGGCGGCGCAAGCAAAGTACCGGTCGTCCAGCTTGTGAGTCGCTTGCACGCGCGCAGACAGATAATGTAGAAAGGGCCGGTACATCATCATCTGGACATGTGCATAGGCAAACCGCAGGAGTGTACGAACCCGGATGACTTCGATGGGCCCATCTGGGTTCGGTCGCCAATACGTTGGTAGCTGCTCGTACCACGCATGCAGCTCACGCTCGATGTCTTTTATTTTGGAATAGCTAATCATATACGACGAAGTCGGGGTCTCGCTGTTGTTTGCGGCGCCACAGTCGCTGCGCTTGACCGGGTAAACGCACTTAATGACCTTGGCGAGAATCTCCATCAGTTTTGTATAGGCGTTGCTTGCCTGGAAGAAAGAAGGCGTTCCAGGTGGAGGCTGTACAATGCCGTCATTGGTGATATACTCGTCGTCGATCTCCGTTGGTAGCGGCTGGTCGATATCATCGTCTCTAAGGGCCATCGGAAAGCCTAGCAAGGCTGACACATATGTGTCCATTTGGCGGATGACGTAGAATACGCGGCGGCGCGACTCGTGTTCGATCGGAGTGAGCTTCGCATGGGGCAGGTTGCGGTGCAAACCCATGCGGAGTGCGATGCGTAGAGCTATGCCCACAAAAGAGTAGCATCCACTCAAATTCGAAGTAGCTTGAAGGAAGAGGATCATAAAAAGTAGTGCTTGAAGGGACGTTAAATCGCGACAATCCGTAATGTCCTGGAGGAGAATACGAGCAGTCGTGTAATATTTGAGCCTGTATAGGATGGTTAGTGAAATGATACGTCGTGTAAGACTGCACTACACAGCGCCAACAACGCGACGAGAACATACCCTTCCTCCATGGCTGGCTTATAGTGCACTGGGCTGGATGAATCGTTGTCTTCGGAAATGTTGTACATGCAACCCAGAGCAAGGATGGAGTAAAAAAGACCCAATGACCGGTGGTCATCCGGCCCCAAATTTTCGGGGGCTTTTTCGTATAGGCGATCAAAAACCTCAAAGAAGGACGGTCCATGGACGATGCGCAACAGGCACGTGGCGCAATTTAGTGAGAAGTAGCAGAGGGTTCGTGCGTGCTCCTTCGGAGGCAAGTTGTAGAACAGAGGAACAGCGGAGGAGTCATAGGGCGAGCTACCGGCAGATCGTGGCGAGTCGAGGCTGAAAACACCGGGGTACCGCGGTGGGCGTGCTAAGTATGGAACGAGCGAGTCGCGGCCAAGGAGGTTGTGAAAGTTCTCCTTCATTCTCCGCAGAAAGACGGCGCCGGAGGAGATACCATGGAAGTCCCACTCCCCGCCTTCGGTCAACTCGAGTTGGCTAATGTTTGCGACCATGGACATGAGTTCTTCGTCGTCAGCGTCTGCTTCACCTCCTCCTGTGTTCGGTTGTCGCTGCTGGTGTTGTTGCTGATGTTGATGCTGATGCTGGTGCTGTCCCTTTTCCTGTTGCACGGCTTGGGTGGCTTGTTGCTGTTGCTCTTGTTCTTCTTGCCGCTGTTTTGCGGCTTGCATACGCGCGCGCTCTCGGGTTTGAAACTCTTGTTGCACCATTGGGTCGAGATTCGGGTCCGCCAAGTCAACATCAGGCATGAATTTGCGAAGCAGCGTCTCCGCCCGCTGCAGTCTGCTCTCGAGTGCCTCAATGTACTGCGGTGCTGGATTTCTTCGCCGGTTTGATGGCTTGTCGTACGTGCATTCTACAACATTTCTCGTTAGAAAGACTGCACCGGGGAGTGTCTGCCAGCGGAGACGCAGGGCAAAAGGGCAAAATAGCCACAGACAGAGCCATACTGACCATAGCTATAGACGGAGCAATGTGTGCACGGCTGTTTGCCATCGCACTTGATCTTCTTTCGGCGGCACTCATCGCATGCTCGTGTTACACGCCTGCGCTTGTGCACTGGCGTGAGTATTGTTGCGTCGCCACTACCGGTGAGAAGAGCGCCGTCGGTGGCGGAGTCCTCAGCTTTGATGTCGACCTGATCATCATCAGCCGAGTGGATGCTTCCTTCAGGCAAGCCACCCTCTTCATTTGCTAGCCAGTCTTTGGAAGACGCGGCGCCGGATTCGTCGTCCGACCCGGTGGGTGAGGTGGCTGTTCCCATGGCGTCAGGACGATCCGTCGATGGTGGCGCTGTTCTGTAGCTGTCCAATACGTGTGTATCTGGGAAGAACGATACGAGGTTGTCATCCCACGGTGTTATCGTAGCTGTCGCCGTTGTCACCGCTATCACCTAGTAACACAGTGGGAGAGAAATCCCAAAGATGTGAGATTCTGGAGGCAAAAAGGTGTTTGCCCTTAGTTGTCGATGTCTTGTAAAAGCTTCCGCCTATCGGCCCTCGAGGCCCGTCGTATTGTGTATCAATCTGGCGATCATGCGCCGTGTATCATGGGGAAAGAAACCAAAGCGCAACGGACGTGCCTATTCAACGAGTCCGCGTGCTATTGTAGGCCGGGTGGCAAAGTTGATCTAGCCAGTCACCCCGGGTTCATGGTGGCATGGTATGGCGAGAAGACAAAAGACGGGGTAGAGAGCTGTTCATGCAGTCAAGAGATGAAATTCCAGTGACAGCAAGCAGCGGCTCTCCACCACCTTGGTGACAATTGGGTTGAAAGGAGCCAATGGACACTGGATGGATGTACTGTTGAGGTACGGAAGGTAAAACACAATTATAAACTCTCGGAATCAGATTTGCCAGAAAAAGAGTCAGTTGTGAAGGAAGGTCAGCGTTGTCGCGAGGCGGTGTTTTGTCGTCGAATGCGTGCGAGTGATAAGATCAACCGGGAGTGGCGGTGCGCATACAATAACAAACCAAATGCGGCGAGGTGAAGGACAGGATGAGTCTCAGATCGGGGGGCAGCTGTGTCTCCGACCTTCTTTGGTACGGCGAGGATTGATGAAGCAGTTTGCAAAATATTGACGCTCGTTGGTATTCGTCGAAAGGAATTGTCGCCAAAGTTTAGGGTGTTGCTGCAGGCTTTAGTCACACTCGGTCTTTCATGTACGCGAGTGGGTTCTCCGATGGTGGAGTAGTGAAGTAAGAACGACGAAAGGAGACGGGAAAGTAGGAACAAAACACTGTCCCTCCTCCGGTTGTGAACAGCTGGAGACGACGAAGAAGATTTAGAAAACCTCAAAAAGGAAAATAAAGGATCGTCTCGTCGCCGAGAACAAAATCCCTTTTGGGATGGAGCGTTATGCTAATAAATCCAAGAAGAAGGACAAGACCAACGAAGAGAAGAAAATTGAAGAGAACTCATGCAGTAAAAGCAGCATGCCAGACTAACATCGGCAAGGAAGAGAAGAGAATTGGCGAGTGGATTACCAACAGATGTGGCTGCAGCGCCAAAGACCTTTCTTTCTTTCCTTTTTTTCTTTTGGGTTTTTTCTTCGAATGCTAGGAATAGCGAGTGGATCCCCCGGTCAAGTACCAAGTACACAACAGCGCGGAGGGCTGGTTAAAGCCGCTGTGGGAGGGGAACGCGCATAAAAGGAGAGCAAACGATCATAGACGCGAGAGCCAGAATGTTGGTGCGATGTGGGTGAGAATGTGGCGTAAGGCGCCGAGGTGTACTCGAGCAGGGCAGATGCTGCCCCGTGCAGAGGGCTGTCGATAGAGGCACGATGGTCGTGCAACACGGCAGGGCCCGAAGATCAAAAGAATGAGTCGCAATTGTGACGCCAAGACAAAGGCGGAAACGATGGGGGAGAATAAAAAAAGCAGAGAGGAAGACAAGAATAGGACCAGTGGACAAAAGGGATACGAAATGGAGTAGTTGGTGGGAGGGAAGGCAGTCGGTGGACAAGAAACGGCACTGGGCAAGACCGAGTCCCGTGAATGTGATTTATTGGGAAGGCGCTGGTGGGATGGTCTTTCCAGCCCCAGGGCCGGTCAGGGGATGACTGGCAGCTAAAGACAGGAAGGAGCGAATGTTTTAGTCGGAGCCCGCCATTTCACGGGTCAGTTGGAGCGTATCTTTCGTATCAGCTAACACTAGTAACAGGTTGTGAGAAAGAAGCTCACATGCAGCCAGCCAGGCCCCATTGTCTTGTGAGTTTCTTCTCCGCCAAGCGGGAAAACTATGGGCCCTAACCGTGATATGGGTTGTTTGCGTAGAATGTAAGGCAAAAGCAGAGCGGTTCCTTGTGCTCACGAGCAAGAATTGGATCATTTAGAATCTTACATTAACAGGTAGGAGCGATGGGGAGTGCTCCACCGCCTGGGTAACGATGAGGTAATGGGATGGGTTCGGTGAAAATAAGGCAGGAGCCATTCGCCGGGTGTTTTGAGTCATAGGACAATGCTCGGGGGAACAAAAGTGGTATTAAGAAGACAAAATGCGACAGTATGTGCGAATGCGCGACGTTCCGTGAATACTTAGCCGTTGTTTAGCACAGGTTAACCTCACAGAGGCTGCACTCAACCATCAAACAGCACCGAGAGCACCTCAGACAGTGATAAAGTGGCAATAACGCCACAGACCTTATTACACCATTACACCATTCTTGAGCCAAAGGATCGGCTCCACGCCCGAGCTCGCTGCACGAGCGGGAGGAGAGTAACGTTGAGGCACAGGTGCTGGTAATTAAGAGACGAACAATGGCACTTGCAGGACCCAGAGAGACGGAGGCGGCGGCCGGGGATGGGCGCAGGGCAAGACTGAAAGGGTAACAGCGAGTGCTGATCTACAACTTGATCTACTCTGTAATACTCCGTAGAAATACTGTAGCTCGGAGGAACTCACTGGTGATAGGATCACTGGTGATAGGAAAGCGCTGAGTCCTCGAGACAAAGAGCAACAGCAACAGGCGGGATTCTAGGGACAAGCTCCGTAAACGCCGTGGCAAAGGGCGGTTAATGATGTACTGCTGAGCCTGCTGTCACATTCACTGGGTATTCAAGACATGAACAACCAACAGGGAGGACTAATTTGGCGCAGGCGGGCTCCATACGGACACCCCGCTGGTATTACACGGTCAGAAAAGTGTGTCTGCAAAGTAGCTACGATTCGCCCTGAATGGCTTCCAGTCGCAGTGGTTGCTGTTTCCTTGTGTTCCATATCGGGGCCGCTGCGGCGCAAACTCGGGGTGGAGACTGAGTCCCACCTGCCAGCATGGGGAAGGAGCCCCGTAGCTCTAAGACCCAGTTTATTTAAGATACACATTTTCTTGTATTACTTCGTGTCAACGTCTTTTACATTTATTCCCGGGGTATCTGGGGTGCTAAACAGGAGTAGTTGTGTTCAGAATGCACTCAAGAGGAATTCTACTGGACATGTTCACAGCTTAATACCCAGTGGCTCATTTCCAACATGCTGAAGTATTTTATTTTTACTGTTGTAAATACGGCACAGGAAGGCCTTCATCCGTAGCCTCATTCGCCGACTCACTACAAGGCACAAGGTTGCCACATACAACTCTGCACGAAAATCAGAACATTCGGCCCATGTATCTTTCAAAGAGATGGAATACGCGCTGCTGTCACAATTGTCCAAGCACCCGACGACTCTTCTCTTCTCCATTGTCCAAAGTGCATCGGACAAAGGAAGAAAGGGGAAAAAGAAACCCTTTTTAGGAGAGCAAGAGGCAGCAAAAGAGCACTAAACTATGAAGGGACTCCACCCCGAAAGACAATTAGCGTTGGAGCTTGTCTACTCTTGTTGAAAGTAAGATGCTGGCGCACATGGTGATTTGTCCAGTTTACAGGAAGCGGCAAAAATGGGGGGTTTGATTGGAGCGAGAGAAGGTGACCTCCAGTGCCCCCGGTGCCCCCGTACTGCACGCCTTTCCTGCGACAAACGGTGCAACGCCTTCTTCAAGGCACAGATGGTGGATCGACTTCGTCCCGTATGTATTGGCTACCATTGGTATCCGCTGGGAGCGCTTTGATGCACTTCAAAAGAACGTTTGTTGGAAGCACAATCTGCATATCCACCTGATTTCAGGCCGTCGAACCCCAACCCATATTTCCTTTCAAGAAACATGCTTGGCATTTGTCAACGCACTGGGACCAAAGGGGTTGTCCCAAGGACGCCAAGCGGACCTGGACGTGCTATCTGCATACGGGCCTGCGAGTGTCTAACACACGAGGTATCTTAGTTGTTGCTTCGAAGAGCACGAGCCCTGGAGCTTTCTCCTTTTGTGCGATTTCAGACCATAACGTATTATCCCCGCAAGCACTCCATAGACGGCGACCTACCTTGTAATCAAGTCCAGTTGGAAGGTTCACGTCTCCGTTTTTTAAGCGTCTGTTTTGGTGTCTTAATATCGGGTTGCCACCTTTATTATTTCATTTCTCGACCCTGCGATATGAGACTGTATTCGGTTCCAGTGCTCCGCTCTGGGGCCACCAAGGGCTGTTCAATTGCCAGGGCCTCATAGACATTAGTCTATGTCGTATTTTGCTTTCATAATACCTACAATCTTACCTCCAATTAGATTTTTTCAATGCTTTATTTTCCCAAAATTAAACATAACATGGCCCTGTGGAGTGCAAGCGGCAACTTTATGAGCTGGCTAAAAAGCTTGGCGTACGCAATCGCAAGAAGGAAATACGGGACGAGCGTGTCCAGGGGTCGCTTGGGTACGGTGATTTTGCGCGGATTTCGCTATTATATTTCGGGCTGAAAATATAGAGAAGAGGGAATTTTATATGACAAAAACTGAACGAAAAATAATACCGATGAAAATAAAGAAGAAGCATACCGGTTAATCGTGATGTTACGCGGAACAGGCAAGGGATCTTTTTATTACACTGACGTCGGTGCTCCATATTTACAAGCATGCGCATAATTACAATGTGCGTCGTATTTCATTGTCAGTATCATCTCATTTGCATTCTAGGTCCGGCGGCCCTTGTCATCAGCCATTTACTTGTAGCCGCGCGCGAATTGGAGATTTGGCAGCTTACAAGCACCCACCAACCGTAAAGGACCGCCATGAAAATAAAAATCACATTTGTGGGTATGTAGTATGACGAAGGTGTACCGCTTAGTGCCGCCTGCCACCTGGGAGAACTTCTACAGCCAGCCTTGTGGATGCGAGAGGAAGCAAGCTCGCAAACAATGACGCCATATGTAATCTAACTTATAGGTCATAGATGCTTGCTTGAACCCAAAGGACCTCCCCATCCGGCGTACCATATTGGACAAACAAAGTAATTACGGACTACATGAAAGCCCCCGGTTTTTGGTATACTCTCTTGAGGCCCTATCTAAGTTACTTAACAGCACGACGAGAGAGGAGCTACTTACAGGGAGCCATATTGGAGAGAATATGTCATAATGCTCGCAAAACCTCGGCGTGCAGCGACGCCCTCGACGTAGTTCACGAAAGGCACGCAGTTGCTAGTTGCGACAACTTGAGGAATAATGGCCAAGCTATGCTTGCATGGTTGGGGGGCTCGGCGTCGAAGGAAGCCCGCGTTTGGCTAGTAAACGCTTGGGGGGAGTCAAATGGCGCCGTTAACAAAAAACAAGACGTCGCGTACAAAAGGCCCCACCGCCGAGTCACAAAAGCGTCCCACGTTGCTTGCAAGTATATCCAAGTGCTTCCCCAGATGCGATTGGAAGGTTCAGCAAATGTAATAACTACAAAATGTCTGTCTTTACCACATGCTCCAGAGGCAGTAAATCGTCAAGGGGGGCCAGAAAATAAACGGACCCATTTTTAGGGTATTACCACAAAACTGGAGATGGTACTCACTTTAAAAAGGATACAATAATAATACAGTGAACATGATATAAGCAAGAGAAAAGAGCAGGTAAATTAGAAAGAGAATACGAGATGCAAAGCAAGACGGCGTCAGATCGTCACGAATAATAGCAAGCATCACCACTACCAAAAAAACCAAAGTGTTACGGACGTTGTCCGTTCCGCAGCGCAAAGCTTCTTTCACCAGGCTATGCCGGTGTTTTCTCCCCCACCCTGGAACGAGAATTAAAGTTGTATCTTACCAAACCATAAACCATAAAACGGCCACGCAAGACACCGGTTCGACTCGTTCAAAGATTGGGTGGGCCCGCTGGCGCGCTCTGCTTTAAAAGAACGCGTGGCACTTTCCACATCCGACCTGGTGCTGGTCATGCAAAATACGACCAAGAGGAAAAGTCAGCGAGGTGAGCAGAAATGTCTAAATTCAGCACCTAAAATGGGGCCTAGACTTTGGAGGAGACAAGGGGGCCTCAGAGCAAATCCAGCGAGTCGCAGGTCTCCGCCCCCCCTTTACCTGCATCGATCACTGCCAAAGTTGAACAAGAGTGCTATTTTCCGACACTTGACCAGTCCGAAAAAGGCAATCCCAGAGGCTTTTCTTTTGCGCCGTTTAGGCTGGCATTCGGCACCGAAAAGGCCAAAATGTGACCAGGATCTGCGAGGTTTCGCAGCTGGCGACTGAAGAGGCTCTCGTGGTTGTACTCTGTACTTACCGCGTACGCGAGCATGGGGAAATCCTGCCCCTGCGACCGGGAAGTCCATTTGGAGGCCAAGGAGGCATGGAAGCCGTGGACCAAGAAAAGACCATGAGGGTTGGAAAGGTCGAGCCTTGTGGATAGGCCCCAAATTCGCTATACTTTTGTCCCCTTCTTGATTCTGTGGGCTTGAATGGCCAGAAGTTGGGGTGTACAACCGCCTGATGCGCGCTGTAGTGTAGATACTTTGTTTACGGTCCGTTCTTCGGACGGTGCATCTCGCAGTCGAGAGGAGTAGAACATGAAAATTGGACGAGGGGAATGTTGCACAGAGGCGCGTTTGCTGTCGCTATCGCCTCACGGACTGTCGTTGTATGGATTGGACGGGCCTGTCCTATCAGCGTGGACGATTGGCCTGCCTCGCTTTCGCTCTGGACCCACCCTCCCAAACCCCACCTTTTGTTGTGCGCATCGGACCTTCCTGAGAGCTTTGGCACAGGGAAGGACCAGCTGCGGGCTCCTGCTTGCTGCCTTGTCAACAACCTCACGCACGACTTCAAAACCGCAAGCTATGGCCGCACGTCACCACGCAAAGTAAACAACCGCCCACAGACACACTTCTAGCCAACCCATTTCAGGATCCTGCTTTTCGCAGCACCTAGCAGAGCAATCAAAGATACCGGCCCTTGGGTACCGGCATCAACTTCCTACTCCGTACATCGAATCGATACGCCGCGCCGAGCCTCTCGACCTTTCTCCTCTTCCCCACGAACACCATCCATTCACTCTTACTTCCCGGTGCGTGATCAACTGCCGAACTAAGTGGCTGGAGCCGCGCATAAACGAGTCTGGGTTGCCGGCCTCAGCCCACCGAATCCTATTACCAACCCGGCAAGGCAACCCCCATATACATCCCCGAAGGACATTGCCGTGGAGGGGACCTCACACCGGGGTTGCTTTGTACGAAAGCTCGGACTCTCTCTGAACAGGAACATATCGAGTCCGGGTGTAGGGACTGAGTCGTGGGAGACAGAGACAAACACAATCTACAGCCATGGCAGCCCCAAGAGATGGCCAGGGATCATTTTTTGACACCATGAGGACGCAGGGCGGAGTGGTTATCCAAGGTAGGGAATGTCGCCCAGAGAGTCCAACTGGCATCTATCCTGGCTAACAGCAGCGTGCAGAGACCCCTAAGTTTGACCTTGAGTCCTACATCCAAAACTACAAAGGTATGTGCGCCCGGATGATGGGTAGAGGCAGCTCGACCTCTAGCCAGAGCTAACCTACGCGTGCCACAGGTCCTACCAGATTGGATCGTCTTTTGCTGATCGGCCAATGTTCCGTTGCCCTGCACCTGGACGCACTCAAAGCCGCTGTCGCGGAGGCCCAGAAGAGCCATGATGTCAGCCGGTACAAGGCGGCCTGGGGCTACCTGCATTTGGCTGCTCCAGACGACCCCGAATTCCGCTTCAACAAGACCTGGGTGGAGCGCACAGAGGTCGCCAACGCTGCAGAGACGAAGCGCCTCGAGCGCGAGATGAAGGTGTACAAGAACAATCTTGTCAAGGAGAGCATCCGCATGGGAAACGAAGAACTGGGCAAGCACTATGAGGCCATTGGTGACCTGGTCTCGGCCAACGAGGCGTACAACCGGATGCGGCCCGACGTCAGCACTCCGAAGCACATTGTCGACCTTGGCAAGCACCTTGTCAGCGTGGCCATGCAGCGGAAGGAATGGGTGACAGTGGTAAACCAGCTGAACAAAATCACGGGCCTTCAGGGCACCGATGAGGAGAAGCTGATGCAGCCCTACATCAAGTCCATGTCCGGCGTGGCTTTGCTGGGCCAGGGGCACTTTGAAGGCGCGGCCAAGTGCTTTTTGGAGGTGGACAGCGGCAGTGCGTCGATTGCGGCCGTGACGGACGGCTTCTTGAGCGCCAACGATATTGCCGTGTATGGCGGCTTGCTGGCCCTGGCCACGATGGACCGCACAGAGCTGCAGACAAAGGTGCTGGAGAACAGCAAGTTTCGCGTCTTCCTGGAGCTGGAGCCGCACATTCGCCGCGCCATTGCACAGTTTGTCAACGGCCGCTACGCGGCCTGCCTGTCGATCCTGGCGTCCTACCGCCCAGACTACATGCTGGACATCTTCCTGCAGCGACACGTTGGTGCCATCTACACCCGGATCCGCAACAAGTGCATCACCAACTACCTCATCCCCTATTCGTGCGTGACACTCGAGAGCATGAACGCGGCGTTTGTCGAGCCTGGCAAGTCCATTGAGACGGAGCTGGCCGCCATGATCGAGAGCGGCCTGGTCAATGCCCGCATTGACTCGATCAACAAGGTTTGTCTCTCTTTGCAACGCAATATGTATCATTTTATGACTGCCTTTCCTAATGTCACACTGTCATCCTAGCTCGTTCGGACCGTCAAGGAGAAGCCTCGCGTGACGCTGCACAAGGACGCGCTGGAATCGCTGTCCCGGTTTGAGACGGACGCCATCGACCGCCTGCGGAGAATAAACATTGTTGCTGCAGAACTCGAAGTACGCGGTCAGCGCAAGGGACAGAATGCCTTGCCAGAGCTTGGCGAGAACTGGTTCGACTCGGCTACTCCCGTGGTAGAGTAACAGCTGGCATCTGGGACAGGGTTGGTGCTGGTACGTGCCTATGCATTTGGTTGTTGCCGAAACCAGTAAGCAACTGAATGTCTCATAACGAACACAAAATAGAAATAATTATGCAATGAACATACGCAGTGAAGAGAAGAACAGCAGTGTATCATTTCTAAATTACGACTGCATGGCGGGGACGATTCGCGATGATGAGCCGTCTTGCCACTGTAACATAAAAAGAGACGTTGCAGCGGCGGGACTGCGGATGTGAATTTATTGTTGCAATTCAGCCGCCTCCGCCCAGATACGTGCAGCAAGAGGAGACCGAGCAAGTATCCAACAAATAAGCTGCTGTCCGAAAGTACACGCGAATCTCTAGGGTATTTATTGTTTTTGCTGCCGGCTTCGAAGCAGCCTTCGGCTTGATTGTCAATAACGAGGCCGGGCGCCCTTTTCCTTTCAATTTCAATTTGTGTAAATGCTTCACTAATGCTACCTATCACGGTTCCAACGCCATTGCTGTATAAGAGAACATTGTCCCCTCCCCCAAAACCGATGGGCCTTGGGCCCTGGGCCCAGAACCAGTACCACGTCAACATCTGTTTTCCCTCTCCACACCGTCGTCTAACCCATCAGCTGGCTCGCATCGTGGGGCGGCCACCGCACCTGTGCAAACGTCAGGCAGCGCTTGATGCTCTGCACGTACTTGCGCGTCACGTCGTCGGTCATCACGCTGCCCTTGTCGCCGCCGTGCAGCTTCTCGCGGGCGCTGCGCTCGTGGATGCCGACCATGATAACACCAATGGGCCAGGCCGCCTTGCCAATGCTGAGCCGCAGGTACGCGTCGTTGGCGTCGACGTACCGCCGCTCCTGGGCGGCATGCACAATCTCGACAATGGCCGGCACAATCTTGTCGTCGATGCTACCGTTCTCCAAGCGGCGGAAGAGCTGACCTGTTAGCGAAGTCTCCCAGCAAATCAGAAAGACCAGCAAAACAGAGAAATAAAAACAGAAATAAAAACAATGTGGGACACATGGGCAGGGGCTTACTGGTTTGATGGATGCGCGGCTCTGTTCCATGATGGAGCGGGCGCTCCGGCTGGCGTCGGTCTCGCCGTCGTTCTTGGTGCTTGCTTCCTGCAACGCTTGCTGCCACTCGCGCAGGACAAGGTTGAAGTAGCTGGCCAGCTGGCGGTACAGATACTGGCGGCCCTTTTTGTCGCGGGGGATGTCGGCGACGGCGGGCACCTTCATGTCCTTTTCGGGGACGGGCGCGAGCGTGGTGGGGACGGGCAGCTTGGCCGCCTCGGTCGTTGTGAGGGCGGCTGCCACGGCGGCGGCCGTCTGTCGATACCGTCGCAGGCGCTGTGCATGGTTCTCGCCAAACAGGATAATGGGCGCGTCGAGCTTGATCAGCGCCGCCCGCAGCTCGCCCTCGTCCATGTCCTTTTCGTCGTCGGCATCCTCGCTGTCCTCCTTCTCGTCCTCCTTGCCGCCGTCTCTTGCGCCCGGTGGTGGCAATTCAGGCAGGCCGAGTCGTTTGCGCCGTGCCGCTTCCTCCTCGGCCTCGCGCTTCTCGCGCCGTTCCCGCGACTCGGCCGCCAGCCGCCGCCGCTTCTCTTCCCGTAGGCGTGCCTCTTCGGCTGCCTCGTCTTCTCGTTGCCGCTTGGCAGCGGCTTTGGCGGACTTTTCGGCCTCGCGGGCCTTTTGCGCTTCGAGGTAGGCTGCCTTGCGCTGCGCCTCGAGCTCGCTGTTGCGCACAAACTTTTTCGGTGGCGGCGCGTCCGATTTGTCGCCGTCTGTGCCTGCTTCTGGGATGCCCAGCTGCTTCTTCTTCTTGGCCATCTGGGCCGACATCAGTGACGCAAAGTCCATGGCGACGGCAGTTTGTGGTGGAGGATGGTAGTGCGTTTCGTGTGTGTCTGTAATTCGGGGTCAAAGGAGGTTTAGATAGTAGGCTCTGAGAACTCGGGATCTTTATTCGACTGTGAGCAGACGGGAGGTCGTCGGACGTGAGGTGTGGCGGAGGGCGCAAGACGGCAAGGCTACATAGGATGCTTTTTTGAAGATTTTCGTTTCGCGACGCAGCGTCCACTGATAAGCCAGCCCAGTCAGTCGTCGGTACAGGTTCAGCCGCGTCGCCAAATGGCCCCAGGCTAGGGGCAAAAAACGTGCACTAAAAAGAGCGCCCCGCCTGCCAAGCTCCTGCGCTGTTCTGCCTCTGCCCAATGATCACCTTCGCTTCCAACTGCGATGTTCGTCAAACTACCGCCAAGACACTCACATTGCTTTCATGCCCGAACCCGATTATCCAGGAAAGTCCGTACCAGTCAGACAACGAAGCACTCCGGGATAGGCATTGAATAAGAAGTATAGCCGGCCGATAATTGACTGGAAGCGAGCTATAGAAAAAGAGCTTAGTGACAAACAAATACACGAATGAACGAGGCTCGGAGTTCGCATTGCGCATGTTTTCTTGCAAGATGACTGCCACTCCATTTCTCCTGAAGCTCTTTTACCGCACGGGTGCGTTCCACAGGTAAGTAGTCTACCTGAGGGATGTCTCTTCTCTATACTTGGTCCTTTAAGCTGACCCTGATTAGACCTGATGAGTTTTCCTCTCCACAACGCCTGGCTTTTGTGCCCGTTTATGCTCTTCCGAGCTACACCTTGAGTGATCTCACATACTATCTCGCTGCCGCACAGAACCCTGCCGTCCTGCCTAGTACGTGCATTGGCACGCGCATCGTCTTCCGGCACGTGTACGAAAACACGCGGCACGCTGCTGAAGGCAATGGCAGTGGGAACTGCCGGCCATCAGAAGCCTTCAAGGAGTCTGCCTATGCACCGCGCTTCATTATTAAGGATGTCGGCAGCGTTGTTATTGGTAGCACTGGGCCAGGCGCCCCGACAACGTCCTTGGATGCCATCGACGACGCCGCCATTCCGGACGAACTGATGGACGACGATGAGGATCAGCTGATGCTAACTGGCAATGCTGGTAGCAGCGACGACGACGGAAGCAGGACACTCGCCAAGCTGCGCTATACCCCCGGCGAATACTTGTCCTGTGCCATCTTGCCACCTCTGGCCGACGGTTGCGTGGCTCCGGCATCCAGCGCGCGAAGCGGCCGGGGTTCTGGTGTTGGGGAGGCACCTCCGAGTCGAATGCCACCGCCACCTCTTTCGGGCGCAAGCGCTGTCCGGTCCATGGACTCTCGTTTCAGTGGGAGACGAGGGCGGGATGGGTACGGCGCATCGTCCAACTACGGCGTGCCGACTGCTGGCTGGCGACGCGGCGATGCCATACCAGACGAAGGCGCATGGGTTCGAGATGGCGGACAAGGCGGCAGTCGTATGGGATGGCGAGACAGCCAGCGGAGGCGAGACAGCCGATGGTGAAAAGATGGCGCACACCTTGTTCTCCAGCTCTTCGTCTCTCTTCGAGACTGCATTCATACCAGAGTTTTTGCGACATAGCCGCCCACATAGTTTTTACCTGGATATCCCGTTTGATGCATCCCTTCATTCACGATTCACAACAGCAGCGTTCTCCCTCTTGCTTCTTTCAATATTTTTGGTTGCATTGGCTGTTTCCGTGCCTGTAATCCATATATACAAACTGTCGATTCGCTCGCTCCTCACACATCTTCCAAAGTCCTAGTACTCGGCCAAAACGTCGCCTCTCCGCTTTCCCCGTAGGTTCCACTTGCCCTGTGAGAGAACACCCGTTAGCATCTGTTTTCAGATTTCAAGCCACGTCTCTGTTCTGCAAAACCACGTCGAGCACTCACGTCGGTCGAGTAGGCCAGGATACCAAAGAGCGCCGGAACAAACACCACGTACGTGAACGTGATTCTGGCTGTGCGCTTGGTCCACCGGAAGTACTTGTAGCGGTTCGTGGTCATGTCTGTTGGAAGTCGGTCGTGTTAGCAAACAGCGAGATCCAATTCATTGGTCCGCAAAACTATCACAACAGGACAGACGTATAGGTGTGCCGGGCCAAAGCATCGAGGAATGTAAAGCAACAACGTACTGCCCAACTTGACCAACGCCGGATCCATCGCCATCTCTACAAGAAAGAGCACAACATTGTTAGCATCCCGTCCTTCGGTTTCCATTCGTCGGTGTTCCGGCGTTTCTGCTTCGGGGCGGAGAAGTCGGCGCACTGTTGTGTTCGAGGCCACCCATCTTGACGGCTTTTGTCGGTCAATGACCCTCAAATTAATTGGTATTTGTGGTTTCGGTAAGAGAGGTCGTCGGGACGCGGGGGAGGGGCTTCAGCAGTCGGCTTGAACCTGTTCGATGTGGTCGTCGTGATCCAGTTTTCAAATGAACGCTTTCGGTCACAAAGCTAAAAGGCAGGGAACCCGAAATGGCTCGGAATTGATTGGTGGCGCACAAAAGTGGCGTACCTCCTCTACACTCTCTGATTGGCTGCCGTCTTGACTGATACAGTGTCTTATAATAATATAAGCACTGTATTAAGAGCTACAACTGCAGAAGTCAGGCCCATTTTGTGTCTCTGAGCACTATGTTTTAGCGAGAGATCTGTACAGTGTTTATCAACACTGTGGTTTTTCATGGGGAAAGTTCCTTGGAACGCGCCTGCCCAAGCTGGAGACGCGTTCGGAGAGCAGCCGCTCATGACAGTGATTTTGATAGCATCTTTCCTGGCGGGGCTGTACGGAGTAAATAGAGACACATTTGCTTTATGACTCGAAACATGCGACGCATATGAAAATCGCTCGAAAAGAGAGACTGCAGGGGTATGAGCACACGCTGCTGACGACGGCCTCAAAGACGCCGACGCGACCACCTCACCTCATCTAGCCATCATGGCCGGAGCAGTTGAGCGGTTGAAACTTTTCAACCAAAGCGTCTTTATCCCACCAGCTGACTCGCCCAATTTGGTGGCAGCTTGTCCGACAATTGACCTCACGGCCGCTGTTGGCGGTGGAAATGTCGTCTACATCCGCCGGCGTGGTGGTGAGGTCGTGTCCAAGGTCACCGAGCGGAACAAGGACGTCCAAGCTTTAGCATGGAGATCCGATGGTGAGCCCTCCTTCCTTTATTTGTCTGGCTTTGTCTGCCGTGATATGGAGAAACCCGGCAGTCTTTCTTTGACAGTCTTCTGATCATTCCAGGACAATTTCTTGCTGTGGCTTGGAACGATGGCGTCGTGCGCCTCGCCGGCCTGGAAAGCTCCAAGGCCGTCCACCAGATCCGGCTGTACGAAAGCTCTCCGGTGGCCGTCACATACATTAGCTGGGCCAAGAACCTGGTCGGGGGCAAGGAGACGTGGCAGAGCGGTCTCCTTGCGAGCCAAGACGACCAGCAAAGTAGTGCGTTGCTTGACCTGCCGCGGGCCCTCATGTTCCTGGAGGTCGAAGATGATATTCCCAAACTACCTCCATTACCAGTATCTGGAGGCACAGGGTGAGCACGCTCCCAAAGGTTCTTTTTCTTGGAAAAGGTTGGGTATGAATTTAGATGCTGATATCAGACGGCCCCCGCCGTAGAGACGACATGTTTGTCTTTTCTACACGCACATCGCTCGAGTTCATGTTTCGGCCACTCAGGCCCAAAGACGGAGATTCGATCCACATCATGCTCCTCGGCACAGTGGACGGCGCCATCCACGTCAGCATCTACGACACATTTGTTATGGGCACCTTCAAATTGCCATTACCGTCCAGTGATGGTGTTGCTACCAATGAAAACGGGCCACTGCTGCATCTCCGCCGCCATACATCGCATCCTGCGAGCTCGACACACACTCTACTTCTCGCCAATGAGGAGAAGGACAATAAGATCGTGTACATCTCCCATATGGACTTTGCGTTCATCCACTCTTCGCCCCTCAACCTCTCACTTCTCGCCTACAAAACGACGACATTCCAAAAGCTCATGAGGTACATACGGCAAACCGAGGACCACATGCAAATTGAGTGGCAGTCGGCTCGCGAACTTCCTGCCCGGTTTCTCGCCAACATCCAGGAAGACCTGCAAGGACAGCGCAAGCGCAAGAACATTGCCCATGCTCTGCGCGTTGCTGCCATGACGGGTTATGTACCAGCTGTGATCAAAGAGTGGCTTGTCGACACCGTTGCTGAGCGGGTAAGAAACATAAACTTGACAAACAATGTGAAACATGCATGTCCAGTCTCATATTCTAACAAATCTCTAGGGATATCGGCGGTGGGACAAGGCTGTCGTGGGTGGCCTTCAGAACCTTCGCGACCTTATCCACGAGAATATGATGCCGGCACTCGATCGTGCCATGCTGGCGCTCAGCCGCCTCCGTGGCCTGGCCGAATTCCATAGCAACGACGACATTGGATTTTCGGCCGATCAGATTGCGGAGCTCATTGACATCGTCTCCTGCCTCATCCTGGTCACGCACAACGCGCTGGCCCTTGTCACGGCCGAGCTGGAACTGTTTATGTGCTTCTCAACGTGGCTGCGGTCGCTCATCGAGCGCCTCGCGCTGCCAGCCCAAGCCGAAGAGCAGGCCGACAAGGAGCCTAATCTAAGCATCACGCCCGTGATTGACTACATTTCGAACCATTTACTGCGGAGCCCACTAGACTTGCATTTCGGAAAGCCGGCTGAAGGCGAGTGGAGGGCGGACTGGAAGGCCATACAGGAGCAACCCAAGAACGGCGCTACCATCTCGCTCCTAGACCAGCTCGAGGCGGAGATGGAGAGAGTAGATGGCTTTGCTGTCAAACCAGATTTTCTCGCTATACTCCAAGACGGACTTCGGGAGCAGCGTGACAGCAAGGGTAAACAAGCGTCCGAAACAGGCCAAAGAAGCGGCAGTGGCAAAGGCCACGAAGTTCTCGACAGCCACCTGGGTGACCGCGACAGAGAAGGAAAGGAAGAAGCGGATGACGAAGACAACGGACAGCCCATCAAGGCATTCACCCAGTTTGGCTTCCTCACACGACTCTTTTCGACGCAATCCGAAAGTGTACTCAAGACCATTGCAGAGTCTGGACGGCGGCACGTCCACTTTGGCCCCCTTACACGGCTTTCGGTCGGCCAGCCCATCGAGAAAGCTGAAGTGGCCATGACGGCTATTGCAAAGCCTGTGAGTCCTCTATGAAAACCAACAAGTTTATAACCGTTCTAAAAGCTAACCCTTTAAGCAGGACCCAGAAGACAGCGCAGACGCCTTGTCTTTTACTGCCCTCTCGACCAAGGATGACCCGAAAAAGAGTGCGTTTTCCAATACTATATCTCAGTCTCTATCAAAAGACACTAACATTGTCTCCTATCCAGTCTACCTCTTCCGTTCGACAGTCGCGACCTCCGAGGGCGTCACGACCGATGTCTCAACACAGGGCTGCGTCTTGGACCTTGCCGCTGGTGGCCGCGTTGTGGACTTTCAGTTCCTCGGTGCCAACCTGCTGCTTATTCTATGGGCAGCAACTGCAGAGGGTATGTGCTTGGATGCTGCCTCAACTGACTCTGTTGTCCTGTCGTTATGCCGCCCCACTAACTTTTGTAGACCGCGACTCACGCTTGGTTGTCGTTCCGACTCAATCTCCCAAAATTACCTACGGAACCTACCACGGCAACGGAGAGGAACTACCACCGGTGCCGTTGGCGGAGATTGGCCTCTGCTGGTCCGCAGGCGTACTCGCCAAAGGCGACAACAACAGCCCGGTGGCTCGGATGGAAGTACTAGGATCGAGGCGATCCGGGTCTGACCACGTCAGCGGCGTCGATAGCAGCGCAACGAACAGCATCATTGGAGACAGGAGTGGGTCCCCGGCGCGCATATGTTTGATGCATGCGGACGGTGTGACCCATCAGGTGCTTTCGCTGCCGTCCGTGGAGGAAATGTTTGGTAACGATGCATGAGCCACAGACATTATTACTATGTACTTTCCGTTTGCGCAAGTGGCGTTTTCACGAATTTGAAGAGGATAAGCGAATATGAAAGCATGGCGTGAGGTATATATATATGACCAGTTACTACGAAAAGCAGCAGAAAAAGAACAAAGGGAAGAAAGGCAAAACAAAATGACATTGTACGTATATACAAAAAGGGACAGGGAAACGCCCAAAACGCCAAGTTCGTGCTTCGTGGCGTTGTGCCTACTTCTTCTGCTTGGTGATTTTGAAAAACTCCGTCAGGCCCTTGACGACCACGTCCACGTTGATATTGATGAGCGGGATCTTGTCGTAGGAGCCTTCCTTCATGACGGCCACCAGCGCCAGGTACTTGTCAACCTCGCGCAGCAGAATGGGCTTGCTGCCGTCGGCCAGGACAATGCAGCTCTCGGCCCAGGGGCAGGCGATCTGGTCGGCGAGCGGCTGGTGCTGCTCGGCCTCGAGGCGCTGGTGGTAGGCGTCGGGACGGGCCCAGCTGCCGTAGACCTCGGTGATATCAATGATGCCGTCGATGAAGTCCGAGCAGACCTCGTACGAGGCCATCTCGGCGGGCGTGCTGTCGGTGGCAATGTAGATTTTGGAGAGGACGTCGAACAGATAGACTTTTTCGAAGCGGCAGGTGCGGCATAGGGACGTCAGCATGGCCTCGAGCTGGCCCAGGCGCGGAATGAGTTTCTGGATGACCTTGCTAAAGGCCTCAAAGATGCTGTGGTCGTAAATGCTGGTGAGGTGGAAGTTGACGGGGGCATTCTCAAAGCCCTGGTCGGACAGCTCGTCCTGGACGCGGATCATGATGTCGCGGTGGATTTCCATCTTGAAGTCGTCGGACAGGCCGTCGACCTTGTGGACAAAGACTTCGATGTTGATGTTGGGGTAGTTGCGCTGGACGTTGAGGATGGTGTTGTTGAGGCGGGCGACGGCCTCAAGGTAGTCGTCCTGGGAGTCGATGACCCAGATGAGCGCGCCGACCTCGCCAAAGATGGCGTCCATGTCGAAGCTGCTGCCCTCAAAATAGTCGATCTGGCCGGGGAAGTCCCATACTTGAAAGTCCATAAACGAACTGGAAGGTCAGTGAGAAGGTTTTCATATTCAGACGCGATACGAGACGAAGGGAATGTGGACTGGTAACTTACGCCATGGCATCCTTCTGCAGCCTCGAGGTCGATTCTAAAAAGAGCGTCTCGTTTGGTGGTAATTTGTGGAACACGACACTCGATATGGACGACTTGCCGCTCCTATTGGGGGCGAAAAGCACCGGTTAGGAAAAGTAGGAGACGCGGTGGGACCACACGACGACATCCTCCTCAACACACGGGAAAGGGGGCTACTCACGCTCTTTGCCCCATTAGCAACAGCCTCGGTTTGCCCTTTGGTGGCGCGGGCGCCGCGGGCTCTGACGGTTTGGCGGCGGCGACAGGCGCACCCGGCGCGCCTGGTGCGCCATCTCTCTTCTGGGTTCGTTGGCGGTTCTGTTCATAGACACGTTCGAGGTTTAGCAATGCTGGACTGGCGACTCTCTCGGTTGAGGCGGGTGCAGACGTGGTCGGGGTTGGGGCCGGGTCTGGGTGCATAGGGGTATCGATTCTGGAGGAGGAATGCGATGAGGATGAGGATGACGACGAGACGGACGAGGCCACTGACACAAGTCCTCCAGGCAAATGGAACGACATTGCAGAGTATCGAAATCTCAATTTTGTTGAGGTGTGTGTTTGATCAGGACAGACTCGAGGCACGAGAGAGTTCATGAGCGCTGAGATAATGTGTAGGGACAGGAGATTACAGCCGCGCTCAAAGTTTAGAGAATAAACGAGAATAAGGTAATCCTGTACGCCATTGAAAATGAAAAGAAGAAAGAGAGCCAACGCTCCAAGGAGGGCTATCGGCAGTAGTGTCTTGCTTTGGCGGGAGACGGTGAACAATAGTTTGAGGAAAAAGGCAATGGATGAGACGGTGTCTGACATGTGGCAGGGGACAGAAGAGGATGTAAAAGAGGAGGCCGCGCAAGCCGTGGTGAGCTTTCATGTCGGACACGAAGTACGAGCAGGAAAAACAACATGAACCAGACAGCTGACATGTCGGGTTCGTCGCTCCTGGCAAGGACGAGAGGAGCCCGTGTGCTGTGATTTCGAGTGTCTCGTGCCTTGTGTTCTGTGGTCATTGACAACGGCCCCCGAAAGAGGCGATGTGCATGAGAACCGTCCTTTCAGGTTTGCATTGTGTTGCTCTAGGCGGATCGGTTTGATTGCTTCGCCGCTTCGATCGGTTGACCATGGCGTTTATTGGGTGCGCTTGCACGGCGACAAACGGCGTGAGTTGCAAACGGCGAAGAGCAGATGGTGGAGATGTAAAACTGTTGCCTCTCTGAGCGTCTCTTGTAACTCTGCCTGCCGGCCGAAACGGGCTGGCTCATCGACCCAGGTTGCCATCCCGTTGCGGCCCGTGGCGTTTGTCTGTTTGCCTGTTCGCCTCTTGTACAACGGCCAGGGGAGCGAGATATGAGAGCGTATGAGAGGCCGTACGAGGGACGAGATGAGAGGCGCAGGCCAGTAGGCTCAGACTAGTTGACAAGACATGGCGGTGAGATGAGGATGGATGGGATTGGACGGGATGAGAGGGCGTGGAGGTAGGGAAGGGCCTGTCTAGTGGCACGATGTGAACTAGATCAATGAAAGTGCTCAGAGACCAGAGGCCAAACGACGCACTTGAGTCACACACAAGGATTGGGATGACAGAAGGGACGGATGGGACGGAAGATATTCCGTGCAAATGAGACGGTGAAACGAGGCGAGACGGTGAACACGGAATGACAAAAGCGAGTCGCCTGATGGTTGAAGATTGGCCACAGTAGAGGACAAGCGGGACCGCGGATTAAAGCGCCATGTATGGTTGTAGTTCTTTGTGTGTTTGCTGTTTATTAGTTACTCACCTCCATCGTTGCTTCTGTCGTCGTGCCTGGTCGATGGGCACGACCGTGTGGTGAAAGGATAAATGAAGAAGGGCAGGGGTGTGGCGGGATGCCCGCTCGGAAACGTTTGTGTGCGCTCCTCCCGCTACAGCTTGGTCCAACGCGAGTTGACGAGAACGACGAGACTGGTAGAGAGAGAAGAGCTTGTCGAACCCAGGCAGCTTGAAATCCGAGGTGGAGGTTGAGAGGGCCGATGCCAAACGGAATGGCTCGCACTGGGGCCAGGCGGGCATAAAGCGGTGCTGGACGCTGGGGTCGACGGAACGTGAGGGTCGAGACTCCAGTGGCTAGACGACAAAATGCGTATGAGGCTGAGAATGTGGGTGAGAGAAGGTTGACACAGCGAGAGGCTGTTGGTTCATGAGGCAGTTTGGCGGCTGCAGCCAGCTGCTTGTTCTGTCTTGCGTGGGTCCCCGAGCTGGGCTTGTCTCGGGAGGAGTGGGACAATCGGACAGATGGGGCAGCGATTGCGAATGGGGCCTGATAACAGCAGCGGTCGTCGCGGTGTTGCGGGCAGAAAGAAAAGGTTCGAGGTCGAAACGCAATGTCGTGATGGTAGCTCCGGCTTTGGGAAGAGGGGCGCCGGTCCTCTCGCTCCTTCCCGCCCTTGTATACATTCGTATTTGTGTAAAGCTCCTTCCGCTGTGCTTTTGCGCGGCTGCTCGCCCTCTTGGAGAACATCCCAGTTACAGACTGCCCGCTACAATGACATAGCAAGAGCGCCCCACTCGCTGAAGCAACGTATGCGGGGCAACCTCGTCCCCCAAATGTATTACCTAATTCTGCTTCGTCTAGCGCCAAAGCTGCATTTTTAGCGTTTGGGGTGCATATCTCAGCTTCACCTACGAAGTACAGTGCAACCCATTCTGCTCTCCTTCTTTCAGCTTGTTCATTGCTACTGTCCTGTCATGTCCTGATGTCTCCAACCCTATAGCCATAGCCATGCTATAAAATCCGCCCCACAACCTTTCTACGACAAAGTTCCCTCTGGCTTCGGCGTCGATCGTCCAAACAGGGTTGCAACAAAGCTCTTTGTTCGCCGAGCGCGTTGACTTTGTTGCTGGTTGACAGATGCGGACGTGGCGGTGGGTGATACTGGCGGTGTCTTGAACCCCGAGACAACCTGAACGCCCGGCGATACCCGCGCCTTGTTTTTCTTCCCTCCGGAATCCCCGTCCTTGACGGGCCGCTCTGGAATGGCGGGCAGCTGCGGCGCTGGTGGGTGTTCGTCGACGGCACTTGGCGGCGGTGTCAGTTCCGGGGGCGACGGCGATGGCGACGGCGAGCGGAAACTCGACAGGGACTGACCATTAGTGGTTGTTTGACAGACATGGGTGGCCACAAATGCGAAACGTACCTTGACACTCAGTTTGCGCGCCGTCTTGTGCTTGCGGCTGCCCAGGCCTCGGCCCAAGCTCCCGTCAGTCATGGCCATGGCGGCCGGGGACGTGACTGAGCCGACGGGTAACCGGTACATGCCGTTGCTGGACAGCGGCCTGCCGCCGCCACCGCCGCCACCGCCGCTGCTCTCACCCGCGCCTGCTCTCGCCAGATCGTCTACGTGGCCCAGCGCCGTCGTCCCGCCGTACGCCAGGTTCGCTTCCGGGACGGCGACAAACCGCAGGTGGCCCCGCGCCGGCGGCACGCCCAGCGTCTCCTCCATGTGCCGCTGGATCAGCGCCGCGTTGCGCTTGTTGGTGGTGGGCTGCAGCTGAGACGGCAGGCCGTAGACGGCCATGACGTACGCGGGTGCAAACGAGCCGCCGAAGCACATGCAGGCACCGTGCTGGAGGGTGACGACGATGGACGAGAGGGGCCGGCGGTAGCGCAGGGCGAGGTGGGCCGACAGCTCCGTGACGATGGTAAACTCGTCGCCGACAATGACATTGGTGCGGACGTCGGCCAACACAAGAGCTTCGCTGCGGACGCGCTCCTTGGCGGGGCTGGTGTCGGCGTCGCGGCGGGTGGCAAAGGCGTCTTCAAAGTACTGGCTGCGCTTGCGGGCGAGGTGGCCCAGGTGGCCCAGGTGGCCGTCGGTAATGTTGGGCCCGGGAGTGGCAGGGGCGCCTTCTGCGGTCAGGACGCCAAGAATGGACCGTCTCCTTCCCGTGGTGGTGGTGGCCGGATCGCCCGGCGGCGGGCGATCAATGTCGCGCAGAAGATTGGGGTCGCCCTTGACGAGAAGGGGTCTCGGCTCACGAGACATCTGGGCCGCGCGCTGGGAAAAGGAGAGGTCCGTACTGCGGCTGCCACGACCACCGATGTTCACCTCCTCGATGCTGCTGCTGCCGTTGCTACTGGCGCTGCCGTGCTTATGGTTGGCGTGTGTCGTCATGCTCTCGGGCCCGTCACTGATGCCGCTGTTGTTGCTGCCATTGCAGTGGCCGCTGTCCCGTTTCACGGCTCCGTTCACAGGCTTGCCGGTATCCTTTGCCGGTGCCGACATTGCGGTCGATGCTATCGGTCGCTTCTGGATCTGTGACTTTGCGGAGACCTGGACCGGGACCTGGGCATGTGCCTGGACTTGGGGTTGATCCTTATTTCCCTGCGTGCGTGTCTTTGCCCGTATCTGGGTCAGTGCCTGTGTTGGCAACGACAGTGTCTGTTCGATGCCCGTAGCGGTAGCCATGTCGTAGATGTAGACTGCGATGATTATCAGTGAAAATCGGACTGCTTTTCTTGGGGTAGGTTTGTCAGTAGCGTGGGTGTCGTTTTGAAGGCGTTTTTGTGTCTCATCAGCCAAGGTGGTGGCACTGGGCCAACGATGGCTCTTTTGCCCGTTTGTTTGTCGCGCCTAGGGCCGTTTGCAACCTTGCAGGCGATGTAGAGGCTGCAAAAGAATACAAAAGGGGGAAGTAGTGGGAGTCGAACATTTGCTTTTGGTTAAAATGTGCCAATTCTGCGAAAACTTTTGCTGTCTTCCTTTTTCTCTTTCCTTCCTTTCACCTTTCAGTCCCTTTGGCGTGTTGTCGTCTTCCAAGACAGTACACTCCACGCCTTCTCCGACCCAGCTGTACTCAGATATGATATATGCAGGGTCGTTTAAGTCTGGCAGGGCGACATATGGCAACATAGAGACCCACCCCAGCCAGACGGAGAAACAGACAAATGCACGACCCAGGCTTCAGACTAGGGTAGAGAGGGGCTGAAGCAAGGACTGCGGCAGGACGGGGAAGCAAACTAAGAAAGAAAATAAAGCTTCGAAATATGACACGAGCAAGGAAGAAGAGGAGCAAGGAGCCGATGCTCGGACTGGGAAGACAATCCTTTGCACGTAACGATATACGATTACGGCGGGCAACGAGGTGGATGTTCAACAAGAGGTCATGGAGAGATACGTTGCTGAGGTGGCAAACGATAAGGAATCACGCCCAGTCCATTCATTCTCGATACACAAGGACACAGACACAAAAGGAGGCACAAAATAAGTGACAGGTGGGTATTTTGACAGGTTAGCAATAGCGTAAGGCCACCCGTCGGGTAACCATGCACAGAGAGAGGGGTTAAAAAAGCAGAGCAAAAAGAAGAGGTCGGGTTGTCAAGACGTCCAGTCGATGTGCCACATGAGTGAAGGTGAAGAGGCCTTTTAGTGAATGGGCCATTTTGCATTCAGGAAGAGCAATATTAAGGTTAGAAGGCCACAATACACAAGAGGCAGAACTCAGCTCGTGACACCCTTCACTTCACTGCAAGGAAACCTAAACCACGCCATTTGCCATGCTCCAGTTCATTCCGGGTGTAAAGAGTGAGCTATAAGGGAACAGATACAAGTGTCTCTCTGTCCGACTTTCTTTTTGTTTTCCACCTCAGTTTTTATTAATTATGCTCTTGCCTCCTGCATCCTGCCGTCCTCATCCTCTCTCGTTTTCCAACAGCTCGTGTCACCCCAGCGGCGCAAGCGAGACACGGAACCAGGGAGGAGTACCCGAAGGGCGTAGGAAGATGGACCGTGACAGAAGGTGAGATGGAAAATGAAAGAGTAGACAATTGGCCAAGCGTTGCGTTTCCTTTTCGTCCACGAGGGGTGGCTGACAGGCGATATCTGCCACAGTGTCGAAAAGGTACGAGTTGCGAGGCTGGGATTCCGTAAGGATCATTCAGTAAGGGGGACAGCGTCCTGTACATCTGTTTTCTTCCTTTTGACATGGGAAGATGCGTCCGCAAGGTGACTGGACGGAAGAAACATGCCGCCAGGTGGGCGAAAAGTGTCGTAAAATGACGGTATCGCAGACCCGCTCTGCACTCCGTAGTCTGGCCCCGGCTGCTTGCTGCGGGTGGCAACGGTTTCCTTTAGTTATTTTCTTGTTTGTTGTTTGATGTTGGAAGCGGAGTATTTATCTGCTACACCGGATGCTGACGTGGTCAAGGTCTCCAAAACGGGAGGCTGCATGTTGTTCCCTGGGCGATGTTAACTTTAATTCAGGCCATCGTCGTGATGGGTGCTTATGGTAGCTGTGTTCATTTTGACATGTGTTTAGTGACAAATTCATATTTTATTCCATTCGCGACGTAAGCCAAAATGCAAAGAAAGGATACAAAAGAGACACATTAACAATTCCATATGCCAACATGCCTACCCACGACCAAGAACCCATACACGATAATAAAAAGGAGTATAAAATCCAGAGCAGGAACATGTAAGATACAACAACACCTAGCCCACCAAACCGACCATGAGAAGTCTAGGGTACGGGACACGAAGAAGGAGAAGAGGCTGTGTTCTCCAACACAGCATCTCCACGGGAGAGGACACCGATGATTAGGGAGGAGCGCGGTAGAGACACGGGACTTCGCCAAGAGGAGGGCAATGAACCCGACACGTCTCGATTGCCCACTTACGACAAGACAGGACTGGGCGTCTTGCGTGCGTGCGTGTACGCCGTGGTGTAGCGCTCGAGCTTGAGCTGGACGCCGGCAAGGGCGAGGGCGAGAAACTCGACGGGAATAAGAAGGATGGCGAGGTCGACGCCGGCATGGCTGGCTCGGCAGAGGGAGGCGAACTGGGGCGCCGGGTGGGCGGTCGCGAGGTGGCGCCAGCGGCAGCTCCAGGAGAGGAGAGTGTCGGCGGTGGCCGAGCGGTTGGCGACGTAAAAGAGGATGACGGCGACAATGGCGGCGACGAGGCCGACAAAGGGGGCGGAGAAGGTGAGCGGCGTGTGGGCGTGGGCATTGGCGAGTTTGGCGCGGACCTGTCATGTTAGCGACTGACGAGCAAGCGAGCGTAGCGAGGACAAAAAGAAAAGCGAGCGTAGCGAGGACAAAGAAAAGCGAGCGTAGCGAGAACAAAGAAAGAATGGCGAGCGTAGCGAGGAAGGAAGGCGAGGACAGAAAGGACACAAGAGGGGCTTACAAAACGGTGGTGGCTCGTCAGCGCGATGAGGTTGGCGAGGACGACGAGGGAAGCGCCGGCGACGAGAGCGACGGTGGGCTTGACGTCGAAGGCGCCCGTATTGGGCCAGACGGACAGCCAGGCGGCGTCACGGGGCGACGACGAGTTGTAGGCCTGCAGGGCATGGCCGGCGGTGCCCAAGACGGCGAGGCCCATGAGGAGGGCGAGCAGCGTGGCGGCGGCGCGGGCGGTGTCGAGCGCACGGAGGTTGCGGCGCTTTGCGTTGAGGTGGGCGTCGTTCTCGTGGAGGTGGCTGTGCTGGCTGTTGTGCGTCGAGTCGACCTCGAACTCGGACGAGTGGTTGGGCTTCTTCTCGACAGACATGGCGACGAATGGGCGGAAAGAGAGAGAGAGAGAGAGAGAAATGAGTTGGTGATGCTGCTATGAAGGTTTTCAACAAGATTTTCAAGTTCGCCAGGAACAGAGGCCGGCCCAAGAAGTGAATGTCAAAAAGGGAGCAAGACGACAAACGAAGCAAGTGAAAACAAAACAAAGATGAGAAACCAGCCCTGACTGAAAAGAACGACGGCGATGGCTGACGGGGAGGACCTTCAAATAAGGTTTTCAAAGTCGTCGACCCTGCAAGACGTCTTGCGTGCCTCTTTGTTTATCATTTGTCGGCCATCGCCAGCCTTCTCACAACCCTTGCTTAGTTCTTTTTTTGTCGCCAACTACCTTGGGATAGCCGCCCGGCATACTTCTCTCTGCGACAAAAACGTGCAGTCTCTGGAGAAGTGTGGAACGCCGCTCGAGCGCTGCTTATCAAAAGGCAGGCCGTTCAGTGGCCGGCGGCAAATGCACTCGTCAAAGCAACCATCACCATACCAAATGGCCTCCATCCCGGCATCGAGACAGGCGCCGCGAGGGGAAGACTGGCCCCGCCACCATCCTACCCCCTCTGCCTACTGTAACAGCGGATCGACCTCAGATCCCACCTCGATTCGGGATCATTTCCGGACTCTGCAAAGGAGTGGTTGGCATGCGTCCAGTTGGAAGTCGTCTGCTCCATGAGCATCCGCAACGTTGGCTGGGCTTGCTTTCTCCAAAAGGGAGCCAAGGATGCCTTCCGCGAATGAGATTCCGTCTGTCGGCATGGCTGGCGAGGCGGCATCAACGCGCGCGTTTGGGGATGCAGGGTCAGTCTGGGGGGGAGAAACGATTCGTTTCAAGCAGACTGTCGAATGCAGATTGGTCTGCTTGGGAATGAAGGAAAAACAGAGGGAAAGAAACAGCAGCAGGGGCGCTGGCGCTTAGCTGTTGCGTGGACCAATCAGTGCAGCCAGGCGCTGTCGATCTCCCGAGTGGCTGGCGCTTCGACCGCTGCTCCAGTCTTGGGGGCGTTTCTATTTGTGGGCATCTCCTGTCGTGACGGGACGTATCGGTCTCATTTGTGACGGCCAGTGCAGATTGCAGAAAGGCACAGGTGGAGGATGTAAAATAAGAAAACAAACAATCTAATGACAGTGGCCCTGAACACGAAAAAGGGGAAGTTTGTGGCACGACAAGGAGTCTAGTCACGTGGGTGTTTTGACGTATCGTGAACCCGAGAAGAGGGTGGTAGAGAGCGGCACGAAGATTCTATTTCAGGGATGGGAAAGGTAAATAAATGTAGCTGTTTGTTGCCGGTCTATTTTTGTAGAAGTGGAAGAGTCGTATCAACTGTTTCAGTGCAACAGTCATGGCTTAGTGATCAATAAGAATTTTTAATAAGGCCGCCCGGACTGTTTAATTATTATTAATGAAAAAGAAATCTGCACCACGGTTGCATAAATCGCGACTGAAAATAGGAGTCCAAGTACGAACAGAAACAGCTAAAGAGGACAAAGAATAAAAATAATGATAAAACATCAAAATATATAGTAAAAACGGGTTATCTCACCTCCCTCTGATATTTATATTCGTGTTTTTCTTTCGTCAAAGATGTCGAGGGATGATTCGATTCATAGCAACCGGTCAAATTGCATAAATCTCCCGACAACAAAATGAGCTGGAGATGTGAGATGAGAATGCAAAATGACCTTTATTGTGAATAAAAGTGTAAAAAAAAAGGAATGTAGATGTGAACCTCGAGTCGGAAACGACGATGGACTACACGACACGACGATCCTATATCAACATCTCGACAATAGCCATCAGGTATGATTGTGGTGCTCACCAAGAAGACGAAGAAAGCGAAAATCGGACTTTGAAATGGAATATAATTTAAACTAAAATACAACAGTGCCGCTATCTCGACATGATCACAATTACCAGTTTGCCCCAGTCTCGTCATCGTCTCTCTTCTCACTCTTTGGTCTTCTTGCCCGGTGACACGACTTTTGCCACGACTTTACAACAGGACCAAAGCTGTGCACCACAGCACGGGATATCGCCTGTCCCTGTGGCCGTTCCCATTTGCATTTTTTTTCTTCCTGCCCCTGTCCCCTTTCCCCCAAAATAGCCATGCCACAACACAAGCTTTGCATGCCCAGTGTTTCTGTCAGCTCCGTGATGCTACCATCTCTCCTACCACGCTTTTTTCTTGCGAGGGTTCATTTTCTTGCAGTCAAATGTGCCGTGTCCTCTCATGGATGCCCAGCTGGTCGGCAAAATAACCGTCTGGCAGCCGCACCGTCCAGGGACGAGAGGGAAAACTGGAGAGAGCAGCTGAAGTACGAAGCGTGTGCTTTTATGCAAAGGACAAAAAAACCAATTATCGTCCCTGCCGGAATGGTGTAGACGAGAAAAGAATGGGCTTCAGGAAGCACAGAAAGCAAAAAGCACAATGCAAGCCACCATGCAGTCCCGAGAGACTGGAGCGCGGAGCGGGACGAGACAGGTCCAGAACCTTGGTGCCGGTATGGGCAGGATTGCAGGGCCCGGTTCACGTCGTTCAAAGGCGTCCAGGATGCGTCGGATGCAGGTTCTGCTTGGTCGTCGTCCATCCCTTAAGGCGAAGCAGGACAGAGAAGGTCAAAGCAGAGGGCGTGCCACGACGTTTAAAAAATCTCCTGCCGAGGTTACCAAGCATTTCGTAACAATCCTGGCAAGGTCGACAACGAAGGGGTAACGGGCGGAGAGAGAACAGGGAGAAGACAAGAAATAAGGACGTCGAGAACAACAGACAAATCGCACTAGTTGCGACTGTCGTATATGGAGGCAAATTAAACCCATACGGCGTTAAGAATCACGGTGAGATGGCCGAGTTGGTTATGGCGTAGGATTAAGGTTCCTATGGAGCAATCCGCGTGGGTTCAAGTCCCACTCTCATCATTCTTTTTATTTTGTTGTCAACCTTGTGCGATTTTTTTTTCTTTCCTAATTTGTCGTTGTGAATTTTGTGCCGGTGCCCCAGTTGAGGAGCCATTTCGTTTTGCCTCACATCCAAGTCCTAGTCGACGACTTTCGGCAAATCCGACGCCCTGTTTACAGAGCTTGTCCGACATAATATAAGCGTTGCAAATAGTTGGATCAAAAGTGGAGGTAACAATATACGTGCTGGTCTGAAAGAAAGGCGTGGCAGAAACGACCAGGTGTGTTCTGGATTAGGATAGATTTTGCGCGAGAAGACAGAAAAGAGAGGGAAGGCGAGACTCTGAGAGAAAACCCCCTGACGACCTGAACACTGCTCGCCTGGACGCCAGAACGTCAAAACACCTCTTCGTACGTCCGGTGCAAGGGTTTGGTGTGTCGTAAGATGTAGCATGCTGCATGTACCCGCCGGGATAGATGGACTGTGGGACTGTGAATGCATAAGTCGTCGTCGTATGGACAAGAAAATTGGGAGAGAAGCTAGAAAAGCAGAGGCACAGAGGCGACAGTACGAAGTCAACGAGATACCAGCGGACGGGGCGGTCGCACAGAACACGACAGCAGAGTGATATGAAGGAAGTGGAGAGGAGAGAGTGTCAATAGAGAGACGGAAACGAAGACGAAGAACCAAAAACACAACTCCAGGCAAGACATAATATGCTGGATAGTAACCAGACGCGAAGACGCGGTCCAATCCTTCTTGCGCGACTTACCCCTGCCAAATGTCGTGTCCCGACTCCGGGTCTCTGGCACTGGAAAGCGTGTGGCAGCGTGGATGTGGACCAGAAAGGGAGAAAGTACAATGTACAACGTATGTGATAGGATGTGTGGTGGTGGTTGTGGTTATGAGCGGCGGATAAGACTGAGAGCCGCGATGACTCGGGACAACCTCTCGTGCTCTTTTCAGTCTCGCCCGTATTGTATTTTGATTCCGATATCACATTGCGGCGACCAAAAGAGTGGAAGCCAATCACATCGTCCTTTGCGAGAAGCGACTTCTAGGGAGGTTCCATGCGCCACGAATTTTTCGGTCCTTTCATCGGTATCTTTCTTGCTCACTTTTCGCTGCCCCCAAGGCCTCGTCTTTCTCAACATCATGACATTACCCCTGCTCACAACCCCCTCTGTACTCCTTCCGCTCCCTTCTCAACCCATCCCTCATCCCTCCCCTTTCCCACCGTGTGTTCCCTCAGTTTTTCCCGAGACGCCGTCCCGGGTCCTGCATGCTTGATTAATTCTGTTTAACGTTTATTGCACCATCCCTGTCTGCTGCTCTGGCATATTGCAGTCTCTGCAGAGTGTTTGAGTTTTATTCCTCCAGCACCATTGCCTCCATCATTCGCTGAGCATTATCTTGTTGTGCTGGGATGGACGGTACTGCCCACACAACAGTATACTGAAGACGATAACCAAAGATATCAAGAAAACCGTCGGCAACAATGGTACAAAGCCCGTACGATGCGATAGGTTACTCAAGTTGCGTTGCACATGTCTCCTTTCCCGGCCCAAGCGTCCCGGAGCCGACAAAAGGGGCAGTTCTCGTGTTGCGCCATCATGCCTTCCACATCTCTCGTATGTTGTTCCTTTTTCATTCGTCGATCCTACCATACCCTCCTTTGACGTAGGGATCGAGGGATCGTGACGAGCATCTTCGGGCTTACTCGCATTTACAGACGAATGTACTCCTCTACCTATTCTCAGGTCGTACACGTCTGCCGTAGCCATTCTCTGACCGACATGCTGCCCCTGTCCCCTGGAAACCTTTCCTTGTCCTCCCTTTGCTATATCCCCACGTTTATTTTATTTTATTTTATTTTTTTCTAGTCTATTGTCCGTCACATACTATTGTATATACACTTTCTCTCTTCCCTCTGCAGAAGTGACTTCCCAACTGTGTCTGTTTCGGGAGCGAGCTCGAATAAAACTGTCCAAATCAGCAACCACTAGGATGCCGAAAAAGAGCATCCTGCTAACCTTGCATTGTTTTACGGGCCTCCGCGCACGGCTTTCTTTTGTCTTCTGTTTCTGTCAGTCAGTCATTAGTCGTCATTCTCGGTAACATGATCTTTGCTACAGCTTATGCATCTCCGTGTATTTTCTCCGCCGCACTCTAACTGCTTGCAGTTCCTGGCCCGGCCTGTGTGTTACCCAACTTTGGCCATTTGCATCAGTCTTGAACAGTTTATATATATATATATATATATATATATATATATATATATATATAAATTTAGTGATTTATTTATCTCTTGAATACGTACATTTCTGGTGTCAGAATTGATCTCACCTTGTCCATAAAACGGGCCTCACCTACATTTCTACGAGTATATTAAAAGCCCAAACCTCCTTCGTAAACTCGTGCGTTTTCTGCGTCTATTCATCCAGTACTTCGGCCACTTCGATTTGATATTGCTTGAGCACTTCAAGATTACCTGCAAATCGGCAAATAGACGGTGCAAGACCGGTCGAGCCTTTCAGTACAATAGACTGCCCGTCATACCAAGCTATGGCGTGTCGCGGAGGGACAATGCGGCAAGACGAAGCACAGTGTCCAACACAGACTCAAACATTTGTACGTTTGCCAGGTGCGGACAGGCAGAACGTATATGGCTTTTTTTTTTTTTGGCTAACATTTGCTCACAAACCAGCCACGGTTCTCCCAACTACCACCAGAGCTGCGGCTCAAGATTTGGGAATATAGCTTGCCTGCACCGCGCATCGTTTCTGTGCGCTGCGGTGCCAAGACACCATTGCACTCGCCGTCTTCGTCCTCGCCGTCCTCATCGTCCCTGTCACGAAGACGGCGCGGTCACGCATTGGACGATTGCACGGCCTGCAGTCCCGCTTGCTCGTCCCCCGCGTCGTCGTCATCATCGCCATCACCGCTGCGCTTAACCTCCCCATTGCAATCACCTTCGCCGTCACCGCCACCACCTCCGCCACCGCCACAGTCTCTACCGCCACCTCCATCCACAACCTCCTCCCCGCCCGGCTGGTGCACCTCCCCGGCGCCGCTCCCGCCAAACCTTCATGTGTGCCACGAGTCCCGTGTCGAAGCCCTGCGCCGCTATGCCCGCATGTTTGGCATCGCCCGCCAACCGGGACACGTCTACTTCGACCCTGAGCGCGACATCTTGTACTTTGGCCCCCGCGACGGCTATATGGCCGCCGAGGCGCAGTTGCGCACACTGCTTGTGCTGGCGGATCCAGAGGAGCTGACACTGGTGGAGCGCGTCGCCCTGAGTGAGGGGATTCTGGACTTGCAAAGATTGCCCTCTTTGTCCGCTTTGCCCGCGTCGTCCTTGTCATCCTTGCCGTCATCGACGTCGCCAGCGTCGACCAACCTCGCAGTCGATGTGCTGCACCAGCTGCGCACACGGCTGCCGAATTTGCGCGAGCTTTTTGTGGTTCCACTCGAGGAGCATCTGGTGGGGCGTGTCGGTGCCACGGCGGTGGAGGCGGAATCCGCTACAACCGGCTCCAACGCCGGCACGGAACGTCCGGCCTCCGCGGCCACGAGCCGCCTGGCCCTCCACATGCACACTGCCCTGCGCCGTGTCTGCGCCGCCGCACCGGACTGGACGCCGCCACGGTGGCGCATCTTGGTGACCGACAGCAGTGACAACGCGCAGTCGCGGCGTGCAGAGGACGGCAAGGCATGCTGCGAGCCGAAAACGACGAGTCAGTCTCGCGACAAGCAGCAGAAGCTGGCCAAGCACAAGGCTCTGTCGACGGTGATGTGCTGCCGGAACAGAAGCAGCAGCAGCACTGCCGCCCCGTCCGCATGTGAGTTTTGTGCCGACCAGCGCGGTGGTAATGTCCCTTTGCGAAGGAGCAACTCTCGCGACTGCAGGTCGACTGGTGTGCCTTCTTTAGCGTGCGGTAGCCATCGTTCGCGGCGGTAGATTATGTAGATTTCGTTTTTGTTTCCCTGTTTTGCTTATAAGGTTGGTACATCGCCACAATGGTTTAATGAATACGGGTATGGGATAATGACAGGGATTGGGTTTGGGGAGATGAACTGGGGAAACGGTCAAGGTCAGGGTTCATGTATGGAATGCAGATTCAACAACCAAATCTAATTCTCCAATATATACAACAACGCATGAAGTTATGCTAACGGTAATCTCAAAAGGTATCTGTTTCCAATGATGACAAAAAATAGGGCATCTGTCTATATCGTTCTCGTCCCTTCGTAAAATGATACGCAGTCACAGTATGTAGGTACAAAAATCAAGGGGCAAAAACCAAATGATATTTAACAAAATGACCGTAAAAAAGACGGCCAGACTCTAGGATGTCGCCTCAATACTTGTGCTGACAGGCTGAGAAAGAGATGCCGTGCACACAGCCGTGGCTGCAGTGGATGTTATTGCGGGTAAGGGAGCCGGTTTTTGCAGGTTCTGGTGCACATGACCTGACGGCAGATCGGGCACCTGGTCGGTCACTCGCGAGTGAGTCCGCTCAAGACCGTGGCCGATGCCCTTTTGGCGGCCCCGTACAACGGCCGCAAGTGCCTTGCCTACGGCATTGAGGTCGCCCAGCATGCCCACGTGGCCGCGGTCGGTGCTGATGTAGCCGTCGCGCACGTAGTGGTACCCGGGCGGCAACTGGGCTTCGCGTGCCAGGACGACGCCGTCGCCGGTCCGGAACACAAGGTCGTCGTATGCGTCGGCGCAGGCAATTGCGGCACGGCTGCCGACGCGCGCCGCGTAGACCGTGGGTGTGCCCTTACCATAGATCACGGCCATGGGTGGGTAGACGTTGGCGGCCGTGTGTTCGGGACGGTGGGCCATCTCGGCACGGAACTGCTTGGTCTCGGCCAGTGTGCGGATCAGGTAGGCGACGGCACGGGCCTGCTGGGGATCGGCAGGCGGCGTTGGGGGCGGCGAGGAGGCTGTGGTAAAGGCGACATCGAGAGCTTCGTTGGTTGCAGAAGCAGCCGAGGTGGTTGCCAGTCCGGGAAGCGGTACCATGTGCGACGATTCTGCCGCGTTATCGTCGGCAACGACACCCTCCGCGTCCATCTGGGGCGTGTTGAGGCGATCTTTGGCCAAGCTTGCTGTTGCTGCTGCTGCAGCGGTCAAGGCACGTCCAAAGTTGGTGCTGCTGCGCTTGTTGCTCAGGCTGGAGTCGTGGCCACTGCCATCCAAGCCAAGGTTGAGGCCTATGCCGCTGCCACTCCCCATGAGAGACTGGAAGGCTGGCAGTGCGGCTGGAGCAACGCAGGGTGACCAGCGGTAGCGCATCCACTCTTTGATGTCGTAAAAGTTGACGCGGTATTCCTCGGACGGGTCGTTGCTGTTGACAAAGCAAAACCCGTCTTCGGGCAAAAAGACAAAGGTCGTGCGCAGCGAGAAGTTGACCTGAGCCGTGAGGACCTTTTCGTTTAGCAGCACAGCGTCGCCGTTGCGTAGCGGACCGAGGATGTTGATGCAGCGCTGCGGCGTGCCAGCAAAGATAACGCCTCCAAACAGATCAGGCCGCTGGTTGATGGCGTGGCGCGTAATAAGGCCGCCCAAGCTGTGGGCGATAATGACGGCCCCACGACTACCCGGTTTGGCGCCGGGCTGGTTGCAGGGAAGCGACTCCAGGAAGGCAATAAGCTGTTTAGAAAGACGGTGCGGGCTTAGCCGCCAGTCGTAGCCGTAGTCGTGGACCCGCAGAGTACCCTTGCGTGCGTTTTCGCTCTCACGCAGCTTCTTGAACAGGCGGCGTGAGATGTCGACGGGACCAATGTGTTTGAGCATACCCGACGGGAAAATGGTTTGCGGCATGTTCTCCTCGTCCTCCGGGTCCAGGCCGACTTCCATGTTAACTTTGCGGATATTGAGACCGACCTTGACAGGCACCCATAGTTGACGGTGTGGCGGCTCTGCAGAACGAAGAATGGAGCCACGGTAGCCGCCAAGAACAACAATGTCGCCGGTGAGATCCTCGAGGGCGGCGTCTAGAGGCGATGCCGGCTCGCGTGGCACAAGGGCTGTGGTGTGCTTGGCGTCGGGGAAGAAGCTGGGCAGCTGGGGCATTTTAAACGTCGGCCTGTCAAAACTGTCCATGATGGCCTTCATGCGAGAGTTGACTTGTTCGCGAATATGTACAAATTGTGCCTCGTCGCCATGCGAAGGTACTCGTGAGAGGGTGTGGTACAAGAGAGAGTCGTCGGACGTCGACCGGCGCAGGACATAGGAGCGCTTCGAGGCAACAGACGGCGGCCGGTTCAGCGGCAGCCGCCCAGAAGTTGTATCCGATAAGTCACCAGCAGGCGAATTGGTCTGGGACGTGGCAACTGTGGCCATATGCGAGCTTCGAAGGCGAGAGTACGGGTCTGGGTCGGACGTCTTAGGTGTCCGCGGGACCCCTGCCTGGCGGTGGTCACTTGCCCGTGTTGGGGAGTCTTGTGGTGAGATCTTCCAAGAGGAGGGCGGCAAGTTCTGTACTGAGGATGTGGTACTGTTGTTGCCAGCATTTGAGGAGGAAAAGAAAGAGGGCGTGCTCAGACTAGGCAGGAAAGAGCTTTTGCTGGGGAAGGAAAGCGAAGAAATCGAGGGCATGGAAGGCAGGGCTTTTGATAAGCGCTTAAGAGCATCAGATCCCACGGATGACGAACGGCCATGGCGTGTGCCGGACTGGAAAACAGACAACATGGCGCTCGGCTTGGATTCATGGGCCGGTGCAAGAGGCGGTGCCGCCGGAGCCGGGGCCGAGGGTGGAGTCGATATGGTTGCGCTATGGAGTCGTGAGGACACGGCCGGCTTGTGTGGGTCGCAGAAGCCTGCACCGATATTGGCATTAACAATATCATCCATGGCCATGGCTTTTTCGGCGGCCGGTGTCCGCGGCAGGGACAGCCGCGTGGCTATTGGGCTCATTGTTGGTTGCATAAACGACTGGGCATCATCTTCCACGCCGTATATGCTGGCATCGTCGGCCAATGTGTCCGGAGACGTGTCGACGATAAGCGCACGTGCCGTCGTCGGAGCCGGCGCTTCAGACGATCTGGGCGCTGCCGGTGCATCTGGGATGCCAAGCCCCGATGCGGAATCCATAGTTGTCATCGTGGTTGAATGGGGACCACCTGCAGGTGCCTGTGGATTGGATGTGCTATTTTGCATGATGCCCGAGTAGGTGTACTCGAGATACCATGCAATCGGGCCTCGAGTTTGGAAGTTGCGAGGTAGCTGAATGGTATGGTCGTTTTGCTGTACAAACGTTTGTCACTAGAAACGGCACAGACTTGGGCCAAGCATGCGGCTCAAAAGCTCAGGAACAGCGGGAACAGCCTCAATTGGCATGCAATAATTGGTTGGTTTGATGGAGAGATGTCGAATTTGTGAAGAGGGCAAAAATGATCTTAACAACGGAATACAGCTGGCACGAGGAAAATAAATAAAGCTCTGCCGACACTTCCGGGGGCAAACACCCACGATCCGCTGGCAGTAGCCTTATTTGTGTCTGTAATAGTCTGCGTGGAAACACCACAAGGAGAGCTAGCGTGACTTGGTGAGTGGTGATTCTTGTGGGCTTGACAAGGCCAGGGGACATAAAGAGATAAGAATCCCCGTGACAGGGCACAAAGAGACGGGATGGGACGATGCTGTAGGGGCAACTTGGGCGTTGGCCGAGTTAAACTGGGCGAATAAGCGCGAAAGGGGGAACAAAGGGAACCACGAGCCGTTGTGAATGTAGACTAATAGGGAGAAGGAATTAAGACCAAGAAGATAGGAAGAGAGAAAATGAGGACATAGTGGTAAAACAATGAAGTGGAAAGGAAGGAGGAAAACATGGCCAAGATATGAGGAGCTGGTCGAGATAAAAGAAAGGAATAATGTTGATATTCAATAAGGAACCCAATTCTCACAAGTGACAACAAGCATTCCGTAAGATCGGAATCTCACCGGCTGGGACGAAGGATGACAGCACTATCTGGAGACCAAATTAAGTGCTGACTGGGTTTTCGCAAAGAGTGCCTTGTCACAGGAGCAAATTAGAGCTTTCGACGACGTACGGAAACGTGGAAGATGCGTCCGTACAAACAGCAAGGTTTAGTGTCTTACCCACCGTCGGTCCGGTGGTCGATTGAAGGCAACAATTGACCAGACCGGGTGCTCAAATCGTTTGCATGTCCTTGTATTCTGTATATGGCTGTTATGAAGGCACTGAGCCGCAGGGTGGGCACGCGAGCCAAGAAGAGCAAGGCAGGGACCAGATTGAGAGAGATGCTCCGCCAACGGTCAAGAAAGGCGAAAAGTCGCCCGAAGCTAGCCTGGTGTCAGTGCAGTGGCGGTGATGGGAATTAGCATCCTTTAGCATCCTCCGTGGATTGGGGACTGGAACGCGAAATACGATGTTGAACAGCAATTGGGCAGGGTGGCTGCTGGGCTGCAACAACCGGGCACAGATGGGATACAACGGTCGGGCGTCCGAGATTGAACATTGAGTTGTGGTAAATAACTGAGACTAAGAGGGACGCATGGGGGGTCGAAGGAGGGATGAGTTGTTGGGAAAATCACAGTAGTATCGCTTGTTGGTACGAAATAAGGATGATTTCATCTGGTTTCCCAACATGTGTTCTGGTCCGGCCCAGTGTTGCAATTGGCAGGCTCGATTGGCACATTGTTCCTTCCTGAAATCACTCTCATCCTTCCTTTCGTCTGATATGAGAAGGACGGAAGTAAGGAAGGAAGGAAGACAGGAAGGAGCCTCCGGAGCGTTCACCCCTGGGGGCTGACCTGCGCCGCACTTTTGCATACGCGGAATTGAAAATAGGGGAACAGCCAATGCAACGTCAGATACACTTTCTTACCCCCACGAAGACTTTTTCTTCCTGTTCTGTTAAGTACAAGAAGTGGACATCCGCCTTCACGGTTAATTCAATATCGACTGTGTTTTTGTCCACAGAAGGAAGTGAAGTGTTGTGACGTTCGCACTTGCCTTGAGTTATGAACAGCGACTTCAAAACCAATCTGTTCCTGCCTCAACGGTTGCTAAAGTAAATTCGTTTCGAGTCTGAAAGCCCTGTGCCTGTCTAATTCTGCAGGAACTTACGTCATGCAATCAGTGGAGTGGGAACCGCAGCACAGCCCTATTGTCAGCACGCAGCTTTTCAGAGCCTCGCGTCTCACCAACCGACGGTCATGGAGAAAACCAGCTGAGTTTGAAAACCATGGTATTTGGAATGGTATTACGAACAAACGATACGATATCTACTATTAAAGAAAGGAAAAAGTAAAGATTGGTAAAGCAAAAACACCAATGTCTGTACCAAGTATAGACCTCATACAAGCTCCGCACCGTCGTTATCATCGACCACTTACATCGAATCCGGAAGGACCTCGAACTTGCCCTCCAGCTTCTTAATCGTCTCGACTGACTCGAGGTATCCCGGCTCATTCTCCAGCCGGCCAAGGTACTCCATCGTCTTGGGGAATCTTTCCTGGAAGGACTTGCCGTCAATGGTGAACCCGCCAGCGCGTTCTCGCACGCCGAAGAGCGGGTAGCTTAGCATAATGTCGGCGGCGGTCAAGCGGTCGCCGCAGATGTAGCCGGTGCCGTCGCCTTCAGCCGGTGGCGTGGTCAGGTACGACTCGAGCAGCTCGAGATTCTTGCGCACATTGGGCACGATGAAGACGTTGTTGATCTTGTTGGCAATGGCGCTGGAGATGGGCCGGATCAGCCACAGCACCTGGGGCCCGCGAAGGTCTGTTGGGTTAGCAAGGCTCATCCAGATGCACCACACGCCACGTCTTTGCTCGCTTACTGGATGTCACAAGGGAGAAGACGAGGAAGGGCATCAGCGAGCCCTCGGCATAGTACAGGAGGTACTGGTACCGCAGCCACGCGGCCGTCTCGCCGCCGACGGCACCCTCCTGGCCGTCCTTCCACTTCTTGGGCACAAGAGACGAGTTGTGGCCCCAGTGCTCGCAGAGGTAGTCGATGATGAAGCCGCTCTCAGCAATAACCAGCTCCTTCGCATCGGCACCAGCGCTCGCCGGCGGGATCACAGTGATCACTGGCGACTTGCCGAGTGGGTGGATTTTGGCGAGTTCCGGAGGAGCAAACGCCGTTTTCTCGCGGTGGTAGATCTTGAGCTCATGCGGCACCTTCAGCTCGTCTGTGGTGACAGAGTGGTCAGTATCACGTGTAATTAAGGACGTGTTCCTGGGAGAGCATGTGTATGCTGTTTTGTGGCATTGCACTTACTCAGGAGCCAGAGGATACGCTGGGCGCGAGAGCCGTCGAGCCTGGAGAAGAAGCATCTGTATTAGTATATGCACTGTCGAGATTCGTACACGTAAAAAGCTTTTGGAAGGCACATGTAGGTCCAACGAAGCTGCGGAAACGCCCCAAAAGAGATACAGCAATTCGTACCAGTGAAGAATGACTTTTGCTTGGTTGGAGGCCATGGTGGTGATAATTGATCAATGCGCCAATGGTTTAATGGTGAGATTATGACAATGTACTTGAACTTGTCGCCAAGCTTGAACAACCAAAAACCATCTGAGCAGTCGTCAATATGAGGGCGGCGATCGTTCGGCTTCTTAAGCTTCCGAGAGCTGTCACGTGTTAATGTACGGCCGAACTAGCTGACCCGCTCCGCTTTGTGATACACCAACGGACCGCGAGCGAAAATGGCATAGCCATGAGTTCAATGGCACTAATAACCCGGCATTCGAGAATGCCGAGTCCGAAAGTCTCGGCATCTTTACGACTCCAGTGCCATTTTCATATGAAAAAAGCGCATAGCTTACGAGAAAGGGCCAGCATTCGTCTTCATCTAGTCGTATTTCGCTTATTTTGTGCCTTTTACTCGCATTCGCCTGTTTTGGACAGATCTGGAATGGCATGATGCACAGGTGGCTGGCTACAAGTGACCTACAAGTTACGTTGCCATGTGACATCATGCTGCGATGCCGCTGGCCGTTATGTTGCCAAGAAAACAAAAGGCGGCCAAGGCTTTGACGTTGACCACACGCTGACGCCTGACAACAAGGAGCTCGGTTTGGACGAGGGATAAAAAATTCTTTTCTTTTCTGTTCCCGGAGAGAAAAAAAACGGAATGGGACCCTGTATTATGAAAAACAAAATCACTGAAAACAGCCAACAAAAACACATATCAAAGAATAAGCTAGAGCTTCCTTTTTGGTTTACCACCGGCCCCATCAGATGACCTTTCGGCCAGTCCGTGTCTATAAACTCATATTTGTAAGCCTTGGCAACCGGCTCGTCTTGGTTTCCCAGATGCCGTATCGGCCTTGAACGTTGCGTTCGCTTACGTCTACTCGATCGAGTAGTTATCCGCCGTGCACTTGACGTCCTTGGAGAAGGCCACCTCCTCATCCATCTCAACCAGTTCGACCGAAGTCACCTAAGATGGTCAGTAAGAACAATGTAAAGTACGTACCGAAAATAATGTCGGAGAGGAAGCGCAGATAAAACTCACATCAACAGAAACAAACGGCGTCGACTTGGAGAAGCGGACCTGCATGGGGAAGAAATCGTTCTCGTCGTCCGTCTGTGCCTCAAACTCAAACGAGCCAGAAGCGTTGTTCTCGTCCACCGAGCCCACTTGCCACTCGATGCTGTCACCGGCGACTTCATATGTCGCGTCAAAGCTCGACACCGTGGGCTCGACTGCGAACGGGATTGACACCACGACGTCGTCCAGTGCATCGCCACCCGTCAGCTCGTACTCCACCGTCAGGGTGCAGTTACCGTCGCCGTCTTTGTTCACCCACACCGTGAAGCTGATTGGCAGAGCCGCTGTATCGTCCACCTTGGGCGACGCCCGCCACCGCAGCACACCGACCGACTGGTTGACGGGGAAGCCCTTGGCGGTGTTGCTCATCTGGATGATCCTGGACGAGTTGAACAGGTTCTTGTCGACGTTGGGGTGCGTCCGGAACTGAGCGCCGTGTGTCGGTTGCGCGTCAAGGTTCAGCTTGACCTTGGTGAGACTGGCATCCGACACGCGCAGGTTGAGATCGCCGCTAATGGCCAGCGAGTTCACGACACCGTCCCGTGTGATCTTGGCGTTGACCGACTCGTTGACCACAATGTGGATGGCGTCGCGGTCCAGCGTTGTCGACGCACGGCTGGCGGTGTGGTCTGCTGCAGGGGTAGCGGCCGGCGCAGGGGCAGCTACGAGCGTATCGGCCTCGGGGCCAAGTTCGCCACGAACCCGCTCGTACATGTCGGTCGTCTTGGACTTTTTGCCGAGCTGCATGCCCTTGCCCTTGAGGGTAGTTGCTGGTCTGGAAAGAGAAACGTAAAGTAAGCCATCGTCCGTTGCAAAACACACACGCCCTGATTTTTAGTCATTGGAAGCACACCTGTTCTTCTTCTTCTCCGCTTCGTAGGAGTCGTAGGTCTCCGTCGTGGTCTGCACTGGCGGTGTGTATGTCGGGTACACAGGTGTGCGCGGCGCGCTGCTGATGCCCCGCCGTGCAGACTCCTTGCGCTGCATCTCCAGCTGCTTCGCTTTCCGCTTGCGCTCTTCTGTGGCTTCCAGTTCCTTGTTCTGTTCAACGGGTCAGTTGGTTAGTGCCAATGTCCAGTGTAGAGGGTCAACGGTGAACCAAAGCCACGACCGTGGCGGTCTACATACACGGGCAATAATCTCCTGTATGCGTTCCTCGTGACTCTCCATCTCCATAAACGTCTTGATCTGGCTCATAGTCAGGTTTTCGCGGTAGCCCTGCGTCACCAGCTCGTCGAACGCGCTCAGCAGCTCGAACGCATTGCGCGTGATCTCGCGCTCGTCGAGCGACTTGCACAGCCCCGTCACAACCTGTGCGAAGAGGTGCAGCGAGTCGATGTCCTGCAGGATGTTGGACTGGAGGTTCGTGATAAGAACCATGTAGAGCTCATCGAGGGGCTGGTAGACGAAGCGGACGTTGTCCTGCTCAACGGTGGTGTGCTGGGTGCCGCTGTCGGCAAGCTTGGGAAAGGAGGCAAGGAGCGCTTCGACGCGGGACCGGGGCATCTCGCGGAAGAGACGCGAGAGCACGGCTTTACCGCCTCGGGTGCAGATGGACGCGGCGAGGACAACCTACGCAGAGCGTCCAAGGCATCGTCGGTTAGCCAAAAGTTGCACATGTGAAAGGAGCTATCATAGGGGAAGACAGATGCCAAAGAGGCGGTCGCGGACGGCCATTTGCTCTGGTCTGTGGGTTCGACTGGATCCTTCGTACCATGTTGAAGCTTGTTGTTGAATCGTGGAGGACTGGTCGTCGTTGGATCCGCGATATAGGGACGTGAAGAGGCACAAAGCAATGTTGTTCGAGCGAGAGGTCGTGAAGTCGGTCGGCGAGGTGCCTAAATCGCCAATCCGCCCCTCCCTCATTAGGGGGCACCATTTTCACATTAGTTGTCCCCTTCGCAAACGTCTTGGTCCGTGCGCACAGCACAGTGCTCAGCGGGCATCAGGCTGTGCTCTCAGCCAACAGCTCTTGGGAGGAAAGAGATAAAATACGCTAGTCCATGTGCGGCAAGCGCTACACGCCCGCTCATGGTCGCGCCTTCTTCGTGAAATTTACCCAAACCTGCGAAAGACAACCGCACCGTCCTGAGGCCGGGACACCCTTCCTACTCTTCTTTCTATAACGGCCAACGATCCAGGAGCTCTTCACTCCTATACCCTTTCACTCTTCCAGACCTCTCCTTACTTCATAACATTCACTTTCGACCTGTTCTACACCTACACGAGGCATCTTCATACTATCATTCGATTTACATTGCGTTTGCTGGCTTCTTCATTCATCTTCGTCATCCTTTGCCTCCCGCCACCAAGGCAGTCCCCCCCATCTCGGTAACCTACCCAAGGCATCAAGCGTCCCCTTTGATTTGATACATTGGAGCCTCTTTGACGGGCAGCAAGATACATTTCAGTTTCGTCTCGAGATTTGAGCAAGATATGATAAAGTGGCGTTGGTTTCACCTCACTGCAGCTTAGCACGACCCCTGACGACCACGTCTGCCGGAACGCGAGATAAGACACTATTTGCCATCTCAAATAGCGACCTTTATTCGAACATAGAGACGCTATGACAGAACTATCATTGGATGGGCCGACTCTGGCCATCGCCGAGGAAGTGGATCTCACGCTTGACGTCAAGGCAACCGATGTCGCGGGCGAGGACTTTGACTTGGACCTTGGCGGCAGCGCCGACCTGGAACGAGATGACGGCGAGGGCCCGACATCGAACTTGACCAAGATTGAGATTGGAGCCGATTTGGATGAGATCAACTACGAGGAAGAGACACGCCACGATGCCGCAGAAGAGATCGCCACTGCAGAGACAGACAACATCCGTGCCGACCAAGAAAATAGCGCACCTACAAACGACGACGCCGCCGACGAGATCGACTACGAAGACACTGAAATCCACGCTACGACAACGACACAAGACAGTCACAACGGTGACCACGATGCCGCACAAAGCAACTATGTTGATGTCTCAGAGTCGCAAGAGCACCATGAGACTGGTGGCAAGCACCGCGAGCATAACGACATTGACTTTGGATTTGATGACGCTGACGACAGCCACGGCGGAGAGGAGGAGCACGGAGAACACGGAGAGCACGAGGAGCACGAGGAGCATGAGGAGCACGAGGATCATGGTGAGCATGACCGAAATGACCACGGAGAGTATGAACAAGAAGTAGATGACTCCCACGACTATGACGAGGATGACGAAGACGGAGATATGGCCGAGCCCAAACAGGAAGACGAAGAAGACGAAGAAGAAGAAGACGAAGAAGAAAACGACGATAACCGTGGACAGCGTGCTGAGGTCGACCATGACGAAAGCGACGGTACTGGTCAGGACTACAACGGTGATGAAAATGATGAAGAGGACAGCGACTCAGACTCGGGCCTGGGTGCTCTCCGGAACTTCTACCCAGTGTCAACTTTTGACGTCATGGTCACATGGGGCGACCAAGTCTGCCCCCTTTTCAAGACACCCGGTGTTGAGGACCCCGACATGTTCTATCTGGATGACTATGAGGCTCTGAACTATCCTCTCTCCAGGTTTTTGCAGACTATCCGGTCGAGTATTTCCTCGTGGGTCCGTGCCAGCGATGAGATTTTGATCCGAGTCAATGAGCTGGGACTCGAGTTTGGAGAGGTATGTTTTGCCCCTATCCCTAGATATTGCTCCTGATTTCGCCAGAATACTAATTTTTTCTCAAGACTACGACCGAGGCACTGCTAAGCCAGGTGACCTTCCACAATCTGTTGGCTCTGCACAACACGCTCGTTAAGAATGATGACTCAGAGTCCACGAAAGGTGTGCATATCACGTTGAGCACTCGCCCTAACTGCCTACTGCGTTTGAAAGACCTTGTTGGCGGTGCTGGCTCGGGCAAAGGCCTATCCGCGTTCCCGTCGGCAGGTACTCGTGTAGATGAGTCTTCGGATGACAGTGGCGAGGCAGAAGCAGACTCGGACGACTCCTCGCCAGATGGTGAGGTTGACGACATGGTCGAGGAAGACGACGATGAAGAGATTGAAGACGACATCGAGGAAGACGCCGCGGACGATATTGATATGGCAGGGTCTTTCGACGATGCTGAGAGCGTTGCCAGCCAAAGCTATGCCGAGACCGCTGATAAGGAGGCTGCCCAGCCTGAACTTGACACGCCAACAGCCGACGAGGATGCCGATGCCGCGGAGGAAATTGATTACATCAATTACACAAACGAAGAGGTCGACGACAGTGTTGACGGCGCCCATCTGGGCCCAGAAGGTGTGACTGACTTGCCCACGCCGCACGCTGATGTTGGAGACGAGTTTGAGTTTGCAAACGCGGAAGACAACCTTATTGATGGCCTTGCCGCCGACGAGGCCAAACTGGATCAGGGCGATGACCTAGATCTTCTAGAAGATATCAACGACGACGGCGACATTGTCAGTCATGGCCGGGACGGTGCGACCGTGGATAATGCGGGTCATGAAGACCGGCAGGAAAACCAAGACGACTTTTTGGACCTGGGTGGCGACGTTGATGCTGCCACATCGGCGGCAACTCTGGAGACTAGCAACAAGGCCGATGATCTCGAACCGTCTCTTGACACAAGTGCAACAGCTACCCTGGACAATGATGAGATCGACTACGAGGACAGCCGCCCTGAAGGAGAAGAGACCCAAGCAGCCGTCGAATCGGGCGCTGATGAGATCGACTGGGATGTAGAGATTAAGAACACAGCTCCTGCAGACGCAACAGATGCCTCCCCAGCAGCCTCAGGAAAGCGAACGAGAGAGGTGGATGAGTCGGGCGATGCCCTGCTTGGTGACCTACCAGGTGAGCATCCATTTAGAAGCAGATCACGCAGTACTCAAGCACGACCCATTGCTAACTCCACCGTAGATGTCAAGCGAGTCCGGACTGGCAACACGCCATGATACGACAACCAACAAATGTCGACCCCTGATAGGGATACTCGCGAAATGATGTGAGGTCCATACCTTCGCCAGATATTCCGCCAAGTTTGTCGACCCAATAAAGTCATTTATGGCTTTGTTGTCCTCTTTCCACTTTTTTCGCCATTCTCTTGAATGCACATTTTCGCAAAGACGCTCTTTTGTTTTTCTTTCACCTTCTACCTCCCATACCCATTTTCTCCTTGTAATACCCCGTTGCCAAATTGGTAATGATTCTATCCGTTTCTCATTCTTCTTAACCAACATAAAGCAGCACAGCAACATTTTTCTCATCTACGACTCTTTTCGTCATCAGTTTAGCAAGGTAAGCTTTGATTTATTTATTTTTTTCTACGCAAGCAACACGGACCGGAACCGAACCGACTCGACTCGACGCAAGTCATTCTTCAACATACCACATCTTAAGCCGCCAATGACTCGCCCATGCGATCGGCACCACTCATGCCAGTGACAAGCACGAACCTAGTTCTCCGTTCTTGTCCTATGACACGTTCGATATGGCCCCTCTCCGTTTTAATATTGATTTTGCATCTGTACTGTCTGCTTTCTGCCTCTACTCCTTTCGTGCCTTATGCGCTATTTTCATTTCATGCTTGATTTTGTTTATGCTCCTTTTTGTTTTCGTTTGCCGGCATCGTGTATTTTAAAGAGTTTCTATTCCCAGTTGCAAACCAGTGCGCACGCCAGCTGCCTTCTTGCATTGCAAAAGAAGGGGCGACGAGGGGACGGAACTGTCCGTCAGGGCGTTTCCGGAGCTTCGGGATGAGGGTGAAAAGAAGAGGTAGCTCTTGAGAGAAGAATGATGTAAGTCGAGTGTGTGTGTCTGTTACGGCGTATCTTGACGGCGTTATCTATTGTGCAGTTTTTGTCTAGGTAATTGCTCGCGTACCCCCTTACTGCGATGTCCTTGTGTTGTTGAGAAGGATATGTGTTGCGTCCTGGGTGATGAGTTTGTCCTGTTTTTGGAGCGATCTCTCTCTCCTGGTGAGCAACGGCGATATCAAGCTAGCAAAGGGATCTCCTTACCATGGTAGCAGAATTGACGGTTTGATATAAAGGCGTGCACTCTTTTGCGTAAACGCTTGTTGCACTACATCGGTTTCGAGCGGTGGTACGGACGGCGAGCAATATCCATAGTCCAATCTTTTGTTTGCAATTCGGACAAGGATATAGTGTGTGCGTCCTAGCCCTATCTGCAACTTTGTTTGCAGTTTCTTCTTTAAATTTTTTGAAACAAACCGGCACGGGAGAAAAGAATAGAAACAAAAGCGGCTGGGGCTTGCCCTGCACACACACGCTTTTGAAATAGTCAGGTACACCCGTGCTTGCCGTGGAGCCTACTGCAAGGCACCGTCAAACGAGCCCGTTTTAATTGTTTCCTGGGGATGAAACGACCAGGTATTAGTTTGTAGACTGCTCCGTATTGTTGCATTATTACGTTGTGGGTTACTACTATGTACTCCAAAGAGCTTGGACCGTAGGGACCAAGGACGCTCGACACGTATTACCCTCATGAATTTGCCATAACAGTCCATGGGTGCTCAACATCTCGAGATAAAGCGTCGTCCTTCAACGAGGCGCAGCTTGCCCCGAGGACTCCGCAAGGGATGGAGAAAGGAGCAAAGAGAATACGTTGAGATTTAGGATGGAGGCTCTTCACGGCGAATACGAGAGAACGCCAAGTCTGGGAAGGAAGGGGACGGAGTCAGAACGGCCTTGTACGAAAGAAGTGAAGGACAACGCGACACACGTGACAGTCAAAGGACGAGATTCAACATAGAGGGTGGAAGGAGAGACGCGTTGAGGGAGGCGTTGCGTAATTCTTCTGGTTAAGTGTACGAAATACAACTGCAACACAATATTCCATATTTCGAGGTGGCATTCTTGGGCGGCAGGTGCGATAGCTGGGAGGTGGAACGGCTCCACAGGTTCCACAGCGGGCCTGGGCAAACAAGCAAGCAAGCGTTGTTTTGGGCAGGGAGGGCTGAGAGCGGCTCTCTGGCGGGTCTGGCTTTCGAAAGGATCTGTGTGAAGCAAAGAAGAGATGAGGCGACGACAGACAGACAGGCGATATTCAGTTCCAAAGCAAAGGTGACGAAAGGAGCTTACCATTCTTGAAAGCGATCTTCCTCCTGCGCTAAAAATGGTTTAAAAACTTGCTAAGACAGGAACTAGTCAGGGGAACAACGTAGACAGGCAGACTATGCAGAAAGAACAAAGGACGAACGGTGGCTCGGTGGCAGGGCGATTTGCTTGCGAGGCCTTCCAGGGGTCGAGATTTCTTGGTGGAAGAGTGGAGACCCTGCGCCCTGAAACCAAAACGAGGTTCGGAAAAAAGTAGCAGGAAGCACTGAGGCTCCAGGCGCTTTCCCACCGCAAGAGTGGACTGAGAAACATGTGCTAAATCGCCATCGCCAAAGGGCCAAGAGCCTGGCGCAACTCCGTACGCGGTGCCAAACAGCAACTATGCTCGACCCGGTCTTGGCAAACGGCTCCATTGAACCAGAGAATAAAGAATAACGTCTACGATGTGTTGACGATGCTTCAGACCGGCCACCCGCCAACCCCATGCGTAACTTTGAGCACAACAGGCGGAAAAAGCTGGTGAAAGAGGAGGGATGAAAAGGAGGAAAGGGTGGCGGAAGGCACCTAATGCGCCTCCCAGAAGCCGTGGCCGAAGTTGCCGACGCGCCGATAGCGAGCCCGTGATTACTGCATTACAGCGACTTCCATATGGACGAACAGGAAAGGATGTTCGGGCACGCGCTCATATGCCCATCTGCCCATCTGCCCATGTCTGACGAAGGACGATCGTACCTGGAGAATCGCAACTAAGAGTCCGACGTATCTAGAAAGACCAGAGAACGGCACGGCGCGCCCAGTTACCGCATTGGAAAGGTGCAGGCAACAGAATAGTACACAGCATCCAAGTCCTGAAGCCAGTGGAGAAGGACAGTTCATAGTTATTGCGGCTATTGCGATTCTGACGCGACCAAGACACATTGGAGCCGAGAAGAGAATAGGGATACATATCTGCAGCCACAGCGTGCTGAGCATCGGGCTGGGCAAATATAGACAATAAGTCGTATGGTGATGAGAACATGACTGCAAGGGGAAAGGCGTACATGGTTCGTTTTTTTTTTTTTTTTTTTTTTTTCTTTCTCGCCAAACTGCGAACCTTTTGGTCGAGGGCGTCCCACTGAAAAGGTCTGTAGGATGCAGGTAAAAGGATTTATTCAGCCCACAGCTGCAGCGCATTCGGGGGCAAACCTAATTGTCTTCCCACCAATTTTTCGGCTTCCCCTGGGCTAAGCCTCTGCGCCGCCCACCACCAACCGCCCCTTGCACCTGCCTTTCCCAGCACAGGGGCGCCTTCTACTTCTTATTGTGTCGCATCAGCTTTCCTCACGTCCTCAGACAAAAGAAAACGAGGCAGGAAGGCGCAAATGTAAAACTGGCCAAGAAGCCACATCTTGCAAAATCCCACATCACAATCTATTTCTCAATATTTTCACGCCTCATTGAACAAGTCTCGCCTCGACCCTACCACAAGCGTGACAAACGCGCGCTTCTCCAACTGCAGCATTGCTCGTCGAACACGTACTTCGTAAGACCCTGCATTAATACGGCGCAAACTAGCCAACCTGCGCCGCGCCAAAATACGAGGACGGGGACTTCCAGAACATAGCATCACTCTCCCCCCTCCCCTTCAGCATCTAACGACCAACCAACGAGGCGACGAGAATAGCGCAAGCCCCCCCCCCCCTTTCTTCGATCTGCTAGTGTGAAGAAACCCCAAAAGAGCCCAAAAGAGCCCAGTGTTCGAAACCACTGCACACTAACGCCAACCACCCCATACGTCGAACAGCCCCCCAAACAAGGGGTCATTAAGAGAACATAGACCTGGACAAACGCAACTCAGGAAAATCCCACGACCGCTTTCCTCTTCTGTCGCACGATCCAAACCCTCCCTCGCCTGGCGCACACGACTTCCGCGGCTCCTCATTCTTCCCTCGGCCTCCCTCGTCCTCCCTCGCTGCCTCCATTGTCTACGAAGTAAGAGTCCCACGAGGCAATATTCTCGTCACGGTCCGCTTGCGCCGTCTCTCGCTCTGCTCTGTCCACACCGCACGCTACACACAACGATTCGCCAACGCTCGACGCAACTCGTCTCGCCCGGCGCGAGTTCCTCTTGCCAACCTGTCCGTCTTGTTCACGACACACCGGAGAAACCACAGCCAACATCCTCTGGTCGCTTTGTTACGCAGCATACACCTCGAACGCGGACATCACCCTCGCTTTTGCCCTCCTGTGTACCCTTTCCGGACGATTTCTGTTGGCTTTTGCAAAATTGAAGTTGATAGACAGCGACCAATTGTCTTGGCGAGCATCGACGACAACCAACCCAAAACGGCGATCGCATCCTCGTCCAAGTACCAGTCGGAATCGACAGACAACTCTCTTTTTCTGCCAACAGACCCCCTTCTCGACTTCTCGGCTACCGCCGCTCTCTCGCTTTACGTCGTCCATTCCTTGTCGATACTGCGCGTGCAGTCTCGACGGGTCCCCCAAGACGCCGTCGAACAAGGTATCCCAACCAACGTCGACGATTCAAAGCCATACGACGAAGACACATCTCTCTCCCGCCAAAGGAACAAAGGGAACTAGGGGCTGCGCGCTCTACGACACTCGTTCTGTTTCCTTGTTTCCTTTCGTGTCTCGTCTCTTTGGTTTCTTTCCATCATTTATTTTTCACACGCCGCATTCACAATGTTGGAAGACAAGTACGAACGGCCTTTCCCCCTCCCCTCTTCGTCTACCCCTTCGGCGTTCCGATCGTCAACCCGGGCAAGGGTATTTTGGCGCCCTGCGCTGACCATAGTACTGACGTTTGTCTTTTCTGCAGGTACATCGGCCTGGCTTTGGCCATGGCATCCAGTCTAGCCATCGGTACGTCGCTGCCTCGGTTGTCTCCTGTTCGATGTTACGTTCCGCGCCCATCGCGCACATGTCACGATCTTTTGCTAACGTATTTTCTATCTTTCAGGCACAAGCTTCGTGATTACAAAAAAGGTGCGAATGAAACAGACGAGTCGTCTCACCGCCGCCCGCCGGGCCTCTGGGTCCATACACATAGATACGGCTATGTGATGCCGAGATCCTGAGTCACTTTTTACTAACTAGAGGATGTATAGGGCTTGATACATGCCGAGCAACGTCACGGTTTTGAGGGCGATGGCTTCGTCTATCTCAAGAGTCCATTATGGTGGTTTGGCATTTCAACAAGTAGGTCATTGCTCCCCATTCTCTGACAGCTAAAACACTACACATCTGCTAACAGCTCCAGTGGTCATTGGTGAGATCTGCAACTTTGCCGCCTATGCCTTTGCTCCCGCCATTCTCGTCACGCCCCTCGGCGCTCTCAGTGTCATTGTCGGCGCCGTCTTGAGCTCGTATTTCCTCGACGAGATTCTCGGCACGTTGGGCAAGCTCGGCAGTGCCATCTGCCTGATCGGCGCCGTCATCATTGTGCTGCACGCACCGCCAGACGAGGACATTTCCACCATTGACGAGATTCTGCACGACGCCATCCAGCCCGGCTTCCTTATCTACTCCTTCACCGTCACCGTCTATTCCGTCATTGCCATTTACAAGCTCGCCCCCGTCTACGGCAAGCGGAACCCTCTAATTTACCTGAGCATCTGCTCGCTCGTCGGCTCCATCTCTGTCATGGCCATCAAGGCCTTTGGCATTGCCCTGAAGCTCACCTTCTCCGGAAACAACCAATTCACCCACCCGTCCACCTATGTCTTTATGATTATCACCGCTGTGTGCATCTTGACGCAGATGAACTACTTCAACAAGGCCCTCAGCCAGTTCCCCACCAATATGTAAGTGTGCAGCCTCCCCACCCTCCCCACGCATCACCTTGCGTGCGCTGCGTTTGCTAACTACCTACCCCAGTGTCAACCCCCTCTACTACGTCACTTTCTCAACTGCCACACTCTGCGCGTCCTTTATCCTCTTCAGCGGCTTCAACACCACCGATACGATTAACACTCTGTCCCTCATCTCCGGCTTCCTCGTCACATTTGCCGGTGTCTACCTGCTCAACCTGTCGCGCACCGACCCCAACGGCACCCGCCTTGCCGGTCGCAACGGCTCGGACGTCATGGGCACCGACATGGTCTCCTCCCTCCAGACCCGCATCAGCATGGAGACCCGCCGCAGCTTCGGCCCCGGCCATCGCCACAGCATCAGCGGCAGCAGCAACGCCGCCGACCGCCAGGGCTTAATACGCGCCTACGACGACGAAGAGGCCGGATTCGGCCTGGCCGACCTCGCCGAGGACACGGATGAGGACAACCCGCTGCCCATGTCGCCGAATGCCCCCAACGGCGGCGCCAGCAACGGGCACGCGTCCAAGACCAACAAAAAGACAGCCGGCGTACGAAGCGTATCCGATCAGTCCAAGCCGGGTCGGTGATGGACTGGGCAGGATCTGGTCATGTTTTTGGTTTCGCTTCGCTGTCTTTTCTTGTAACGATTTCCTGTGTTTGGCTGTTCTTGGTTACGTTCTCTTTTCTTCCTGTCCTTGTTCTGTTGTTATCATGCCGTCACACATATACCGAAGCACATAACACCCTCTCCACAAACTGCTTCCTCGTTGTTCCTTGGATTATCGAACTCGAACTCTTCGCGTTCTCTTTTTTTTCTGGATTCCTTGCGTACATCCTCTTCTTTCACAATATCATCCGCTTCTCCGTTCTTGAACCCGGTTTTATATCCTTGGGGACCATGTTGTTCCTTCTCTCCCGCAAAATTGTATAGTTCTACATTTCATAAGGAGCGAGTTTGGTTGACGACAGCAAGGGAGATTATGAGCTTGGAAACCGGAAGAGGTGTGGCGAGGAAATCATCATGGCGTTTTTCGTTGTTGCTTTTCATTTCAGTTCTGGTTTTTTGTTTGCCATATTCATGCGAAAAGAGGGAGAGAGCCATCCAATTGGGTAACGCTTTTGGGTCTTTAAGGGGGCTGCGTAGCTACTTTTTTTGTTTTGTTTTTTATCTTTGTTTTCTTGGGACTCTTTCCTTTGATAGGGGGATGGCTTCATTGTCTTTGTTCTTTTTCGACCGTTTTCTAGTTGCTTTGTTTTCCTGCTCGACGCTTTTCGTGTGTACGATAGAAGGCGACGGCCTTGCCTCCACACTATGCAGGGCAACCATCAAAAAACCAATTCCATAAATACTGCATGACACACCGACAATTGATCGTAGGATGAGTGGAAGTGTCTACTCGTTTCACTTGCAACAATCTACCGTCAACGACTCACTGCACCATACTTTACAGGAACCATTATATAAATTTTTAATCCAGTTTGTATTTTTTTAAACCGTATGTGTGGCGGCGTGAGTGTGCGGTGAAACATAAGGGGAGGGCAGGGGGAGGACAAACGCCCAAAGAATTTGTTGAAAACAAACCAAGCGAAAGAGCAAAAAAAAAAAATCAATAGGCGTTTAAAAAACAAGTACTATCCTCTCCCTTGTCCGTTTTGGTACGTTCGTCCAGAGCCCGTTTCCTCAAATCAACGTTTTTGTAAATCCTCGTTTTCCATGTGTCAAAAGCCTTGACTGATTTCATGTTTCCTCTCTGAAGAATAAACGTGACACTTCATCCCCGGGAGGGGTATTTCCTGGAGGAAATTGCCGTCCAGGTCGCCCTTTACCATCGTTGGAGGTTGCCATGCTCGACATCGTAGACGCCGCCAAACTGGATGCCCATGGGCACCTGCACGGCGGGCTCGTTGTACAACGCGTCGCCGCTGAGGAAACCCACAGATTGGCCTGCAACATCGGCAGGAATGTGGTCGAGGACGATGATGTTGTCGTCGTCGTTGTCGTTTCGCATCATGATGCCAGGTGCAGCCAGACCGCCCGGGGCGATGCCGCCGCCGCTGCCCAAACCCTGCTCACCGCCGCCACTCACACCAGCTCCCGCTCCGCCACCACTGCCACGCAGTACACCCCCGTCGAAACCACCGCCACGTTGAGCATACTATTGCTCAGCGGGGGCAGCCTCCTCGTCTGCAGGTGCCGCGGCGGCGGCCTCGGCAGCGCGCGCAGCCTCGGCGGCCGCGGCCTGCTGGGCAGCCTTGGCACCGTAGTCCTGGCTGATGGGCTGGGTGACGGGCTGCTCCTCCTTGGGCTCGATGATGGTGACGGAGTCGGGCAGCGACTTCTGGGGGCCGGCCTTGCCCTCGGGGTCGGAGCCGCGCATGATCTTGACCTTGATACCCAGAACACCCTGGCGCAGCAGGACGTGGCGGGTGGCCGAGTCGATAAAGTCCTTGGCGGGCTGGCCGGAGTGGATCATGAAGCCGTCGGTGAACTTCATGGACTTGGCACGGGCGGCACGGAGCTTACCCGAGACGACAACCTCGCAGCCCTTGGCGCCGCTCTCCATGATGAAGCGCAGGACACCGTAGCAAGCACGGCGGACGGCCAGGCCATTGAGCAGCTTGTAGCGCAGGGACTCGCACTGGGCGACGGCGGACAGACCGCGGTTCTGGACCTTGGCGGCGTAGAGGGAGACGCTGTTCTCGGGGAACTTGAAGCGCTTCTGGATGAGCGAGGTGAGCTCACGGATGCGGCGGCCCTGCTCGCCAAGAACCTCCTGGGTGTGGGTGGCGCGGATGATGATGTCGGTGACGGTCGGGGTGACGCGGACCTCGACGCCGGAGTAGCCCTCCTCGGCCAGCTCGCGCTGGAAGAACTCGTTCAGCTCGGCGTAGAAGACACCGTCGGCGACGAACTTTCTCCGCTTGGAGCTGTAAGAAAACAAAAACAGTCAGCATTGCTGGATCACTTTGTCCGGAAGCCCCATCCTTCAGTCATGTCCCTCGATCATCTCCTGGTCCTCCAAATCGAAAATCAAAAGTCTCTTTCTCGTGGATATTCCCCTCCAAAATCCGTTCGTGGGGTCGTTGACGTACATCTGAGCACCCGGGGTAGCCATGTTCGTGATATGTGAGGATTTCGAAAAAGGAAAGAGTCCGAAAAGCGGGAGGTTGTTGTCGTCGAGAGTGTCGAAACCGGGGGTATCGTTCGTGGGTTGTCAAAGGGTGATGGAGATGGATCACTTTTCACGCAGGCTCGAAATGGACGACAACCCTCCAATGCACTTTTTTCGCTGCACTTTGGCGCTACCATTCAAAAAATAAAAATCATTGGGCTGCCCGTAAATTCTTTGCCAGACCCCCACCAACCAGAGGGCCGGATTCTGGTGGAGGGGAAGCCCTAACTGCTTAGTCATTTAGCGAGGAGCTGCACCGGATTCTGCGCACAAATTTGCAGTGAGGTGAAAAAAGGTTGCACTTTCAGCCAATGAGAAGAAAGAACCACTAGAGCCACTTTACAGCCGCAAAATTAATACAGTGTAAATACTGTCCTTAAGTATATGATACTGTGCTCATGAGAAGCTTCCCTTTCAAGCCACTTACACCGACACAGAACGCAGCCATCACTTGGGGACAAGTATTTGATTCTGGAAAATCGTGCCTTTAGAAATTAAGATTCATATTATGGCCTTTTTCCTACATATCTCTCCATTTTCTCCCGCAAGTTTCAGCACAGACACGTCCTCTGCTCCCGTTGTCTAGCCTTTCACTCTTCGACAGTCATGGCCGGCAAAACGTCAGCCTTTGCCAGTCTTTCCCTCGTAGAATTTTGCCATGCATACGACGTTCAACTATGGCATGTTAGCAAATGGTCTCTCCGCGACAAAAGAAAATGAGAGAAAGGATCAAGATAGCACAACAACATAAATGACGTACCCTTATTGGCGAGCACCTTGGTGGCGTCCTTGGTGCAAACGGCGCCGATGATGGCAGGCAATGCCGCCAAAGCCGAGACTTGCCAGCGGTGGGAATGGCAGCGACAATAGCGGCCTTGGTCGCGTCGGAGAGGCCCGGTAGCTTCTACCACGTGCCGGTATTGACGGCAGCGGCCAGCGTGGCCACGTCGGATTCGGGGTAGCCAGCAGCAACGGAAGCGCTGCCCACGACAGCTGGGAGCGTGGTCGACAAGCGGTTGGTAAGGTTGGTCTGGTAGACGGCGACGGCAATGGACCCGCCGGCGGACCGGATGGACGATAGCATGCCGCTGGCCAAGCCAATGTCTTCTGGCTTGCAAAAGAGCGCCGCCAGCGACAAGAAAGCTCGATGAAGCCGATCTAAATGGGGCCCAGGATGGTCAGGCGATGCCAGCCGACTTGGTGCCAGGCGTCAACGAGGCGAGAGAGACTACGAAACCGACCATGGCGACGGCGGCAAAAATCATGAGGTAGCGGAGACAGAAGCGCACGACCAAGCCGATAAATTGGATGTTCTTGCAGTAGCCCGGCGGTAGACTGCGATTGCTAGATCTTTCCTGGGTATGTAGGCGTTTCTTTTGCCGTTGTTCACGTACTTGTCACCACGAGCGGCCTCTTTGATGGATGAGGCATCATTATCCTTCTCATATGTCTTGCTCGGCATGTGGGCGTCCTTGGCGGCCTCTTGCCCCTCGGGAGCCTGGACCTCGTCGGCCATGATGTAAAGTCGAGTGAGATGCAAGTAGTTATGTTCTTCACTTGGAAATTGCCAGATGTGTGCAAGAAGAATCTATACTGTACAAATCACAGGTAGAGCAGAATAGAGAAGGGTCAAGAAAGCTTCAAGTGATCAAAAATGCTGCCCGAGGCCATAGTATTTATCTTCCGGACACGAGATAGCCATGGACCGTTTGAATCCAGACTATTTCTTTCAGCCCATCCTATTCATCGGACCCTGCAAGGATGCCCATGCGAAATCAAAACGAGGAGACTAACACGAATACCGCAGTTTGACAGGACAAGAAACAGACTGACAAGACCATGCAAATGCACATGCGCCATTCACCAAGCAGCCTTGGTTTATGTTCTGCTTCTCTGGAGGCGTTCACGAAAATAACTCAAATAGCACATATCCTCACCATTACCCTCCGTCGACACTATCAAATTGTTGTGGATGAGGGTTTCTGTCTCTCCGCATCCACTTCAAAACTATCTAGGGTAAGGAAGGTTTATTGTCGGAGAGCAGCATACCGATAACCTTAAACAAGATCATCTTCCACGGTTGATCGTCCCCCAGCGAAACTAAGACGAGCATGGTCTCGCTTAACACACAGCATTCGCCATATCCCGTTAGGGTCCCGGGCATATAGTTTCCGGAAATCGGCCACAAGGACGGGACAAATGGTTCAGTGGCTTGTAACTCTGTGCTGGACGGGCACTGGTCTCTGGTTTAGTTAATTGTAACAAGTACTTTTTGGCAGAAGTTTTATTATTACGGACGTCGTACCCGGCGTTAATATCTGACGTTGTTGACACTCAGTAGAATAATGTTCATTACAAGGAAACAGCTTTTTGTGTTCTTCTCTTTTCTTTCTTTTTTTTTTTTTTTTAGAAAAATTATGCTCCCAAACAAACATTATTTTTTTCTAATATAAAATAAAATAAAACAACAAAATGTGCAGATACAATATCACGCTGGTCTGGAAGGCCTCACATTGTGATGCGTTATCAGGTCTGTTGCTATAAAACAGGATGTTTTCAAACTTGATAACCGCGCCAAAGGAAATATTGTATCAGTGTAAGCTCAGAATAAATTTTCGCATCTATAAAACGAAGTTTTTGGATACCATTCTGTCCGTCCCATACAAAACGACCATGATAGTCACGTGATAAAATTCGTCGAGGCCGACGGTCGCTTTCTAAATAAAGCCGACAACGACGTCACAGACAAGGCTTAAGATGCAAATGTGCCGAACCTTCACATTTCACAACTCTTCTGGAGCCTACTTGATATCGATTTTTGGTGGATAAAAGGAACATTCTGAAAATTTATTACACAATATAATTTCTCCTTTAGCAGAAACCAATATCAAATTCAAGACCAACTCCACGTGACTGCGATTGGGCGCATGTACTTGCCAAGCGCCGCACTAACCACCACGGCCGCCCGCCAACGAGAGAGCTCCTTCCCTTCTGTTGGGCAGGCTGCACAACCTGATCTGGCACCCTCCAGCCAGCTTTATCTCAGCCCACACAACAATATAGAAAGAGTGTGTACAACCGCCTCCACTGGTGTCGTGCATCGCGGTTCATTGCATACACGCGCACCGCATTATTTCAACGACTTTTCTACCGACCACAGCATCAACTATCACGCCCCGTGCAGCATCCGTTCCCCGCCCCTTTGACTGCCCGCCACTTCCGGAGCAACGTCATTGAACGCTTGGCTCTCAGCTTTTCGGCATATATCTTTCATCTGTTGACTTCAGCACGTCTCACTTGAAGCTCTTATAGCTGCCTTCTTCCTTTGTTATTTCCGTCCCTTGTCCTGCGTCGCTGCCGACCCGACGGCGGCGCCCGATGACGGCATGGACCCCAAGCTCGTATGTAAGCCCCTGGGCGATGTTGATGCCACCTTCAAGCTCATACCTCCGACCTATGCTAACATATTGCTGTGCCCGACGTCTAGACAATCGAAAATGTCAGCGTGCTGTCGGCGGGGACGTCGACACGGGGCACGCTGAAGCTCACAAACTTCCACATTGTCTTTTGTGCCCCAATCCCGACACCGCCACTAGCAAGGGCGGCATCGTCAACAGCTTCGTCAGCAGCGACACCACCACCCCCTCCACCAAAGGACAGCCCGACTCGCACATCCAACGACTCCTCCTCTATTCCCTCCGACGCTAGCAAACAAAAACCACAACCGCCAACTCCGGCACCCGTCCGGCAGCGCGAGTCGTGGATTACCTACCCCATTATTGCCCACTGCACGTTCCGGCCCACGCCGTCCTCAAGCGGCGTGCCCTCCTCGATCCGCATACGGTGCCGTGACTTTAATATCGTCTGCTTTAGTTTCGCCGACGAGAAGCAGGCCCGCGAGGCCTTTGAGTTTATCCGCAGCCGCACCTGCCGCCTCGGCAGCATCGAGAAGCTCTACGCCTTCTCGTACGCGCCCGCGCGCCAGGAGAAGGACTTGTGCGGCTGGGACGTCTACGACGCACGTGCTGAGTTCCGCCGGCAGGGCATCAGTGAGAAGCTGCCAGACCGTGGCTGGCGCATCTCGCACATCAACAAGGACTATACCTTTTCACCAACGTACCCGAGCCTGCTGGTGGTGCCCTCCAAGATCTCGGACAACGTGTTAAAATACGCCGGCCAGTTCCGCTCGCGCGCGCGCATTCCGGCCCTGACGTACTACCACCCCATTACGCAGTGCAGCATCACCCGCAGCTCGCAGCCTCTGGTGGGTGTTCGGAACAATCGCAGCATACAGGATGAGCGGCTGGTGAGCGCGTGCTTCTACAAGTCGACGGCTGTCTTCAGTGGCGACGCGACGCACAGCAGTATCCGTAATAACGGCTCTAATACAGCTACCAGTGACTCGTCGACGCCGAGCGGCGAGTCGGGGAGCGGGAGCGGCGACACTATGATTGTCACATACGACGGTGTGGCCGAAGCAGTGGCCATCGTAGACAAGATGGGAGGCAGTGGTGGCGACGACTCGGCCACCGAGGCCGATGACGGGTCCGACGATAATCCGGCGAGCCGCATCTTCGGTGCCCGGCGGGACAACCTCATTGTCGACGCACGCCCGGCCATCAACTCGCTTGCCATGCAGGTGGTGGGCAAAGGTTCCGAGAACATGGACCACTACAAGTCGGCCACCAAGATGTTCCTTAGTATTGACAACATTCACGTCATGCGGGAGTCGCTCAACAAGGTCATCGAGGCCGTCAAGGACGCTGACATCTCACCGCTGCCGCCCAGCCAGGACCTGCTGGCCAAGAGCGGCTGGCTCAAGCACATCCGCGGCATCTTGACGGGCTCGCAGACCATTGCGCGCCAGGTCGGTGTCAGCGCTGCCCACGTGCTGATCCACTGCTCCGACGGCTGGGACCGCACAAGCCAGCTCAGCGGCCTCGCGCAGATTATGCTGGACCCTTACTTCCGCACCATTGACGGTTTCATCGTCCTGGTGGAAAAGGACTGGCTGTCGTTTGGCCACATGTTCCAGCAGCGCTCCGGGCACCTCAACTCAGAGAAGTGGTTCGTCACACAAAACGACGCCATGGCAGGGACCAAGATTGAACCGGGCGAGAGCGATGGGCGCAACGAGGTCTTTGACAATGCCGTGGCGAGCGCGCGCCGGTTCTTCAAGAAGAGCCTGAGCCAGGACAAGGAAGAGTCGGACGGCGACGGCGCCGCCGAAGATGCTGGCAGCCGGTCCGCACCCGTGGAAGAGAGCCAAGCGACACGCCCGCGTGAAATCAGCCCGGTCTTCCACCAGTTCCTGGATGCTACATACCAGCTGCTGCGGCAATATCCCACGCGCTTCGAGTTCAACGAGCGCTTCCTGCGGCGTCTTCTGTACCACCTCTACTCGTGCCAGTATGGCACCTTCCTCTATAACAACGAGCGCCAGCGCCTCGAAGCCAAGGTGCGAGAGCGCACCTCGTCTGTCTGGGACTATTTCTTGTCCCGCCGCGCCGAATTCACCAACCCACAATACGATGCCTCCGCCATGGCTGCTGCCACCAACGGTAGCAACGAAGGCAACGGCCGCCAAGACGACCGCCTGCTGTTCCCAAAACTCGACGAGATCCGCTGGTGGCACCAGGCTTTTAACCGCACTGACCAGGACATGAACAGCGCGCTCAACGCCGCGGCAGCCGCCGCGGTGGAACGCAACGTCAACTACCACGCCACCATGACGGCCACAGCTGCGGCGCCGGCGACGGTTATCGTGACGCCCGGCGACGACGACCCTGCAGCCCCATCAGGCCCAACAGCAAGGAGTGCGCGCAGCAGCCGGTCCCTCTCGCCCCGCCGTGGTGCCAGTCCGGCCTCACCGCCGTCCTTCCAGACGTCGCAGTCTGCGGGAGCCGAGCTTGCGACGACAGCGACAACAACAACAGCAACGACGATCAACGTCCCCAACGCCGCCACGGCGCGCGCTCTGCTCGCCTCGCCCATTGACGACAATGTCGACTCGATCCCCTCATTCCAGCGCAGCGGCTCGTCTACCAACGAACCCAGTGCCTTTGCTGCTCTCCGGGACGGCTTTGCCGGCCTCGGTCTGGGCCAAAAGGTCGGCGGCGTCCTTGGCACGCTGTCGGCCGTCGGCAGCAGCATTGGCAATGGCAATGGCAATGGCAGTAATACAGGGAACGCAACAAACACCGTTCATGAGAGTGGCGGCTCCGTGTCCGGCACCAGAAGTGGTACACCTGCTAGCAACATCAACGGCCGCGAGTCTCTCTTTGGCCTGGCCGACGCAGACGGGGAAAAAGACAACGCGACCAGCAGTGGCGGCAGCGGCAGCGGCAGCGGCAGCGGCGGCGTCTTTGACTCGTTTGTGGGTGGCGGCGGCAGCAGACGCAGCCGGCAGATGAACCGCTCTAGCGGCGAGCAAGAGCTGCGGGATATGTAGCAGGGAGAATGGAGAATTGCGGTTTGCTGGTGGCCTCGGCGTCTCGACGTTTTTATTATTATGATTAGACAAGACTCTTGCATTTTGTTTATTTTGTATGGATCAGCGTTTTGTCTGGGGTGGGTTATCTTTTATTCCTCCCACTCTCGTTTTGCCTTTTGCCTTTCGGCGTCTTTATTCTTATTTGGTCTCTGGTGCCTTTAGACCACCTGAAAAAGCCCCAGCGAATCAACATGAGCTTTGTTGCCCTCAGGACTCTATTTCTATTTGAGGCCCTCAATGTTGATATCACGTGCTTTCGTTCAAGATGGGATGTGCCATTCGTCTTGCCGCGCGCGCTGTCTGAAGTCTCCATTTTGCCAGCCGCCGGCAACCCCGCTGTCGTTTAACCTAGCGGGCCCAAGCTTCTGGTGTTGGTTGCTATGTAATCTTGCATTGGGCGTTTACCAACCCATATTACAGCACCAAAGCACTGCAGTGGATGCAGCAAGGCTGCTCCTTCTTAACTCGCACATTGTTCTGCGCCTTCTGTTCCGGGCATCGTAATAGATTGCATGGCAGGGCAGCTGCTTGCTTTGTCAAGGGCACGGGAACCGGGGAGGGAAGCTGCATTGTGGGCGCCTTCAGCCTTCAGACTCCACCCCTCACTGAATGTCAGTTGACATGTATCTTAAGACTACCCCGCCACTGGCCTTTCAGCTCTCTTCTAGAGCTATTGCTTTAGGCCGATCCTAGGCTATCTTACCAGTAGCGCCTCTTGCTTTGTATCTGACCAAACGACGATTGCATCACTCTTTTCCGTTGTCCGCGCATGGTTTGGGTCGTGCCGGCATTGGCAGTCGTAGGCACACGCGACCCGGCATAACAAATGCCTGTTGTTGCGGTTGACAACATAGCTCACCTGGAAGGAATGGAACGCTATTTACAATTGTTTACTTGCACAATCCAGCGATGGATGGCCTTGTGTCCTCTAATTGCAACGCCTTCCCTTTCGGTAGGGTATCTTACTATTACCCCGTAGACGGACGGGGCTGGGAATGCTGTAATGCGATCCCACTGTTTGGGAAGGCGCGCCCGGCCACCCCGACCAGATCAGACAGGAAGGCCCCCCAAAATTTTAAATTAGCACTAGCGACACTGCCGCCAGCTTGGAAACAGCGAAACAAGGAACGAAAAAACAAAACTCCGAAAAGGGGGAAGCAACGAGGGGAGGCACAAACAGCAACCAGAGGCGCCCCTCTAGCGACCGCTGTATCCTGTACTACAGGGAGGGGCGGGATTGGGCGGTTGGGTGGTGAATGCTCTTTCCAACCTGGGCCTTGCTCGCGACCCAAAAACCTTGCTTGGGACTGGGCTGCCCCTTCCTCTGTCAGTACGGACCTTGTTCTTTTCGAAGCACATCTCGAATAACGAAAGGGACCCCATTCCACTCTCCCTCCAGTGTCTTCTACTTTTGCTTGCTTCCCCCCCAACCTCAATCCCAGTCTAATAACCTCCCTCCTTTGCATCGCCAATCGTCAATCAACAGCTCCACTGCGCGCTCGTCGAAAACGCATCACCCCCTCCCCTCCCTCGCAGACCGTCTCTTTCTCCGCCTGCTCGGTTTCTATTTTTGTTTTAGCTTGAGAAGCGCTCACTGCATCGCTCTTCTCGTCTCTTTTTATTTCTCTGTCCTGTTCGTCATTTTGCACCCTTGTGCCTCGTTTTCAGCCTCTCTTCATATCCACACCTTCCGATTTCCGGCTGCGCAATCATCGACCTTTGACTCGCACCGGCCTTATTTTTCGATTTTTTTTTTGTATCTTGGAGTTTTCGTCACAGAGCATCGCCACCCGAATCGACGTGAAAGGCCCCTCCTCGCGCGACGCCCTACTTTTGTCTTTCTTCCCCGCCAGACAAAGCATCGCACCGCATCTCTCACCACCGCCTCCTCCTTCTCCTCCTCGTCGTCTCGATTCCATCGACCTGCCGTCCCGAGCCGCTTTTCGCTTTCCCTCGTCACAGTCACCATTCCGTTCCTCATGGCAGACGCGCCCAACGCCACGGACGAGCTCTACCCCATTGCCGTGCTTATCGATGAGCTCAAGGTACGAATTTTTTGACTTCCGCTGGCCACACGCCCCTTTTGTTGTGTCTCGCCCTCGTCCTACGAATGGGTTGTTGGATCATGGCTGTTGTCTGAGCTCTAGCTTTCCGACGCAATGATGGTTGATTTTATGATTGTGGAAACATACCGATTGCTGATGTCCTTTCGTGTAGCACGACGATGTCCTGCTCCGTCTCAATGCCATCCACCGTCTGTCGACGATTGCTCTCGCACTCGGCGCTGAGCGCACGCGCGAAGAACTGATTCCCTTTCTCGATGGTCGGTGAAATGCTCCTCTTTATTGTTTAACGACCGCGACTGCGTGTCTATGCCTGTTTTTTTTGTCCGCCCTTTTGATGCAAACGCTTCCGATACCGCTCTGTTGGCAGCACGTGCCGTGCACGATGTGACGGAAAGCAGATGTACAGCCCGCGTTTTGATCCAGGCATTGTTGCAAAGGTCGATCGCGAGACTATTGGGACGCGTCGAGAAAGGATACGGGGCGGCCAGAGTGGGGTAGCTCATGGCAGCTTTCGTTGAACACTGTATAACTAACCGTTGATGTTGTGACCACTACAGAATCTGTCGAAGACGAGGATGAGGTGCTTGTTGCCTTGAGCGAGGAGCTCGGTGGCTTCATTGAATATGTCGGCGGCCCGGAGTGGGGTCATGTGCTCCTGTCGCCCCTAGAGAACCTCGCTGCGATCGAGGAGCCCGTTGTCCGAGACAAAGTGCGTTGGCAGCCCAGCCCCCTGTGTCGGCCATTCTTTGACCAGCATCAACGCTAACCGATACCCCTTACTAGGCGGTCGAGTCTCTAAACAAGATCTGCGACGAGCTGTCGCCGAAGCAGGTCGAGGAGTACTTTGTGCCCCTGACCGTGCGCCTGTCCAAGGCCGACTGGTTCACGTCGAAAGTGAGCGGCTGCGGACTATACACAGCCCCATACAAGAAGGTGCCGCCCGGTGTCCAGGAGCAGCTCCGCCAGCAATTCGGACAGCTTGTCCACGATGATACCCCGATGGTGCGGCGCCAGTCCGCCACGCACATGCCCAAATTTGTCAAGGAGATGCCCGCCGCCATTGTGATTGACGAGATGATCCCCTTGTTTCAGCACCTCGCACAAGACGACCAAGATAGCGTCCGTCTTCTTACCGTCGAGATTCTCATCGCCATTGCCGAAGTCGTTCCCAAGGAGCAGCAGTCCAGCCATGGCGTGCTGCTCACGGCCCTGCGCAGCCTGATCGAGGACAAGAGCTGGCGTGTGCGGTACATGGTTGCAGACCACTTTGAGAAGATTGCCAAAGCCGTCGACGAGGAGGTCGTCACGAGAGACCTGGTCCCTGCCTTTGTCAAGTTGTTAAAGGACAACGAAGCCGAGGTGCGGACGGCCATTGCCGGCCAAATACCCGGCTTCTGTGTCCTGGTCGACCGTGACATGCTACTTAACGAGATTATGCCCAGCGTCGAGGACCTTGTATCGGACACGTCCCAGCACGTGCGCGCGGCCCTGGGCACACAGATATCCGGCCTAGCACCAATTCTGGGCAAGCAAGAGTACGTCCACCGCGTGGCCCCCATTGTTGTGACCACGTTTCGTCGTACATTCATCCGCAAGCTGACCTTTCTCTTCCAGGACAATCGACCACCTCCTGCCCATGTTTTTGCAAATGCTCAAGGACGAGTTTCCTGAAGTTCGCCTTCACATCATCTCCAAACTGGAGCTTGTGAACCAAGGTATATATAGCTATGCTTTTGTCCCCGGCTTGAATATGCTGATTCCTTGCTCACGCATCTTGTCCTCACTAGTTATTGGCATCGACCTTCTTTCTCAGTCCCTGTTGCCGGCTATAGTTCAACTGGCCGAGGACAAGCAGTGGCGAGTGCGGTTGGCTATTATCGAGTACATTCCGCTGCTCGCCAGCCAGCTTGGCGTCGAGTTCTTTGACGAGAAGTTGAGCAGCCTGTGCATGAGCTGGCTGGGCGACACGGTGTTTTCGATCCGTGAAGCGGCAACACACAACCTCAAGAAGCTCACGGAGGTCTTTGGCGTCGACTGGGCCAGCGAGGCGATCATTCCGAAAGTCATGGCTATGGGTAACCACCCCAACTACCTTTACCGGATGACGACCTGCTTTGCTATTACGGTATGTTGCGGCCCCTGTCGACTCATGGCTGCCCCTTGCCCTTTTCTTTTTCACGGTCTGTTTTACTAACCCGCATGCAGACCCTCGCAAGTGTGGTCAGCCTGGAGGTGATTGGCAAGCACATTCTCCCGATGATGGACAAACTGGTGGTGGATGACATTCCGAATATCCGCTTCAACGTCGCCAAGACGTACGGGGTTCTGATTGATGTGCTCAAACGGCTGCCGGACCAGGGCACACTGCACTCGCCCGAGAATGCTGACAAGGCCGGCAGCGGCGCACCTCCCGCGCCGTCCGCCAAGGGCGCCGAGCTGATCCAGAGCCGCGTGCTGCCGAGCCTCGAGAAGCTGCAAAAAGACGAAGACGTCGACGTGCGGTACTTTGCGACGACAGCAGCAGCCATCGCGACCGGTGCGTCGCCGACCGGGGACCCGATGAATACCTCTCCATAGACCTTTTTTTTTTGCTTTTCTTTTTGCATCGTCGTCGATTCACCCTTTTTGTAAAAGAAGCCGAAAAAAGAAAGAAAAAAACCATCCCTCCATACCAAAAAAGACACTTAGGGGTATAAATGAAGAAAGCAATTGCCATTATATATACATAACTTGTTCTAACTGCTTGCTCGTCCATCCTCTGCATTGTTCTCTTGATAGCTCACCCAAAGGAGCTCAGGGCTCACAATCTGTCCAATATTGTAGGATGATAGGTGTATAATGTAAGCGGAAGGTCAGTTACACTATGCAGAGACTTGGTTGGTTGGTTTATTTAACCGCCACAGTGTACTAAAAAGTACGACCCTTTAACGCCCGCCCGTAGACCGTTAGAGGGTCGTACTTTTTAGTACACTGTGGCGGTTAAATAAACCAACCAACCAAGTCTAATCGGTGTATGACGTTAACCGTTAGTTGTTGCGTCCATCATTATACTGTCGGCCTCGAGAGTACCGGGCACGGGTTTCGACGACGGGCTCGCGATCTCGAGAGTGAAAAGTAAAGGTAATTGCTTCCTCTTTACTTGTCGTAAAAGGAGAGAGTCGTCAGTGGCAGACTTGATCGCGCGACGACGTAAAGACGAAGAAGGCCAACTCTACCAAAATGCCTTCTTCCTTGTGGTTTTCCTGAAAAGCTTTCCAAAACCGAATCTGTTAGTGTTGTGCACGTTGTGGTGGTGTACTAACTTTCTAGTTTGTGGAAAATATTTTCAGGGGAGAGTTGTTATTCAGAGACTCCTACGTCGTGAGATATCTTACGATATTTATTATCTTACCGACTGTGGCCGCTGACAGGATTGGCCCCGCACCTGTTCAATGTAGGGGGCTGGGCTGCGTGGATTAGGCATTGGGCCGCTTGGGGCGCTACATGCCGTAAGGTGCCTGCAGTTCGTCGACGTTACGCTGCCAGCCTTGTGCTGAACCTGAACCTCCCAGTGTGTCACATTCTGTCCTCTGGCCTGGCCTGTGTTTGCTTAGCGCTTGGCAGCCTCCTGACCTCCCCCAAACGAGCCAACTAACATGCAGTGAAAAAAGCCCTATCCAAACGCCATTACTGGTTGTTCGACAGCTCGGCATCCGACCACTTTCCCTTTTCCCTTCGCATCGCAAAGGGCAATCGACCGCAATCCACAAATTGATCACAGCCACCGACCACGGGCCTTTACTCTTCCCGACAGTATCTCTGTCTCTTTCTCCGGCCGACGAGGGTAGCGACAGACCCCAACTGCGAGTCGACGAGCTGGCTGTTTGTCTTGTCCACGTCCTTTCTACAAACGTCCCTCATAACGCAACCCGTCCCTGCGAATCTACGACGTATCCAATAGACGATCTCAACTGCGAAAACGGCGCCACGAACATCTTGGAAGTTCAACTTGGGGGGTGCACAACACAACAAAGAGGACAAGAGAGAACAGCACTAAAGATCAGTCCGGCCAGAACTCGGAACTGTTAGCTCTATTATCCCTTTCTACTATCTCGTTTTTGTCTCCTTTTTGATTTTCTGTGTTGTTCTCGCGACGGCCAGGTTCCACCCGAGATCGCTTCCCATACTGCACTTTACACGGCCTCCTTTCTTTCCAGAGCTCTCTTTCGCAAAGGAGCTTGAATTCGGGACACCCGTACTCGACCGAACAAAAATACGAAACTAGTAACAGAAGAGGACACAAGCAAGGTTGCTCGAGTTAGAGGTATCTCGTGGGGGGATTTTGGGAAGAACCTGGGGCTTGAAGAGAAGGCCACACTCAACGAACTACACACATACACACACCCAACATGCCGACAGCCACGTCAAGTGGTGCCGCCGCAGCGGGCAGCAGTAACGGTGCTGGTGCGGGTAGCGCGGCTTCTGGGGCGACTGTCACGTCCACGCCGTCCACGCCGGTTAAGGTGCCGTCGGCGGCTGCGAGTTATACGCCGGCTACCCTCGACCCGGACCTGCGCTCCCAGATCAACATGGTCCTCATCCGCGACGGCCACGTCGGCCGGTAGGTCCCCAAGCCCCTTCACCGTTCCCCACTAACTCTCTTTTTGAGCGGTCACTAACACCACCCCCAGAATCCAAGACTACCTCTTGCACATCCTCAACGCCGACACCTCCAACTGGCCGGCCACCGTGCAGGCGCATGCCCTGCAACTGCTCCGGTCGGGCGAGTTCTCCAATTTTCCGGCGCTGATGAACCGCATCATGGACGACATCCGGCACGACACCAGTACGGCCGCCCATGGTGCGGCCAACGGCGCCGCCAGCACGAACGGCAACGGCAACGGCGCCGCAAATACCAAAGTAAAACCGGGCCAGCCGGGGTCGCTGGCGCTGCCGCAGAGCGTGATTGACGAGGCGTTGCGGGCGACGCGGGAGAGCTTGGACATGGTGTGCGAGATTGAGGAGTAGGCCACCGCAGCCATCGGCACTGACAACGGGACGGGCCCGGAGGACGAGTGCATCAGCGCGAGGGCAACCGTGTCGCCCCCCGACACCGGTGAGGTCGACGGCGACTACGAAGACGAGGAAGACGAGGAAGACGAGGAAGACGAGGAAGACGAGGAAGACGAGGAAGACGAGGAAGACGAGGAAGACGAGGAAGACGACGAAGTCGAGGAAGATGACGAAGTCGAGGAAGATGACGAAGACGATGCGGACGGCGAGTATGGCGTATGGAATGGGTCGTGCTTTTAAGTTGGTAACGGTGGTGTTTTTATTGGGTGTATACTGCTTTTGTGTGTTTATCCATTGTCGTCACGACACAATTTTTTGTCTTGGGGGCGTTTTTTGTCATGACTGGGGAACTGTATACTTTTCCAGTATTGTGTGAGGCAGAATCACACCAGGGTCTTTTCTGTCTGGACCTCTGTTTAACTCATTCGTTTGGTGTTTTTGTCTTTCGTCTTGACGTTCATTTGTGGTTTTTTTGTTTTCGTCTTTCATGCAATAGCTGCCTCACGTGCTACGAGTGGCGAGGTGGTATACGTATGTTGTTCAGTCTTTTTCTCTGAGACGGGTACGACGAAAAGTTATTACCGCAATACCCTCGAGTGTGCATGTAGGCCATTTCCATACAGTCCTGTGTTGTTTGCGTCAGGGGTTGACTTTTGGTATCGTCCCCATTGCTGAGGCTAGTCCGTAAGGGAAACAGCATGCAACTTCGTCAACTTTGTAATGCCAAGCAGGTTCGGAATATGAATCGAGTTTAGTAGGAAACAAGGAAACTAGAATACAGCAAATATCGAAGAAAAACAACTGGCAAAGAAGAACAAGCATAGCAAAGGAGAAGTCGTTCGTCTTCCGTGCCATTATTCCTTGAACCCCTGGAAAGCAGAAAACGTAGAAAACAAGAGGAAAGCAGAGCAAAAGCAGAAGCAAAAAGCAAAAGCAAAAGCAGCACAAATCAAGGCACATGTCTCATTCTAACTGGAAAAAAAAGTTAAACGACCCAGAGGTTGTGTGTCTCTCTACCAAATGCAAATCAAACCTATGTCTTTCCTCATCTAAAAAGCCAGGCGTCCCTTGCCCTACACAACATTGCTCCAACAGCACGCAGACTTAGTCGTAGAGCTCGTCGTCCGCGCCGGCATCGCCGAAGCCCTCGGGCGCGGAGCCAGCCGGGTTGGTGGCGCCGGCCGAGTCGATGCCGCCCTCGGGGAACTTAAAGTACGAGCCGGGACCGGCGTTCTTCATCTGCTGCGAGAAAGCCTCGTACCGGCGGATCTCCACGTCCGTGACGGAGCGGCGGGCCATCTGCATGGCCTCCTCAAAGTGGCGCTTGGCCAGTTCGGGAACCGTGTCCTCGAGGTCCTCGTCCATCTCGACATCCTCGCCGGCGGCCTCGGCGGCCTTGGTGCGCTCAATGTCGGCCGTAATGGACTCCTTGATGGCCAGCTTGACGGCGCGCTGGGCAATGAAGCCCAGATCGGCACCGGAGAAACCGTGCGTCTTGGAGGCAATGTACTGCAGGTCGACGTCGTCCGCAACGGGCGTCTTGCGCAGCTGGGCCTTGAGGATGCCCAGACGGCCGGCCTCGTCGGGCAGGGGCACATAGATGAGCGAGTCCAGACGGCCGGGACGGCACAGGGCAGGGTCAAGCTGCTCGGGACGGTTGGTGGCGCCAATGACAAAGACGTTCTTCTTGGAGGTCATGCCGTCCATCTCCGTCAGGAGCTGGTTGACGACACGGTCCGACGCACCGCCGGCATCGCCGACCGAGCCACCACGGGCCTTGGCAATCGAATCCAGCTCGTCGAGGAAGACGACGCAGGGCGCGGCCGCACGGGCCTTGTCAAAGATGTCGCGGATGTTGCTCTCGGACTCGCCGAACCACATGCTCAGAAGCTCAGGACCCTTGACCGAGATGAAGTTGGCCGCGCACTCGTTGGCGACGGCCTTGGCCAGCAGCGTTTTACCGGTACCGGGCGGACCATAGAAGAGCACACCGCGGGAGGGCGACATGCCAAACTTGAGGAACTTCTCGGGGTGGTCCACAGGGTACTGGACGCTCTCCTTGAGCTCCTGCTTGACCGTCTCCAGACCACCAATGTCGTCCCAGCGGACGTTGGGCACCTCGACAACAGCGACCTCGCGCAGGGCCGACGGGTTGGACACGCCCAGGGCGAAGCGGAAGTTCTCCATGGTGACACCGAGAGAGTCGAGGACCTCGGCGTCGATGGTGTCCTCGTCGAGGTCGATGAGGTCCATCTTCTCGCGGATCTGCTGCATGGCACCCTCGGAACACAGAGCGGCCAAATCGGAACCGACGTAGCCGTGCGTCTCGGCGGCGATCTGCTCCAGGTCGACGTCGTCGGCCAGCTTCATGTTCTTGGTGTGGATCTGTAGGATCTCCAGACGGCCAGTGGGGTCGGGACGCCAATGTCGACCTCGCGGTCGAAGCGACCGAAACGACGCAGGGCAGGGTCGATGGAGTTGGGGCGGTTGGTGGCGGCCATGACGACGACGTTGGAGCGGGCCTTCATGCCGTCCATGAGGGTGAGCAGCTGCGAGACGACGCGGCGCTCGACCTCGCCGTTGGTCTTCTCACGCTTGGGGGCGATGGAGTCGATCTCGTCGATGAAGATGATGGCAGGCGAGTTCTTCTCGGCCTCCTCGAAGGCTTTGCGCAGATTGGACTCGGACTCGCCAGCCATCTTGGACATGATCTCGGGGCCGTTGATGAGGAAGAAGAAGGCGCCCGTCTCGTTGGCGACGGCGCGGGCCATCAGCGTCTTACCGGTACCAGGAGGACCGTAGAGAAGCACACCGCGGGGCGGCTTGATACCAATGGACTTGAAGAGCTGGGGGTGCCGCAGCGGCAGCTCGACCATCTCGCGAATCTGGGCCATCTGCTTGCGGCAGCCGCCAATGTCATCGTAGCCGACCTCATTCAGGTTGTTCTCCTCCTCGTCGCGCTGGATGGGGTCGCCCTCGCAGTGGATGACGGTGTCCTGGGCGACAATGCCGTACTCTGGGGGGTCGACCTCGACGACCTTGAACTCGACCTGCCGCATACCACCGCGCACGGTGAACAGGTCGCCTTGGCGGACGGGCCGGTAGGCCTCGCGGAAGTAGGGGGCAAGGAAGACGTCGAACAGTGAGCCGGTCAGGCCCTCGACGGTGTCGGCAATCGGGAGAACAGCAATGCGCTTGGCCTATAGGAAGCGGTTAGTGGGGATTGGTAGTTTTGGGGTAGGGCGGTGCTCCTTACGTATTTGATGTCTGGGCAGGGGTGGATGGTGACGACATCGCCGTGCTTGACGCGCAGGTTGTGGCGGGCCACACGGGTGAGGCGGGCACTGCCCTCGTCCAGCTCGTCGTCGGATAGGACAATTAGGACGGTGTCCTTCCGCTTCTTGCCGCGGACGAGGACGGCGTCGCCGCGGAAGAGCTGCAGGGTGTCCATGGTGCTGGGCGCCAGCATGATGATGGAGTTGTCATCGTTGGTGGAGTCGGTGACGCTGTGTGTGTGTGTGTGTTAGCAATCTGGTATGATACAGTACAAGCCAAGATCGTGTGGCCACTCGGGGCGATGTCGGCCATCGGAGTTTGTATTTGGCTGTACGTACAGGAGCTGGTTGGGCTTCTTCTTCTTCTTCAGGATGGCGGTGGCAGTATCGTCTTCCTGTCGAGGTTGTTAGCATACATGGTTGATGGCTTTCGTCTTCGTCGGGAACAGAGGACAATCATCGTCGCTCAAGCTCGTCGTCGTTGTCGTCCCGCAGGGACAAGCGAGAAAGATCCGAGGTTTACTCACATCGCGGCGGTCAGCTCCAGAAGCATCGCTATGGTGAGGGACAACACGTTAGCATGCTGCGCAAAGAAGAAGAGGACACAAGCCAGCGCCCCGGAGAAGCCGGGAGGCAGGGGCAGAGCCGGGCATTAGCTATCTCGAGACGAGATGCAGAAGCAATGGCAGGCAGTGCACTTACTTGAGGTTGACCTTGTGCTTCTTGGGCGCAACGTCCGGCTTGACGTCCGGATGGTCAGACATGATGACGGGATGGGGACTGAGGCTGGAAACAAGGTGTGACGATGACGATAGGAAAACAGGGCGTCCTCGAGGTGTCAAGGTGGAGGCTGGGCGAGAATGGAGAAATGGAGGATGAGGCTCCACGGGCAAAGCAAGAGGGAAGCGAAGCTCTCTTGCACGTTCGGCGTGGGAGGAAAGGGAGAAAGCAGTTGAAACACAATAGAGTTGCAAGAACTCAACGGGTTTCAACAAAAGAAGAAAAGGGAGCTGTGGTTGGAAGTAGAGTTGGCGGGAGAAAAAGAATGGAGATGGGAGAGAGAGGAAGGAGATAAAAGAGTTGGATGGAGATGATGCTGAAGGAGGTACGAAATAGAAGACAGGCGAAATGGTTGGAAGGAATGATTACCGTGTGGCCAGACAGGCAGGAACGGATACTACGCTTGCATCTGTCTGCCTGTAGGAGCGTTAGCTGTTAGGAGCCCGTGGCACAATGGCCAGAATGGGGCGGACAGCACAGGCGAGACAAAGCGCTGCGCTTCGGCCAGCGGCAGGCGTTGTCCGGCCAGAGACGGCGGGCACGTCAATGTAGCCGGTGCATACAAATTGGGTGGTGGGGGTACATGGTGCTAGGCACTGCTCGGATGACGACTTGCCCTTTTGCCTGGATGACTTGGCTTCGCTGCAAGGCGGCGAGTGACTGTTGCCCACCTAACATTACTCCGCAGCTACTGTGTAGGCTTGACTCCCCCAAAGTGGGCCCCGTTTTACAAGGCGGAGGGGACGGAACAGAGGGTCACAGAGGCAAAAGTGGCCCAAACTTTCAGCCCGCTGCTTGCTTAGAAGCTTCCAAGACGTTCCACCAATGCCTTTGCTGGCCTTTTCTGTTTGGTGCTGGCAGACGGTTCGTCGTTTGCTGACTGATTTTCGTGTACTGCCAAACTATCGGGCCCATCATTTGCCTTCGCCAGCTGTCAGTCAAGTGGCGGCTATCAATATCCATCGGAAGGCGACGAAACTTCACTTGGGCGAGGCTGCAACACGGGCAATGATCCAGTTTGAAGGCAATGGCGATAAGCACTCGGTAAGTTACGAAAGTACTCGCAGACGATTCACGAACCCCCTGAAAAGACAAACAACAGCCAATGGAAACAGAGCCATCCTCTTCGGTCGAGTGAAGCCTTTCGACGTGTCGCTTGATACTGTTTCGATCACTCCGGCCTCGTTCGACCGATCTTCTCATTGTCCCTCGCGTCTCAGCTCTCGACTCTCTTCCTAGACAGCCCATTGCCTTGGCTAGGTTCCTATGCCTGGCCTCTCCACGTGTGCCTAGGCCTGCCACATTTTGAGTTCCTTCTTGCTCAGCGGCCACGTGTGAACCTTTTTGTGGTTCACGTCCGCGAGGCCGGGCGCGACACCACCGATGACGGCGGCACCGGTGGCTGCGTCGGGGAGTTCGAACTCGATGTGGGTGGGGTAGCTGGGAACGGCAACACAGCCGTTGGCCATGCCGTTGGCCATGCCGTTCGGGACGCCGTTCACGAGGCCCAACACACTGCTGACGGATGCCAGGGCAGACACGCCGACGCGGGGACTGCCGGTGGCGACAAGACGTTCGTACTGGTCAGTGTGGGCGAGGAACGACTCGTAGAACCAGGCCTGGGTGGCGAAGGGGCTCGACGAGCGGGTGTGGACACTGCACAGTCAGTATTTGCGTACATGTTGTTCTGAGATACGCTGGGTGTGGGAGCACATACCTGGATGACGACGATGTTCGGGAGGCACGAGAGCCGGCCGTGGCCACCATGGACGAGACACGGGGCAGCATGATTGTTCGTCGGCCTGAACCGATGCGGCAGCAATACAAGCGCAGAACTACTGTAGAGGGAGGTCGTATTGGATGCCCTTGACGAGAAGGCTGTGATCGGTGTGGGTTGTGAGGCAAACTGCAGGGAAGAAAGAGGCGACAAGACGCCGCGATGTGATCGTGGAGAACGATGCAGGCAAACGAGACTGCGCGTGTTCCCGTCCGTGGTTTGGCAAGTGGCAATGCCGTTTCTAATATACCAAACGAGCGCCCATCTAGGCGGGTGCACACTCACAGACTGCACACATGGATCCTCACTGCCTCGCTCGCACACTGTTGCGTCACAAACACCAATACTGCTCGAGTCGAGTCTTGGCCCCCTGCCGTGTGCTCCCTCTTTTCAGGGGCACACACAACATCGAGACAGCCAGGTTGATTTACTAGGCTGTTTTTGTGCACATTCAACGAAAGCACAACGTTCTAGAAAGGAGACTGCTGCATGGCACACTGGAGACCTATCGAATGCGCCATAGAAGGCATGACTGAGACCAACCCAATGACGGCTTGGAACTGCCTTCTTTCCCTTCAATTCCCGTACAGAGTTCCCTGCAACACCCCCTGTAAATCCCTACTGGACGACATGGCCATTGACCTTTTTGGGTGTAATTTACGCGACCTTCCAGCAGGCCTTCTGCCACACGACGGGCACAGCCACGTCGAGACCGTATTTCTGCTCCGGAACGCGACCCGGTGGATGCGTGTCTTGGGAAGAACACAAGAGCTGAAAGTCGCCATTGGCTGATGAGGGCAGCCACAACAAGGCTTTGCGGTTGTTTGATCGTTGAGGGAGGCCGAAGTGAAGACATGAGCGGAAGGACTCACAAGGCAGTGACTGCCACCACCACAATTTCTTCAGTGAAAGCAAAGCATCAGGAAACAAGAATCAACACCAGGAACAAAGTAAGATACTGGTCTGCAACCACCCAACCGCCCAGACGGCTCAAAAGGCCACTCCCGAGAGTGGCAATTGGCCCGTTGGCTGCCGGCCCAGGGGGCGACCCGAGCTAATGCTGCTTGATGTTTGAGCCCTGGTTGGCCTCATCTCTGCCTTGATCACATCGTCAGAAACGGGGGACGAATGCAAAGAGACAAATGAACGTATGTTAAGCGTGTGCTGTATATGGTAAAAAACAAAAAAAGCAAGGTATCACTCGATCGGTCGGGTCAAAGGGGATCGACGACAAAAACAAAACCGACCAAAAGACAGCCCAAAATAACGCCCCAAACACCACCAATTCGAGCAGTAGTCCACGCCAAGATGAAGCAAAGAGAAGACGTAATCGACAAAAGAAAATCAAACAGACAGCCCCCCATTTTCTCCTTCTTCCCTCTCTCTCTACCCTACCACCCTCCCAAATATTAACATTAAACTGCGTGTGCAAGTATCGCCCTCTTCTCAATTTTGAATTTTGTCTGTTGAGAAAATGCCGTGTCTGCATGCAAACGCAAAACGCCCATCGCCAGTCGCGATGCACTGTGATGTGAGATATGTACTTTTGTTTCGACTCCCCACGGTCCTCTCTGAGCCTGTGACTTAGATGAAGGCCCGGATGCCGCTGCTCGCCGCGGACGCCAGAGACGCCTGCGTCATCTTCGGGTCTTTGGAGTACTTGGACATGGCCACGCCGATGCTCGACGCACTGCCGTCGCTGCCGTGGCCGACGACATCACCACCACCGTCGTGCGCGTGATACGTCCCGTCGCCTGCCACAAAGGGCGGCGGGTATTCGTAGTCGTTGCTCGTCATCGCGTACGGCGACTCGCCATAGTACGACGATGGGTGGCGGTAGCCGCGGCCCTCCAGAGCCAAATCGTTGTCCTCATCGTTGCTGCTGCCGGCGCTGCCGAGCTCGCGGTACATTTGCGTCTCGGGTGTCAGGTACGCCGCGGTGCGCGGGCTGGCAGCGATGTCGTCATGCGACGATGGGCTTGCGCCGGCCGCCGTTTTCGCTCTCTGCTGGGTTTGTGCATGAGTCTGGGCCTGGGCCTGGGCCCCGGCTTGAGCTGCCCGCGCACGCGCCTGGGCCTGGTGCTGCGCCGCCGACCCAGGGCTGCCCGTGTGGATCTGCTGTGGCCGTGCAAAGGCGTACGGCAGGCCGGCGCCCGTAGCGGGCGTCGGCGGCTCGTTGCTGCTGGCATCGGTGGCCGTCGCCGTGGCCGTGGCTGCGCCGTGGCCGTAATGACTCAGAGGCCCGGCCGCCGCCCGCTGCCCCGGTAGCACATACTCGTACAGGCTGGTCCAGTTGGGCTCGCTCGACGAAGGGAGCGTCTCCCACGAGTTGGACGACGCCGCGTACAGGCCATTGTCGTCGCTGTCGCGGCGCATCTGTTGGCGGCTGTCCAGGCTGTGCCCGCTGGAAGGCGTTCCTGTGGACAACAGCAGCAAGCTGCGGACCTCTTCCATGGCCGCCGAGATGCCGCTCATGCCGCTGCTGCCGCTCGTGGGCCGGCGGCTGCTCAAGGAGCTGGCAATGTCTTGCGACAAATCGGTGGCGTCGTGCTCCGCCCTGGATGGCGCCAAAAAGGCCGGCTGTGGCGGGTCGAGCCGGATGGCCTCGTCGGCCGCAAAGTCGCTGCCGTTCAGTATGCTCTCGCCGTCGTCATTGTCGTCGTCGTCGTCATCATCGTCACTAAAGTGCATGGGGTTGTATCCTTGCTGCCGGTGGTCAAAGACGCCGGTACGGGGTGTCTGGATGCTGGACGCACCATTTCGGCTCGTCACGGCGCCCGAAGCCCGACTGTCTGGTTTTGAGTCACGGTTCCACCGCGCGCTGCCCGGTTGCGGCGACTCTTCGTTGATGCGTTGGACGCTGCCGATGAACACGGGTCGTGGCTTGTAGGGCTGTGCAGTCGTAATCCGGCCAATGGTCACGCTACCCAAGTCGGTATCGAACGAGGCTGCGTCGGGTGACGGGTAGCTGCTGGGGCCCGTCGTCGAGAAGCGCTTCAGAGCCGACCGTGCTTTGCCCACGGGCACACCCCACTTGAAACGGTTGGCAATCTTTGACGCGAAGCCCGACAGGAAGCCTCGCCGGCCATTGACTTCGCCCGCCGCCCCGTTTTCCATTGCGTCGTTGGACTCCAGCGTTGACTGCGTCCCATCGGCCACGGCCTGTATCGAACTCTGCCCGTCGCCATGGCTGACTTGGCCGCTGTGCCATTGGTTGCCGTTGCCGTCACCGACCACCACGGTGCCCACCGAATCCCGGTCCTCGTCCACAATGGCTTCTTGGCTGTCCAAGACGTGTTCGGGCAATCGGCTACCACCGGCGGCTGAGTTGGCTCGGCTGGCTTCTGCAGCCTGCACTGCAATGTCCAGCTGCATGGGCGTGCTGGTGCGGACGGTCTGCCGTGTGAGCACGGATGCGCTCTTCTTTGTGGACAAGGATGACGAGGCAATGCTGCGGAGAATGCCGAGGGCATCGCGGTGCTGGGCGTCGTCGACAGGGTGGCTCACGTCCGACGCGGCACCGGATTGGTGGCCAGTCTCAGCTGACGAGTTCCGCGAATGCACGCTGGACATGACGGTCGACGCCTCAAAGGGCCACTGTCCGTTAGCCGCTGCATTGGCCCGGTTGCTCCGTGCGCTTCTAGCCCCGGATGACGTGGACGGAGACGAGGACGGTCCTCTGGAATGGATGGAGGGCGGCGCAGGGAAGTCGGGAATTTCGCTTTTGCTGTGGCCCGCCACATTGTTGACCGCCGTGGCCGCCGTAGCCGCCGCGGCCGCCGTGACCACGCCTGCCCTTGTCATCATCGCATCTGTGCTGTGTTCGCTCGACTCGCCTTGTTCGTCGTCGTCGCCCGGGCCGGCCAGAGCCGTGCCCACAGGGACTTCCTCCGCAACAACCTGCATCTTCGCCTTTTCATGTGCAGTTTGCTGGGCTGCGTATGCCTTATTGAGGTTGCTGACCTTGTATTCCTTGTCCAGCGCCCGCATGGACGACCCAATGTCCTCTTGGCCATTGTATGCAAAGCTGAACGGCACAGGGTCGGAAATGTCCTTGTTGGTCAAGTGCTGAGACAACTCGCGGCGTTTCTGGCGTCTCCGGCGCAGGTAGCAGCACGCGATAATTGTGAGAACCAAAGCCAGCAGCAGCGTTGGAATGAGCACGGCGAGCAGGATGGTCTGGGTCGACGACGACGACGATTTGGGCGCAGCCACAGATGCAGAAGTGGTGCTCGTCGAGGTCGGTGTGGTTGGCGTAGCAGACGACGAGGAGGAGGCCGTTGCGTTGTTAGACGATGTGCCCGGTAAGATCTGCAACAAAAACGTCTCACTCTCCGTGGCCTTGGAGCTGTCTAGCGTCGCCCGCACCGAGACGGAAATCGACGAGGCGGTTGCCGAAATCGGGACGTCGCCAGACACGACAAGCGTCGAGCTGTCGAATTTGATCCAGTCCTCCTTGGGGTCCGTCTCCACAACGACTGTGACGCCCTTCGTCTGGACGAGATAGGGTCCCAGGTCGAGATGGAACCCGCTGCCGCGCTGCGCCTGCATGGCGGGCAGTGTGTCGCGGAACACGGTGCCGTTCTCGTCAATGTCGACTTGGAACGTGACATTGACGGAATCGGCCAGGGCATCGGAAAACGAGATGGAGAAGGCCGAGTTTTGGGCCGAGGAGGGCGGCGTACCGCTCAACAGCCACGTGGTGGCATCAAACACCAGCCAGTCGGGCGGAGACATGTCGGACAGGACTTTGGCAGTCAGGTTGTTCGGGCCCGCGACCCGGCCGTCGATCTTGATGCCATGCTGCAGACCGTCGTACACGAGTTCCTTGCCAGCGGTCGCGTTAAGAACCACGGCTGGTTTGTCGGCTGTGATCACGCGTCTTCCCACCACAATCGAAAAGCCAAGAGAGGACGCGGAGAACCCAGTCACATCAGACGCAATGAGTTGAAAATTAAACGTTTGTGGAGGCTCGACCAAAGAGTCCGACGGCGGTGTCGTGCCTGAGAATTTGAGTTCTTGCGTGTCAAAGGCGATCCACGAGGGCAGCGGCGAGTTGTCGCCTGAGACGGCGTAATAATTAAGACCAGATCTTGAAAATGCTGACTGTGAGAGCGAAAAGTTAAAGTACTGGTCCGGGTACGCTAGAATGGACGACGGCTCTGAGTACGGAAGGCCCGTGTCGGCAAGCTGCTGGGCAATGGGGATCTTGACAGTCGGTTCCGGATTCCGGGAGACCACCAGAATGACACTCATGGTAGTCGAGCCGGTGCTGTCCGTGGCCACGATTCCAAAGGGGATGCCGGCCACGTCGCCAGAAGGGACGTCGTTGTCTTGTGGCGTGCCGTGCAGCCAGCGCTCGCCGGAGTCGATGGAGAGCCAGCTTGGCGCATTGTACAGGGAATACGTCATGGGGTCCGCTGACGATGAGGACGAGGTAGCAGCGACAGAAGACGTAAACGTGTTGGCTGCTAAGACAAAAGAGTAGGTCGAGCCAATCCGTGCGACTGGAGGCACCTGGGCATTGAAGGGGAAGCTGATGGTCGGCGAGCTGGAGACAAGCTTGATGAGGCACACCCAGGCCGCAGCCCGGGTGGCCAGCATCACAGGCAGCTGCATCTTGCCGCCGCAACGCGTAGGAGACGGTTAACGTTGGTTGATTTCCCAGCTGTTCGCAATGGTCGAGTTCCGTGTTGAACCAGTTTCGGAAGCTGTCGAAAATCGAGAAACAAATATTCGGGCGTGTGAGCCTGACGATGCGCTGGTGATTAAGATTACTGGATTCGAGATGCGTCGTAATGTTGCTGCTTACAAGAGCAAAGAAAAACTGACAACTGACAAAGAAAAAATAATACTGCGGTTGTCGAACGAACGTGGATGTGGTATCTTTGAATAGAATTGAGTGACAAAACTGAAGATGAGAAAGGAAAGAGTGACAGCAAGAAGAGAACGAAACGCAATCGGGAGAAAGGAAACCAAAAAAAAAAAAAAAAAAAAAAGAACAGGAAGGAAACGAAACAAATCGTGTCGGCAAGAAAGATAGAGAAAACAGATCAGGGCAACGCGGTATCTGTCCAGAGAGAGAGAGAGAGCAGGCAGACTGTCAGGTATGGGGCGTGACAGGCCTTTCGCAAAGACTCCCTTGGGCCATGGTCGTGATAATTTTCTTGAACAGAGCGGGGGCCCAAGGCAAAGAAGCGCAAAAGACTGCAACAACGCGTACAGCGACAGGGCAAAGGGGCGGAGGGTCAGAAAGCTTGGAATGGAAAGAGATATTGACCTCCGCAGACATGGCACCAGGATATCTGTTCGAAGAGGAAGGTGTTGATGCTGGGGAGGGATGGAGGGTTACTGGGCCCAAAAGGGAGGCTTCTTCCCACCCTTCCCGGGGCCATTTTTCTCGACAAACCTGTAGTCGTTCTGTCGAGACAAAGTTTGGCACCATTGTGTAAGTAAACGGCCAGACTAGTCGTTTGAGTCGTGAGGTAGCCGGATTGGCGAATTCCAGTCAACTTGTCAAAATTGACAGGTTCGACGAGACGAAGTTTAGTCTTTCGTCGAGGCTAGATGTTATTCTTGATACACCTTTTCTCAACGGAATAGCAACGGCAGATAGGATAACTTTGCAGAGCAAGAGTTCGGCAAGCTGCTTGCAGCATGATTCTCACATTGTCATGAAGAACTGGGCTTGCAAAAGCGATGCAAAATGGCTGCAGAACATTGTTTCGTCGATGCTTCCAACGCGTGACGCCAGTACCAGGCACAAGCAGCCACCTCCCTGGGTCCAATGTCGCCTTAATGGACTTCCATTCCTGGGCATTGGCAGGGAGGAGAGATGTGCAGGCCCAAGCCCGGCATTGGGAAAGGGAGGACGTCCTCAGAGGTTGCAAGTACAGTCTTTTGTGCCGTCTCGGTGCTTTTGTATGCAGGGTCGGTGCCAAAGGGAGAAAGCGGCCCCGAGTATGTAAAGCCATCTAGTTAGTGCCAGTGGAACCAAGGGGTAAAAAAACACGAAAAAGAAGGGGGAGACTGCATTAACGAGTGTGCTAGACAATTGTGCACAGCGCAAAGTGACGATGAAGCAATTGTCGGATGTCATGAGAGAAAAAAGTAGAGAGAAGGAAAGAAGAAGGAAGAAACTCCAAATGCCCTTGGGAGAAGGACGACAGATTATGTGCAAGTGACGTAGAAAGCATGGGGGAAGGAACGCAGAAACGGCTTTAACGCGTGGAGCAAGAGTGCACGCGGAGGCAGGCGCAAACGGCAGCGTCAGAGAAAAAGCGGGGCAGCCATTTTGTCGTGTCTTTTCGCTTTTAAGGCACAATCCATCCTAATCGGGAAAGGGAAGGGTCTGGACCTGGCTGGCCCCAGTGAGGCTACGGAAACGGCCTGGCCCAATTCCCACGGGGCACGAAAATATCACTGGGAAATCACTGGCGGGACAAAAGGCGGCCAAAATTCAGAGCAGCATCCTCTCTCGTCAGACAAGATAGATAGCAAAAACCACTCACAAAAACACGCTCATGCTCATACGAATCGCATAGAACAAGAGGGATAAATCCAATCAAAGCTTCACGAACAATCGAAGAAGAGCATCTGAGTCTGCATTCTTGAGCAAACCCGCGAGCAGTGCACATCGCAATCATTTTTTTGCCTGCTTTTTCTTCTCCATCGCGAGTGATTTGAGTCTCTAGTCTCTTACTTTCTGCACGAGCAGCCCAAAATCACGGTCAACGCGCAACGCAAGGGAGAATCGTGTTGAAGAAAGGGAGTCGTTGTGTCCTGCCAAGGCCCAATCGCGCGCTCTCCACAAGAGTAGATAGTGTCACAAGCAAGACGGCCAAGCATCTTCACCATCCACGACCGCAGGGATACTGCCGACCAGACCGGATTCTCACGACCCTCACAGCTTCAGCGGCCTGACATTACAAAGCGTAGGCCTCGAGAGCAAAAGCTACAAAAGCTGCAAAAGCTCCCCGGCCCTTCCCAAGTCTCCCGGTCCCCGCCGGACCCACGAGACTGCACGAGGCTGCGATGGCCACCGCCAGCCGGGCGTCGTCGCTGGAGCTGAACCCGTTGTCGGTGGGCGATCTGCATTACCACTACGGCGACAATGCGAGCGATGCCGGCAGCCGCAACGGCGACACAGACAAGGATGCGATCGCGCCGCTGCCCCAGTACAAGGCGGCAGGTGAGACCGTGGTGGGGTTCGACGGGCTTCTGAAGCCGGCGCCGGATCTGCGGCTCCGTGAGGACCTGAGCGAAGGCTGCGGTGGGCAGTTGTGGCCGGCAGGCATGGTCTTGGCGAAGCACATGCTGCGATACCATCGTGACGATATGGCTCACGCGAGGATGTATGTGATCTGCTCGGTCTGCGTGATCTGATTGTATTTGTTCTATGATTTCATTATTTCTGGAGCTGCCGTTACCACTCGTTTGCTAACTCCGTAGACTTGAACTGGGTGCTGGTGGCGGTCTAGTCGGGTTGGCTGTGGCCTTGGCAAACCAAAATGCGGCCGGCAGACCAGCCCCGGAGGCAGCGGACACCGACAACATCCCCTCCATGTACATCACGGACCAGCTGCCCATGTTCGCGCTCATGGGCCACAACATTGCCCTCAACGGCCTGCAGCGCGACGTCCAGCCGCTGGTCCTCAACTGGGGCGAGCCGCTCCCCGACGAGGTCCGCAAGCAGCGGCCCAACGTCATCTTGGCGGCCGATTGCGTCTACTTTGAGCCGGCGTTCCCGTTGCTGCTGGCCACGCTGGAAGAGCTGCTCGCGCTCGCCGATGACGTGGTGATTTACTTTTGCTTCAAGAAGCGGCGGCGGGCAGACAACCAGTTCATCAAGAAGGCGCAGAAGAAGTTTTGCATCACGGAGGTGGTGGACGAGGACCGGCCCGTGTTTAGCCGCGAGGGTTTGTTCTTGTACACGTTCACACGGAAGGAGGCAAAAACAACGGCAAAATCAGCTGTGGCCAACGGGGTCAAGCCCAAGACGCAGGCAAAGTAGACGACTTGCGTCCAGTTTGCATTTAATGTTCAGTTGGCGGCAGATTAACGATGAACAGCGATATACAGCGAACCGATACACAAGCATATAGAGCAAGCGAAATGAACGATTGTTACGACCATGGTCTTGCTATTTATTCTCATCAACTTCAAACTGCGGAGGCGGTCAAACTCTGGTTGGCAGGGACAAGAGCACAGCATCACAATCACACAGCTGTCTGTCGTTCTCTTCCTGCCGACGGGTACCAGGATCCAGGTTCCTCTGTTTTCGTGGCCTTTTCGGTCATAGCTGAGCATAGACACCATTTGCTACACAATCCAGTAAACGATTTGTGAACCTCCCCTTGGAGCGCAAAGTGGGCAGGTCATGCCCATGCCAAATCATATCCTCCTAACACTCCTCTTCCCTGTTGTGCTCGCCTTTAGAAACACTCGAGGCTGTGAGACTGTATGGACTATATGAGCTACGCTGCGCCATGACGACGACGACGACAGCTGTACGACGTCTGTTTGGGCCGTAACATGTCACTCAGGTGTGCCTGCCTCAACGGGCATGTCTTTGGTATGTGCGCACAATACGTCAACGCACAGTTTTCATTCTCGTTTCTTGATCCTTCTGGTAACTGCATTTCCTGCACACCCGGGTGACCCAGCTCGATCGTCCAGGTACGTGGGTAAAGGCGATTGCGGCATGCCAGAGTCGGATTGGCTCGCCCGACCAGTGGTCAAGATACCAAAATTAACCACCAGTCAGGAATGCGTTGCGGATAAACCGAGTACCAGTCGTAGGGAGAGACAAATACGAGAAGTAATAAGAAGAAAACAACAAGCGAGTACGACGAGCAGAGGCACACGAAGAAATCAAATTCGAACGTTTCATGACACGCAAAACGTGGCAATGAAAATGTGTTGTGTTGGTTGTCCACACAACAGCATATACGGAATATACACACAATACAGTGGACGCAAGCCTCCTGCAAGACTCGGCACAGGTCACAGCATCAAACGCCTGTTATTCCGAGATGTTTGTCATTGTGTCAAGACGGTCCTCAGGAACACAACCAGGTTCCGGGGTACGGAAAAGCGCGTTCCTGACCTTTGACCGGGCCGAGGGATCCTGCGGCGAGATACTGAAGCGTCAATCGGAGCTAAAGAAAAGCCATCTGTGGCCTAACAGTTCCAGATGTCGACGAACAAAGAAAATTCTTCAAACATGAAGCAGCTAAAGAACGCCTTTGGGTACAATACTCCCTCGGAAGTTGTCTAGACCTCAAGACTTTTCTCTCAGTGGGGATCTCTTTGCTTGCGTAAACCCCCCACTACGAAATAGCGGCGATGAAGTTGACTGCAAGGGTTCGTCTATGTCGTGTATACCTCGCACCTGTTGCCGTCATTGTTAGCAGTGACCTTTGGGGCATGCGAAAACAGCGTACAAAGACGGGGACCTGCAAGTCCCTCACTATCTCGTGCTACGTCGACAGCCGTGCAAGTTCTGGCCCGTCCTGCAGCAACAAAGACGGGCAAAGGAGGGAGAAAACAACAGCGCCCGACTGCAGTAACCCACTCACACTGAACCCACAAAAGTCCACCACAAAGGGTCTTCTCAGCGGCAGCGGGGATGGGTGAGGGCGGGACTACCTCGAGACGGCATCTTTGCTGTGTGGTTTTGTTTTGTGATCCTCTTTGGTCTTCCTGTGGTCCCTCGATACATTTCTTTGCTCCTTTGCCTCCTTCTTCCTCCTTCTCCTCTTTGTCCTCCATCCACCGTCGTGGACCAATCGGTGGCTGGGACAGCAGACCCTCTTTTCCTTTCTTTCTTTTCTTTGTCTTGTCTTTGGTGACTTTTTCTTTTCCTCTGCATTTTTTTTTTCTCCGGCCTGCGTGTCCCTCTTTTTCTGCGACGGTAAGATACCTGTTGGCGTCGTTCGTTCCACGTTCGGTCGACCTTGCCCTGCCCGTCCAGTTGTTCCTCTCGTCGTCAGAAACCGAACAACAAAGCAGGTAGCCGCTCGATGTGGTGTCAAGACCGATGCCTGCAGCAAGTGGCGCACCCCGCCTCGCTTCGTTTTGTTTGCCTCCTTTTGCGGCTTTTTGCGACTTTTGTACCGCTGACAGTCTTGCTTGTCTCGTACGTTTTTCGCTGGTGGCTTGTTGGTGCCTGCTACCGAGATACAAGAATGCGCTGTTTTTCGTATTTTCGTCATTTTCGTTTCCATTTCTTCAGTATCGTTGGCGCATGTACTGTTCTCTTTTGGTCTACCTCTGCGACAACCTAGCCCAGAAGACGATGAATGCCGTACCGCACGTGTATGTTGTACGTCGTACAATACTTGTACGTGCTGCTCAGTCAAGTATCTTACTCCGTCGCTGCTCGTTCTTCGTAATGCTAGCATGGATCTGCTCCGCGAGCGGCAGGCCAGGATACTTCGAAGCGGCAAGGTCACGGGGCACACTTGCACTCTCATCGATCAGCTTTTCCATCTCCGTGAAAGTCGGGCTTGTTTTCGGACGTCGTACTTGATGGGAGGCGTCTGGACCAGCTGGCCCTCTCTTCTTCCCTGTCTTTTCTTGACCTCTGGCCCTGGAAAAAGATCACGACTGGCATGTCGCAAATGAAAGGAGCACAGTTTTGCCTGGGGACCCCTAACACTTCTGCGCCTCACGGCGCCCATTCCACAGTGGAGGCGATGCCGGGCGACTGTTTCTTGTTATGACATTCTGGCCACTGACAGATCATTCTTGCTGCCATGTTTCTGGGATGATTGCGGTGTTTCTTCCAGGGTTCAGCGCTCTTCGGCCTGTGTTTCTTCCCTGCCACTGTCTTTCCGTCTTCTGTCAGTGCATGCTTGTCCATCGTCGTGCGCTTGTCTTCAAGCCCCTGCAGGACAGGGCGAAAAGCGAGAAAATACTTGTGCCTGAACGTAAAAGACCAGTCGTGTTGTGTTCCTCTCTGCCGTCTCCCTCCATCTCAGCGCTCCCTCTTTGTTCCTTGCAGATTTTAGCCCACTCCTGCCCAACCCGCCAGAAACATTTGGTCCAATCGACCCCTGTCGTTGTTTCCAGCCAATGAGAGCCCGACACACCCTTCCCCTTGAAACCCTACTACTCTTTACCCCTGAGCCCTGGTACCTTTTTCCTCGTGGTGTTGCCTCCCTCTCAGTGGCTGTCTGTATCGTACCTGCGTCGACAAGTACGAAAGTACCTCCCAAGAAAAACCGTACCTGGATTTTCTCCCGTTCCTGCCGTTGGTGCCCCTGAACCTCCTATTCTGTGTAAGTCAAGACTCAACACAACAAACCCATTTCTGGTGAGGCCTTTCCAGTCGTTAAGTCCTTGGAGAAAAGCCGTGGCAGTTTCCCAGCCTCCAGGAATCCCTTTTGGTCTTCTCGATTCAGGGTTGGGTCAGCGTAGATCCACCAGCTGTCAAAGGGCTTCCAATCGTATCATGCGGACGTGCCACGTCCAGTATTTTGCATCTCACTTGTTTATCTTGCTATCGCCTGTTCTTTCCCTCCCTGCGAGATCCGCCTCTGGCCGGTCCTCAGTCAGGCTCACTGGATGTGCCCCTTCCTCGTCGGGCCAGACTCTGCTCGAAATGGGCCCAGATCGTTGTCACTATGAGGTACAAGCATTAAGCATCTGACTATGTTGTATAACATACTTCGCTCTTGCCTTCTCGGTGGCCTGGCGGCGCTCCTTCCACGAGTGTCTGGACGCCGCCGGAGCGTGGGACCCACACCTCCATCAACAAAGCTTTCCGTGTGCATCGCCCCCCTTGCCCCTGCACTACCTGCATCCACTGGTTCGCTCTTGCTTTTTTCTCAGTTCTTTCTTTGTCCTCCACTTTGTTTGTTGTTTTTGGCTCTTTTCTCAGGTCCGAATAAAGACCTCGACTGCTGCGCTTCTTCTTGCCTTCTCTGACTTCTCCCTCTCTTTCGCTTCGCCTTCACCTCAGCCCATCATTTACTTTCACCTTCGACTCACCTGAGTTTTATATTCTGTTCTCCATTCCTTTAGAGCAGGCTCACATTCGAGATATCCATCTCTTCAAAACCATTTCACATTCCTTTGAACAGCCACCTATATAAAGAGCCCTCCGCGAAGGCATCTCACGATCTAAACTTCTGCTTCTTACATCTTGCTATCAACAAAGAACGTCCAAGGATCTCCAACAGCCAAGGCCCGTCAATCCTTTTTGAGCCTTCTTCAGCCTTAGCCGCTACACTACCACACAACTCATTTCCTTTCGGCACATCATCCGTACAGACCTACGCCAATCTATTCGGTACCCACCATTCATTTCCAGATCCAGATCTTGATATCACCACCCAAACAACCACATCTTTCAAAATGAAGTCTGCTGCCGTCCTCACTTTTGGCCTGGCCTCGCTGGCTCTGGCTCAGCCTCGCCACCACGCGCACGTCCGCGCCCATGAGAAGCGTGGCGAGGTCGACAAGCGTGCCATCAAGACCGAGTACACGACGCACTGGGAGACCGTCGTCGTCACCGAGTACATTGACCTCACGGCCACCAGCTGGGTCACTCCTGGTGCTACCCCTGCTGCTTCGTCAGCCCAGCAGGTCCCTGGCCAGTTCTTCGAGGGTGCTTCCTCGTCGTCGTCCTCGTCGCCGTCCCCGTCGCCGTCCACCTCGTCCTCCTCAACCACCACCACCACCACCCACTCGACGTCCACCACCACCGTCACCATCTCCCCTGTCTCTCCCACGACGTCGTCGACCTATGTCGCGCCCACCACCAGCACCCCTGTGGCTGCTGTTCCCACGACGTCGTCCACTGCTGCTGCTGTTCAGGAGCCGTCGACCCCCGCTTACGTCGCGCCTGCGGTCGCCACTACCTCGACCCCGGCTGCCGCTGCCTCACCCTCGACTAGCTCTAGCTCGTCGGGCTCCGGCGGGTCCGGCGGCTCCAGCGGCACCACCTTCACGGGCGACATGACCTACTACACTGTCGGCTTGGGCTCGTGCGGTACGGACCAGACCGGCGATGACCTGACTCAGAACATTGTGGCCATGAACGTCGAGCAGATGGGCTCCCAGTCCAACGGCAACCCGCTCTGCGGCCAAACCATCACCATCTCTGCCAACGGCAACACGGCCACGGCCACCATCATGGACAAGTGTATGGGCTGCGCCTACGGCGCCATTGACGTTAGCGAGAAGGTGTTCACGGAAATCTTTGGCAGCCTCGACGTAGGCCGCTCCCCGGTCACCTGGTGGTTCAACTAGGGGCATTCTCACCCTTGTTCCTGACCATCCTTTGCTTCAAACTCGCAACTCCCTTCATTTCTTGTGTGTATTTGGAATCCACCTTGAGCAGTTGATCTTGCTCTTTTTTTTCTGCATTTCCTCTCTTTTTTGGTGTGTATAGACACGCAAGTAGGATGGACCGACTTCCAGGCGAAAGTTTTGTGATGTTCATCGTTACAAGCCATTCCACTCTATACTTGCCAAACACGCCTCGCATCATATCATACACATGGGATTATACCCCCTTTCCTTCCCACATCGGCACAAACCCCATTTTGACGACTACGACACAATAAAAATTAAAAAAAAGCGAAATATCTAAAAAAAAAAGAGCATGACAACATAAAGGCATCGCTTGCGATTGCCAACTTACGACTTTTACCCCCCTCAAGAATGGACACAAAACCGACAAAAGGTTGGCGCATATAAGAAAGGATCACACCCAAACAAATATGTTCGGGTGGAAATCATATGGCCGGAGCTTTCAAGGCATTTGGGTATTTTTGTTCAATTTTTTAGATGATGGTTTTTATTTTTCTTCATCTGCTGTGTTGGTATCAGTAAGAAAAATAGCAGGGTTGAACTAGGAAAGTTTTCGGTTTTCGTTGACTAACTTGGAGTCCCCTGCTTTTTTCCTTTTCTCTGCCTTCCACTTTTCTTTTTCTCATTCATGTAAATACTTTTTGACACTTTGTCATGGCAGGCATCCCTTGGAGGACGAGTCTCGGCCAATTTTTTTTTTCTTCAGAATGGACTTCATCAATTATCATAAACGTTATCTCGATACGTGAAACTAGTTAAACCCGCATGACAACATCAAGGAGTAAAGCCGTAGCCATGCCATGCCTGATGCCGAGAAGACCTCCATCGTTTTGAAAGCGTTACAGTCAAAAACTGTGTGATTATTGCTAGCCTTGTTGACTGTATATTCTGCTATCTGCTTTCCCTCCTGCCGTGTATAGTCAATATTAAGTTGCTTGTTCCTGGGAACGCCAGCATCCCCAAACGGCACAAATGATCATATTACAACATCATCGCCAGAGTAACATAAGCTACAACTACGACAGGCAGTGCCATGGTAGCAGCAGTGAGCGCACCTGCCCCAGAGGATGGCTTCGGCGATCCAGACGCTGTGCCCGAGGCTGTCGCCGACGTCTTTTTGTCCGTGCCGGTGCCGCTCGCTGTTTCCGTCGCTCCTGAGCCAGTAGCTGTCGAAGGAATCGCTTCAGCACGTGCCGTTGCAAAACACTCGCCCAGCACCACCAGATCGTGCAGGTCGCCGGGCCCTTGCGGGAACATGGTCGCGGCCGCATACCACGCCTGAGGGCACTCGGACGCGAGCGTCAACAGCGGGGCAATGCCCGACGGCAAGAACGACGCCGCCGCGCGGCCGTACGATGTGTACTTGGACAGCACGCTCGACGGGGCGACCTTGGAGAAGTCGCACCAAAGCGAGGGCGCGGGCGAGCAGTCCGCGGCGGCGGTGGCCGGCGGGGTGGCAGCGCCACTACCACCACCGCTGCCACCACCGCTACCACTGCATGCCTGGCTCGTCAAGACCGACCCGTACGAGGTAAGAGCGCTGGCCAGGTCGTCGGACGGGGCAGCGTGCAAGAAGAAGGCGGCCAAGAGGTCGGACTGGCAGGCGATGGACAAACCGACATCGCTGATGGTGTCTTCGGTGGTGGTTGGAGCGGCCGTGGGCAAGAGCGTCGAGAGGGCGGCGGCAACGTCCGTCGCATCGGGAGCAGCGGTGACGGTGGCAGGTGTGTCGGCCGCGACGGATGCAACTGCCATGGCCAGCGACAGCAGACGTGCCGCCATCACGCCTATGCGGGTCATGGTGATGGAGATGAAAAGCTGTGGGATGGAAAGAGAAGCAAGGTAATAAGAATTAAACAAGAGAGCATGCAGTGAGTATTGGGTCTTTCGGCACAAAATGAATTAAGAAGAGCACGAAAATAAATGACTCGACTTTTAGCTTTTAGCTTCCTTATAAATAGGAGCAGAGAAAAGAACGAAGAAGGAAAGAAACAAAATAAAAAGGAATGGGATGCGGATCGTCGCCATGCACTGGACCAAGGGAAATAACTCTTGGGGAAAAGGGGCAGGAACGCGGCAGAGAAATCCGTTTCACGTCTTTATCACTTCTGCCTTCTCTCTCTTGCTGTTTCTTCTCCCCGTTCCACACGTTGCTGTTTACCCCTTGGACTCGTTGATCTGCTGTGCCGCAATATAAAAAGGCAGTGCCTGGTGCCTCCCGCGCCTGACAGGACATTGCTGGAGTTCGTGGGACGATTCCAGGGACATATAAACGTGCCGCTCGAGGCGCAGACGCAGACGCAGACGCGTCTAGGGACGGAATTGTCTGTCTATCGTCTATCAAATAAAGGATACATACAGGCTGTGCCAAGGTAAATTAATATATCCTTTATGTGCGTACATTGTACCCGGTGCGGCGGTACATAGGCCAACCCAAGACGCAGCGCATTTACCGTATGTCCTTGAATATTTTAATATTTTAAGTTTCAATTTCTCCTTAAAAATAAAGACGACGATTAAATAAGCTGTAACCATTTTAAAAGACTAATACGACGCTATTTTTATTTTTATCTCATACTTGATTCTATATCTACTACCAAGGACAATGCAATTTACTCCTCAAAGTGGTCCACGAGGTTCGGAAAGCTGCTATCCAGGAGCGCCTTGATCTCGGCTTGGCAGGACACCTTGTCGTACTGCGCCAGGTCCGGCCAATGGTGCTTCCGGTAAATCTCGCGCACCTGGGGCACGACGGCGTCCCGGTCCTTGGCGTGGAAGTACGGGTGCGTCACCCACACCTTGGTTTTGGTAATGGGCACAAACTCGAGCTTGCGGAACTGGTTCTCCAGCATCTTGAAAAAGTCGGGAATCGACCACGCCGTGCTGTCGCCGCGCCACTCGGCTTGCTCCTCGTCCTCTTCGTAGTCGTAAGGGTCGTCGCTCACGGGGCGCACCGGCCGGCCGGCCGCCACGATCTCGCCGGGACACTCGTACCACAAGACTATGCCGAGGTCGGTGTCGAGCACGATGACGTCGCTGTTCGTCCAGCTCGTCAGGCCGACGACATGGGGCGGCAGGATCTCGCTGAGGGTGGCGCCCTCTGTAAAGACCCGCACAGACTCGGCGTCCTCACGACCGTTGGCAAGGTTGGCGGCCGCCTCTTCCCAATTGGCAAACGTGGTAAAGGGCGCAATCTTGACGGTGTCTGAGCCGCCGACGCTGGACCGCTGGCGGACAAACGGCAGGTGGCGCAAGAGGTCGATGACGGTTTCGTCCTTGTCGACGCTGGCGAGGTTGTCCGCGGTGATAGACGGCCAGCCGCCTTCATCCCCATCCTTGGCAGCTGGGGGGTACAGGAAATCCGACTCATCGAGGTACATCTGAAACAGGAAGTGAAAGTAATCGCGGACCGCCTTGACGCACTCGTCCCGAGAGTACTCGATGTCGTCGAGTTCAGGCATGGCGGATGGTTGTGCCAGCAGCTGTATGGCGGCACTCTATGTTTGACAGGAAGAATGTGTGGTGGTGCGAACAAAACAGCTTCGAAAAGGCAGCTTCGGAATGTTGGGATGACAGATGACGTGAATTTGAAGACAAAAAAGGTAAATCGATAAGATGCGGACAACCGCAACGCAAGAGGAGTGCCAAGCCAGTGCAAACAGCAAAACGGCCCCGCAATAAAACGTCTCAACTGCGAGAATGAAGGCCTGAAGGGGTAGTGAGTTTGGTAGCTGGCTGCAACGAAGGACCGACAGCAAAACTGAGACCAGGAAGTTGATTCAAAATGTGAAGGGGTGAAAAGACGATGCAGAAACAGTTCCCGACTGGACCACAGACATTTGGTCTAAGCAACTGTGCGGCAGCGCGAGGGACTCTCCCGGCTAATCGGTCTGCTTTTCCCCTCGACGGAAATGACACCCTGCAAACAATTAGACGGCTGCGCCGCAAATGTGCCGCAGCATTCGTCGTTAACCGACACAGCTATGGTGTTTTGGTCTGCATGGCATTTGTACTGTCTGCTTGTGCTTGCCGACCCACGTCTGCCGTTTTGAAGGATTTCGTCATCCCTTCTCAGAGTGTGTCGTTCAATATCGGCCTGCTGCCGCTGGCCGGCCTCGCAATCTCGGATCGGGGTAGACGGCGAGGAGAGCTGGCTCGTCTGGCAGCCCTGCCTGGTCTACCTGGCTTGCATTCTGCATCTCGCACTTTGGAAGCCTGCACGTCTACTCCTGGTGTCGGCTTGATACAAGGTGTAGATTTATGGCGACGGAAAGCCGACTTGCATCGCCTCGACTTCGACTCAAAGGATCAAGGACGCACTTTCGGCCACTTTCTTCAATATCGCGATATGAGCAACGCGTCTGCTTTGCCCCGAGAGGATTGCTGCTGAATTACACGGCTGCAAGCGTTCAAGCGGCAGACATGAGGGGAACGTGTCGACACGTCGGAGAGAGGGCCGATACGATAACAGCGAACATGAAGAGAGTTAATGAGAGTAAGGAGAAGGGAAAGGGACAGAGTCAAATTAACACAAACAGAGAATAAATAGAAAGAACGATATAAATGGAGTGTGGCCTGCTGTCGTAGTCGTAGATGCGGTCCGGAGAGGAAGCTGCGATGACCAGCATCTTGTCTCGTTCTTGCCGTCTTGAGCTTCGTCACCATGCCGCCGACCAATCGCACTTCCCCAAAGCCCCTTTTAACAGGCGTAGCTGCCTTTGTCGGACGTGTGCTCCTGCCTCTCTTGTGTCTCACAGGCCAATGCCATGGCGAAGCTACCTCAACCAATGCTGCCGATTCGTCTCTGGCTTCGCTCGACCACCTCCTCGATGGCCTTGATACGCCTCCACTGAACGGAGGCTTCACCTACCTGCCAGACTTCCACGAATGCCCTCTGCCTTGCAGTGACTATGCAAATGTCTTCAGCTGGGTCCGCTACTGGACCCCTGATCAACTGCAGAGATGCAACGAACCTCTCCTGCTCCAGTTCTCCGTGGAGCAGCCGGTAGCATCCTCAGCATCATCGTCGTTCGGAGCGGGCGTGCCTATCTATGCTTGTTCTCTCTCGCCAACGGCAGCAGGCAGCTCGACTGCCAGCCCGCCACCAATCGACAACCCCAAGACATCCAACGATCTGAACAAGGACCAGTTGAGCCGTGCAGTTGCATGTGCCGCACCCAGCTCGCCCTCGTCATCCCCTAGAGGCAACATCACAGCCGTACAGAAGCTCGTGGTGTCCTCGGGCGCGTCCTGGAACGGTTCAGGGGACGGAAGTGATGTTTCTGCCATGATGAAGGGTCTGCAGTCTTTCTTTGAGGCGCAAGGCAACTGCGACGAGACTCTTGTCTTTGCGCGCCACAAGCAGACCACCATGGGCATGTACGTGGGTGCCAGCTTAGGCAAGGCAGCTACAACTGATGCTGTGCTCACATCGCTGTCGAGTCGTTTACAGACAGCCGGTGCCGCATCGCAGCCACTGGTCGCTCAACTCTGCGGAAACAGCGGCAGCAACAACCGTACAACTGAGCAAACCTTGGGAATTGCCATGGACGCCACGGGGGACTTGTCCATTGTGCAGCAGGCCGTTGCAGCATGGTCCAAAGGAAACTGCGTCTCATCTCTGGGTAGCAGTTTGCAACAGGACGCATCTCCTGTCGAGGCACATGTGGTCGACCTTTCACCAACACCTCCACGTATTAACAACACATTAGCTGTGAGCCGCCGTTTTCTCGGATCTCGCTATCTTCGCGGCCGCAGTGCCGACGACGCGGCCGTCAGCGCGGCCACTCCGACGCCGCCCGTCAAGAACTCGGACGGAACGTGCGCATCGTACGTCATCCAGAAGACCGACACCTGCTCCAAGTTGGCTACACAGTATGGCATCAATGTCACCGACATTGAAAAGTGGAACGCCAACAAGACGTGGGCCTGGACGGACTGTGCGGGCATGATGTACGGGAACAATATGTGTCTCAGCGAGGGCAGGCCCCCCTTGCCACCTCCGCAGCAGGGCGTCGAGTGCGGGCCGACGTTGCCCGGCACCACGCTGCCGACGAACAAGTCCGTGTCCATGGCTGACCTCAATCCGTGCCCGCTCAATGCCTGCTGCAGCAACTGGGGCTTTTGCGGTGTGTTCCCGCAGCACTGCGACATCCATAAAGCGCCCGGGAGCGACAGTCCCGGTGCCAAGGACAAGAAGTTCCAGAACACGTGCATCTCCAACTGCAATCGGGACATCAAGCAGAACTCGGGCCCGCCGGATACCCAGATGCGCGTCGGCTACTACGAGGCCTTTGGCATGGACCGACCCTGTCTGAACCTCAAGGCGAAGAACGCCAATGTCGGCGGTGTGTACACACACATCCACTGGGCATTTGCGGCCATTGATCCGACCACGCTCAAGCCGGTGATCAACGACACCGACAAGCAGTGGGCCGACTTCAAGGCTCTGCAGGACGTGAAGCGCATTGTGTCGTTTGGTGGCTGGTCCTTTTCGACCGACGCCGCGACGTTCGAGGTGATGCGCAAGGCCATCCTGGAGAACCGCGACACGTTTGCGGCCAACGTGCTCAGGTTTGTCAATGACGAAGGCCTTGACGGCGCCGACTTCGACTGGGAATATCCTGCCGCGCCAGATATTTTTGCCGGAGGCCAGCCGATCGGACAAAAGGGCGATGGTCTCGGGTATCTCAAGTTTTTGATCACCATGAAGCAGAAGCTGGGCAAAGACAAGTCGCTGTCGATCGCGGCGCCGGCATCCTTTTGGTACCTCAAGCCGTTCCCCATCGACCGCATCAGCAGTGCCATCGATTACATTGTCTACATGACCTACGATCTGCACGGCCAGTGGGATTATGGCAACGCAAACTCTTTCGACTCGTGCACATCGGGCAAGTGCATCCGTAGTCACGGTGAGTAGCCCCTGAAAATGCAAAACATGTCAACAACGGAAACCGGAGCATAAAAATCAAAAACTGACAAAACAGTCAATTTGACCGAGACCAAGAACTCCCTGTCCATCAGTAAGTCTTACAGTTTTCTCATTTTCCTTTTTTTCATTTTCCTTTTTTCATTAACAGTATTCAGTCACAAAGGCAGGCGTGGCCAACAACAAGGTCGTCGTCGGCGAAGCTAGCTATGGTCGCTCATTCCATATGGCCGAGCCTCTCTGCTGGGGCCCATTGTGCGAATTCACTGGATCACGCAACCAGTCGGATGCCACGCCCGGCCGCTGCACGCAGACGGCTGGGTACATTGCCAACGCCGAGATCAATGAGCTTATCCGCCAGGGCGCACAGTCAATTTATGACGGCTCGTCGGATACCGATGTTGTCCTTTACAATGGCGACTACGTTGCCTACATGACGCCCACTACACAGGACCGCCGCCGCGACACCTGGAAGGGCCTCAACTTTGCCGGCACGGTCAACTGGGCCGTCGACCTGCAGGCCTTCACCGCGGACGACATGGACAACGCCTCGGGCGATCGCGGCAAGCCCGGGTCGGAGGGCTGCATTGCCGGTGATGACCTAACAGTCGACACGGGCGACCTGTGCCAATTTACTTGTGACCTAGGCTTCTGCCCCGAGTCGCTGTGCTACTGCACGGAGCGCGGCATCTTAGATCCGCTGCCGGCCGTCAAGAACGGCTCTGCCAATGATGTCGTCATCGCCTGGAATGAGCAGGGGATTGACATCAACAAGATGTGCAAATTTGCCTGCACGTACGGCTACTGCCCGGATGACGTGTGCACTACACCTTTGGAGACCATGGTCGAGGATGACAGTGACGATACGCCCCCAGAGGCTAATCCGGACGACGACCCACGCGTTGCCAATGCCAACAAGTGCCTGATTTACGAGAACGGCGACCACGACGACAGTGTCGCTCCCTGCAAGATCTACTGCAAACCGCAGCTGGACGCAGCAGCGGCAGCTGGACGGACGAGCAACTACGGCTGCGTGGGTTTCTGGCCACTAAACGAACCCATCCCTTGGCAAACAATCTCAGGCTTGCCCTGTCGTGTGGCCGGCGGCACATGCAGCTGCGATAACTACTTGGTCAACGAAATTGCCACGACTGTACTCGAAGCCCTGCCCATAATTGCAGAGGTAAGAACCGTCTTCCCCTTTTCGAATGTAACGTCGTCGTTAACAAATCAAAGATTGGCTGCTATTTGATCATGTCGACTCTCAAACTTGTTGTCGACATTGGTTCCAACATCTTTACCGGCGGTGCATTGTCGGCAGGTTTGAGTACGTTGCAGTACAAATTTTCCCTTTTGATATTTGACGCTTCCAACTAACACACCTAGACGCTGTGACGACCGCTGCGCAGATCGTCAACTATGTGTATCCAAATGACCAAGACCCGCAGGGAGCGTTTGACTGGTGGCTGAGTCCCTGCGGCAACACGGACCTTGTGCCTGACGACATCAAGAAGGCCTTTGGCATTCTCAGTGATGTGGCTGACACAGTCACCGGCTTCAAGGGCCCCAAGAACATTCCCAAGGGAAGCGGCCGTCACGGTGACGATGGCAACCCCGAAGACCAGTCCAAGCCGCGACCGACGTCCAACGAACCCAAGCCAACCAGCAAACCTACTGACAAGCCGACCGGAAAACCCACAGACAAACCAACGGGCAAGCCGACCGACAAGCCCACGGCTTGCCCGGTGCCGACGAAAAAGGTGCGCCGGGGTATGGGTATAGGTGCGGGGCATGGTGGTGTGCCGCAAACGACGACGCGACCGGATGGCGCCGTCGAGACGCTCTGGCCGCGTGGTGAGGCCGGGATAATGACGGCAGACCAACACGGCGAGTACGAGTCGTACGACAGCGAATACTACGTGGATGAGGTCGACTCGATCAATGCCTCTTGCAAGAACAACAAGGCCAAAAAGTGCAAGATCCCCAAGGGCAAAGATGTGCAACGACTCGGCGCCGGAAAGAACACGCTGCGCAAGCTGTCGTGCGTCAACAACGTCGTCAAAACACAGGAGATGATTGTCACATCTCTTGTCTATGCGGCGGCCGCCACGAGCAGCGTGGTTGCCAGGAAGTGCGAGGCGGCCTGGACCCAGGCCTGCTACCATTATAGGTCGGTTATCCGCGAGAATCCGCAGTACGCGACCCTGACCTGCCCCCAGGAGGCGGCGAGCACCAAGCACCGACAGGACGCCGAGGCCACCAAAGTCTGGAGCGACCAGCACAAGGGCAAAGGATGGCTTGACTCGCAGCACCGCCAGTGGCCCAAATGCGACCGCGACGAGTACCCGCCCGCGTACCTGCTGAACGACGCCGACCCGGCGTTTGTTAATAGCGGCCACAACCGCAACGGCCAGCTGGTACGTTTCGTCCCCGGCACGCAGAATCAGCGCGCCGGCGGCATGTGGAAGGGCGTCTGCTTCAACGGCCCCGTCAAGGAGCTGTCGGACCGCGAATTCCAGGACCGCGTCGCGCGCTCGCCGCACACCAACGTCATCCACGACACGAACCTGGTGCAAACGGAGGCGGCCATTACCGTCGACCAGCGGCCCGAGTTTACGATTAACAGCTGGGGTCCGCCATCGTCGCCCGACGACGGGCTGGGCTCAAACCCGTGCTGGCCGAGTGCGATTGCGCCGCAGGACCCCGGCTTTGCGCTGTTGACGTACGACAAGTACTACGACACGCACCCAATGCCGTACAACTACCTGGCTGCATATGTTCCGCCGGCCGCGCCGCAGCCTACATAGCATGGAGTTGCTAGAGTACTTTGATCTGAATTTGGAGGATATTTTTGACTACGCTGCCGCTCTCGTTTGAATAAACTATTTGGTGTTTCGACCACATTTCAATATGTTGTTCCTAAAGCTGTCATGGCTAACTGCCTAATTCCGCCACTTACACTGGAAATGTCGCGTGCGTTCCCCGCTATGGGTCGGGATGCGGGTAAACGTTCCAGCCAACAGAGGAGCCAATTTGCCGAAGATCGGCGAAAAGCGCCGCCTGCCGCTTGCTGGGATGACGGGGAACCTGCCCCTAGCACCAGGTACTCCAGGCCTTCAATGCATGCGGCTTCGGCATATGCAAACGGCTTTATCATCGCCGCATGGGAACCCGCCAACATCGAATAACGACGGTTTCTTTTAACCCGACGTTGAAAAAAAAAAGACTTCTCTACCTCACTTTGCCTTATCTTACCTCGACTTACCTCGACTACTACTTCAATCGACATCACCACTTTGACACCGCTCCCAACATGCGTCTTCCCTACGCTGCCAACCCGCCCAAGTTTGCCGACGCGGCCTCCAACGCCATTGTCGAGCGCATCGCCGCCCGCCGCGCGCCCCGGCCCCTGCAGCCCTTGGACCTGGCCCTGCTGCACGCGCCCCCCGTTGCCGACGGCTGGAACTCGTTTCTGGGCGCCATCCGCACCAAGACCGACAGCGTCCCCGCCGACCTGCGCGAGCTCGCCATCAGCCGCGTCGCCGCCGTCAACCGCGCGTGGTACGAATGGGGCCACCATGCGCCGCTGGCGACGGCGGCGGGCGTGCCCGAGGCCGGCCTGCAAGTGGCCCTTGACGAGAAGCCGTATGCCCTCGACGACCAGTCTGCGGTGGCGAGCGGGTCGTTGACGGCCAAGCAGTGGGCGGTGCTGGTGTACACGGACGAGATGACGCGCAAGGTCGAGGTGGCGGACGGGACGTTTGCGCATCTGCGGACCCTCTTTGAGGAGCGGCAGATTGTGGAGCTGACGGCCGTGGTGGCAGCGTACAACTGCGTGAGCCGGTTCTTGGTTGCGCTGGATGGTCGGTTTCCCACTCCCTCCGCTCCCCCAAAACGTTATGTATTTGTGTACGGCGTACAATCACGACGTTGACTAACAAAACAGTTGGTGAGAGAAACGGTACGGGGCCAGATGCTGGTCACTAAATGACATGACGATCGCAAACGAAGATGAATGAAGATGATGCGAAGAACCGATTCAACGGAGTAAGTAGTATAGTTTTCGTTATTTACAAGGGAACCATATGGTCGACCCATGAGCCAAATACAATTACAATGAGTTTTGGATGTGAGCCTGTGAAGTATTTCAGGATCACGACCACGGTATGTAGATCAACAGTGTGCATGTTGAATATATAAACGTAAGTGCAGGTGAAATGGTCAACGTTGTGAATGGAATAAAATGTAAAAGGGGTATCTTTATATGTGCAAAACGACCTTAGTCCGTCAAGAGCCATACAGGGATGAATAAGCAAGACCAAGAAAAAGAGAAGAGGTAGCAAGAGCCGTCTCTAGGAACAGAAGAGACAAGAAACGTAAATGTGAAGTGAACCGGGAAATACCAAAATTCGCCCGACCGCCGAACCACCAGATGACAATCGCAATCCGCAAGTTGAAACCGCTGCCAGAAAGAGCCAAGCATGACCCGCCAAATAAATTACCAAATAAAGTGTAAAAGAGCAAAAGGTGGAGAGAAAGATGAAAGTGACAAGACGAGCGCAACAACGGTCAATGTGAGCAGCCAATGTGAGCGACAGACCATTCAAACGACGAACCGATCTCCGCACTTCGTCCCGTGTTTGCCACACCACTCCAACTCCCGCCCGCTAGGTAACGTCCCGTGTGACGTCGTATAGGTCCAGGGCAGGAACATGTGTGCATTGGTGTGAAATGTGCAACCCGCTCGAAAAACGGGGAGGAGCAGTCCTACATCGCCATGCGCCGCAATATGCCGGGCCGCGGTATATAATAGTTGGGTTTTTGTTGAGCGCAGTCTTGATTGGCGGATTTTGTTGAAATCGCATCGTAAACGGATTGTCGTCATTTCAAGGAATGGTAGATGGAAAAAATGTAAAAGAAAAAGAAAAAGTATTAAACGCAAAATGCTCGTATGGATGGTGCTGGTCGCATGAAGCCATTGATAGCAGGAGAACCCCTAAAGTAAAAAGCCAAAACGCCGTGATGTTGTGTTTGATCGTTAAGATGTTATATGTGGTGGTTTTCGTATGTTTCTTGGCGCCATGAAAAAGATCTTCGTATGGACAATAAAGAAAATATAATAAAATATGGAGTCGTTGTTCTTTTCGTCTCTCGTTTTCATTAATTAAGACAAGTAAGGTGTGGTCGTCGACGTGGGTCGTGCCAAAAGTTGAATGTCGAAGAAGGCGTGAAGCGTAAAGGTTACAGCATTATGATAGAGAAAAGGGGCGTTAAGCGAGAGATGTAAGGGGGAACCGGCCAAGCGCATCCACCTGTCGTTGTCACCGACGGGCCATGGACATTTCAATGGATGTGTGGCGCTTGTGAAGCAAAGGTGACCGCTGCAGCTCTTGTACGACCCCTATCCAGCCAGCGCGGTGGTTGTGTTCGGGAGTAGCGTCGGGCGGACGGATGCCGAGTGTGGTGACGCGCCGTGATGGTGGTTTGCGCCGCGGGCTGTCAAACTCGGCATCGGCACTGGCATTCGCATTGGGCGTCGCCGGTGGTGAAGGTTCTTGTAAGGGCGACTCGGACTGCTGTTGGATGCTACGCAAGAAAGGATGGGGGTGGCCAAAGCCTGGCGAGCCTGGCGAGCCCGGCATGCTGGCGGGCGACAAGGGATAGTAGACGTCGTCAGTGTCGCCGGCCGCGACGGCGGCGGCAGCGGCGGCGGCAATGGAGGCGGCAACGATGGAGGCGGCCGTCTTGGTCGGCGCTGAAGGGGAGGAGGGCATGGAAGGAGTGGCGCTGATGAGTGGGCTGTTGGCGGCAGAGCTGCTCGAGCTGCTGCACGAAGAGTCGTCGCTGCCGCTACCGCTGCCGCTGCCGCTGGGGCTGTGACTGCTGGTGGTCCGGCTGCCGTTCGATATGTTGCGGGTGGTCCGTGCGAGAGTGCTCCGGGCGGTTGTGGCCGTGGCCGCATTGGCCGCATTCGTGGTGGCAATCTCGGCGCTTTTCTCGGCGCTCTTCTCGACACGCTCGGCGGCGGCCGTGGCCGTGGCAGCGACGATGCTCATATAGACGACCAAGAAGCGCATCCTCAGCAGGTCGAGGCGGCGCAGGCGCTCTTCGAGATGGGTGCGCTTGGATGCCCAAAGGACGCGCGCCGAGGTCCTGAGGCGTGGTGACGGGCAGGATTGGATGGGGTCGATCGGCGGTCGTCTCGAGTCGGTTGACGCCGTCGTTCGTCTCCGCTCTGAGCCACGAGGGAGGCTGGGGTTCAGGTGGACGTCGAGATCCTTTTCGGGGTAGTCAAGGCCGCTGTCCAATTCTCGCCGCAAGACCAGAACATTGTTGAGGTCTTCCCGCAAGTCGTCGCCGGCGCGCTGAATCTCACCAAGCAATCGCCCGAGGCGGATCTTGTCGTCGCGGCGGGAGACCTTGGCAACGTCGCGGTCGTAGCTCTCGTTCTCGTGCAGCGACGAGTCGGCGGAGTCCAGCAGGGCAGCAATCTCGCGGGGGGCGGCCCGGTAGGCGGCGCCGTAGCGGGCGACGATCTGGCCGACGACGACGAGCGACAAGAAAAGAGCGGTCAGCACCAGTACCAGCGTCCACTGGCGCATGGCCGAGTCGGACGACATGGTGATGGTGCTGCTGGAGGGGAAAGGGCGGGCGGGAGACGATGCAGCGGCCGGAAGAAGCCAGACTTTGGCGCTGGGGTTGGGGTTGTATGAATAGGGTGTTGTTGTGGTGGTGCAAAAATAGGTCTTGTCCGAAAAGAGGCTGTCGATGTCCATAGAATTGTTGGGAGTGGCAGGCGGGAAGGCAATTGGTACGAAACGAGGTGAAGTAAATACGGCAGAAAGGGCGGTCGGGTCCTTCCCTATTCACGATATGCGATTGTATGTACTCCGTACAACACAAAACGGTAAAACGGGTAGGCACGACCTGGGAAACGCCAGAAAGGGAACGAAGGGGAAAGACAGGAGAAAGAAAAAGGACAAGAAAAGGAAGAGAGAAAAGGGAAAGGCAAGGTGGGAGGGCAGGAGCGAACGATGCAGGCGGGTGCATATGCGCTTCTGCAGGAAGGAGGGGGGTGTTGATTTTGTACAAGACTGGGAGCGACTAGCCCGGTTTGGCGCTGTAAAGGTGATGGGGAGGCAAAAATAGGAAGGCACGCGAGGGACAAGAGAGAAAGAGCGAAAAGGGAAGGAGACACCAAGGCACGCTACAGACGTGACAGGCTCAGATGACGACAACGCACTGGGCGGGAGCGGCGGATAGGCCCGGCGAAAGGGTTCTATTTCGTTGCGCTATTCAAACTGTTGGAGCGCTTGACACGACAGGCGACGGGGAACAGACGACAATTCCAGGCATCCGAATACGACACCACTTACGACGTATGACGATGTGAGTTTGGAGTATGGCAAATATCGAACGCCTCGGGACGTCGGTGTAAGCAGGGAGGCGAAAGCGGCTGGGAGGCGAGTGAATTTCTCTTGTTTCTCGATTCCTTTTTTTTTTGTCCCCTTCCTGTTCCTGTTTTGCGGTCTCTTTTTGAAATAAGCAGCTCGCGTCACAAGTCCCCGCCACCGGGGCCTGGTTACCTGCCAGCAGAACTCGAGTATCGCAGACACGGCGAGATGGCCCAGGGGTGTCTCAAACACACTGCGAGTTTGCGGGCCATCGTACAGGTTAATTACTGGTCACGGAGAATTATTTCATAGGATGGCGTTCCGCTCACGAGCGCACCCGACCCTGCGAGGTTGTCTGCGCGTGTTGGCCAGTGAGAAAACGCGTCCACATTCGACAAATGGGCTTCTCTTTTGTGCACATCCGGTCGCCAACTGGCCACTCTCTTCATGGCTGGTTCCTGTAAACTGTCCTCTCACGGCCCTCCCGTCTTCGGGCGTCCTGTCTCCCCTTTTGGTCTTTCTGGTTGACGAGCCTCTCCACCACGTCCACTCCACACGACTGATTGGCTGTGACGCTGGCTGCAGGTTTGCGACCAGGGCAAGGACCATGCAAATCCCCGCTGCTTTCAGGTGGACAGCAAATCCAACAGGCCAGTCAGAATGGGGTCGATAGGGGGACCGATGGACTGCAGGACGATGGCGGGGGGTAACTTGTTGAGAAGTATCTTGTATGTCTCGCGGAGGGCGTTTGTCTGCATCGAATCTCTTGTCTCTGTCGCGGGTGGGCTCTCTTGTCTTAGCTGCATGAGATCGTTGCTGAGACCGCTGCTGAACCCGTCCTTGACATGGTTCAATCTTCTCCGCAGCGACAGCGTGTGCTTACAGCGTTCTCTGTGTCCTGTGCATTCATTTCTGCTTGTCTTGGGACGCGGGCCGCTGTTTTTGTTGGGCCGCCGTGCGTCCCTGCATGAACGAGAGCCACGAAAGACTGAAAGAACAGGGCCGAAGCCAAGATAAAGTCGTACACTAGAGAGGTACGAGACGCGCCTGTCACGATGCACAATGCACGAACCCAATATGAAGAAATCCCATTGTCAAAGTCAGGGCAATTGGAAGATTACGTCGATCGCATCCGACAGCTACATGTTGATATCCTTTTTCTCATGCTTCGTGTTTGCGGTCATTGCTTACGAGTACGGCGCATATTGGCTGCTCAGACGCCCGGCTCGTACAACACATTGTTCGTCTGACCTGCTGTCGTCTGGCCTTGACATAAGTTCCTGCCCTCCCAACTCCTAGTAGATCGCCAGAGGTACATTTCGTAGTGGTCATTCGCCCGTCTCTTTTGTTTGAGCTTCGTATCCGATAGTGCTTCTACTTCCCTTCTCCGGCCCGCTTGCTTCTAGTGCCCGTCCCACACAGAAATGCCTACTTGCCCGCTCCCCTTGCCTCGTCCCTTGCAGGCAGCATCCTACAGTCCCCGAAATCTGTCCGCTGCAGTGCGGCCGCACAGCAGATCATCCATCTAACCGACAGCGACAGAGTGGTGGACAGTCAGTACGGCTCATGCGCGCGCGGCAGGTTCTGACATTAAAATGGGAGCGAAATCACCACAACAAAAAAAAAAAAGGCTGTTGACTGCGCCCCCATATTACGCCCGTACGTGGAAGCTCTCTTGGTATGGTCTTACGTGCCTGCTACTATTGCAGTGTCACGAGCGGACCATTAGCGGGCGCTGAACGCCATGTGGAGTGGGGTTCGCGGTATTCCAGTTAGAGACGATCTGACCCAGCGCTATCTACAGTTGATATGGTCTGTATAAAAAAAAAGCTAAACCCCACCTTTGCAACAAGAGCTCAAAAGACCGACGGCATAATACTGAGCGCATTCACAGCAAAGACTACAGGATTGAAATCGATCCGGCTTGATCGATCACAAATGACATTGGCCAATCTCGAGTCTACTGCGACCTCGACCTCTCCTCCCATTGCTCCCACACAATGACGGCCACCGAGCAGCCGCCAGCACAGCAGGCGCCCGCCTTTCCCCTGCCGCGCATCTTGACCTACCAATCTTCCTCCTCGTCCTCCCCCTCGTCACCACCTCCCACCCTCGTTGCCCAGGGTGCCGAGGCCCGTGTCTACCGCACGACCTACTTGGAGCCCGACCGCCCCTGCGCCCTCAAGTACCGTCCGCCCAAACCATACCGGCACCCCGTTCTGGACGCCCGTCTGACCCGCCAGCGGATCCTGGCCGAGGCGCGCATTCTGCACAAGTGCCGCCGCGAGGGCGTACCCGTGCCGGCGCTGTATGCGGTGGATGTCGAGGAGGACGGCGCAGACGGGCGGACGAATGGAGGGAGTCTGTTGACGGAGTGGATCGAGGGCGGGCCGGTGCGGGCGCGGCTGAATGCGTGGTTGGCGACCAAGCCTGTGCCGTCCGCCGACACAGGCGCGGATACGAACACCGTCGTCGGCGGGGAGGAGGACCTCGCGCAGCTCCGCGCGGACCCGTCGCTGCAGGCCCTCCTCCGGCGAATGGGCACGGCCGTGGGCAGTCTGCACCGCGTGGGCGTTGTGCATGGTGATTTGACGACGAGCAACCTGATGCTGCGGACGGTCGATGCGAGTGCGGCGGGCGACACCAGTGGGACGACCGACGGCGCGACGGCACCGTCGCTGGACGGGGACATCGTGATGATCGATTTCGGCCTGGCGAGCCAGAGCTCGTCGGATGAGGACCGGGCGGTGGACCTGTACGTGCTGGAGCGGGCGTTTGGGAGCACGCACCCGCGGGCGGAGGCGCTGTTTGAGGAGGTGATCAAGGCGTACGGCCGAGCGTTTAAGCAGTCTGGGCCGGTGCTGCGGAAACTGGAGGACGTGCGGATGCGAGGGCGGAAGCGAAGCATGCTTGGGTGATCTGGCTATCGAGCAAGTGTGGACATATAACCATTTACACGAAGACGGACTGGACGGCGTTTGGGACACCGGACTGCTTTTGCATGTATTCATACTTTTTAATTCATGGACACATATTGTATATGCCTGTCAATGGATGGATGGCTTGTCCATTATCCAAAATATACGGTGGTAATGAAATATCAAAAAAAAAGTTATGCAGATTTAGAAAAGACGAAGCAAACGCTAGAACCGCCATTAGCGACGCACGAGACGTCCATAGGGAGAGCAAAACAAGACAAGACAGAAGAAACGCGACCGCCATGAGAACAAAGCAAGGGAGAAATAAAAAAAGCCAGAGGTAAGAGTGCCAGATCGTGCGGGGAGTCACACGAAAGAGTCAAGGCCGTTTACTCATCGTGCAGGAGCGCGCCAGCAAAGTAGCCCTTGTTCTCAATCACACCACGGTCGCGCACAACGGCCGTGTACTTGACGACCCACAACGGCGTGAGGTCGCCGCGCAGGGCGTCCGTGGGCGCCGCCGTATTGGTGGCAGCATCGCCCTCGTCAGCCAGGACGCCCGCACCCCGGGGACCCAGCAGCTCCCGCAGCGTCCCTGGTGGCAGCACATCCGTGCAGTCTGTGTGCACCAGCAGCTCGATCCCCTTGGCCTTGGCCAGCGCCGCCAGCGGCGGCGGCACGTTGCAGCAGTTGTGGACGTTGATCTGGTCGACCGACGGCGGCACGCCCACACGGGCGACAAACCGCTCGAGCTTCGTGCTGCCAAACTCGGCCACGCCCAGCCGGCGCACTTTGCCGGCCTTGAACAGCGTCTCGGCCGAGGCGGCCCATGTGGCGGCTTCGGCGTCGTCGTCGCCCTGGGTGGCGTTGATCTTGTCGGCCGCCCACTCGCAGTCGCCCTCAAAGGACATGCCGGGGAACGACAAGATCAGCAGGTCGACGCTGGCGACGCCGAGCTCGCGGAACACGAGCGCCAGGGCCTCGTCGACATACTGCGCGCGGGAGGTGACGTCGACCGAGGCCGCGCCAGGCAGGAAGAACAGCTTGACGGTGGTGTTGTACTGCGCCGCCTCTTCCTGGAGGCCACCGCTGCTGCTGCCCGTGCTGCCGCCGCTCGTGATGCTGCTGCCCTCGGCGTCCGCCGTTGTTGTGAGCGTGGTGGCCGACTCGCCGGCGGGTGGGTAGTCGATGCGCGGGATGTACAGCGTGGTGTCCTCGCGCTGTGTCCAGGCGGCCAGTGGCGGGCGCCGCTGGCCGCAGCCGTGTCCATGTGTGCTGCTCACGCCGTTGACGCCATGGACGCCGTTGACGCCGTTGACATGGACTCCATTCGTTTGTGCTGTTCCGTTTGCGTTGCCGGTTACGTCGCCGTTTGCATGGCCCTTTGCATGTCCTGCCGAGGCTGTTGCACTCCATATCGCATGGCCGTTTATGCCATTCGTGCCGGTTGCGGCGTCCGCCAGACCACCGTTGCGGGCATTGTACGCCGCCTCCTCTCGGCTCTCCTGCTGCGCAGTCTGGAAATTGCTGCGCAGGGAACTGGTCAACTCAAGGTTGGACCGGAACGCGCCCGGCGTGCGAACAATCGATGGGCCGCCAGAGACGATGTTGCTGTATTTCAAATCATTAGCCCCACGCACCACCATAAAAGCCGAAAGAGGCAAGACGACAAAAAACCTGCACGTCCATGCAGCACGGACTTATGCGAGGAGTATGTGGATGGAACCGAGGTGCACTGTCTAGGGCCTGTCTCATCTGACAGATGCAACAATACGCCGAGACGACGAGAGACGAGAGACAAGACGACGAAAAACACGACCAGAAAACGCAAGAACGAACAAACAACAACTCACCTCGTCGAAAGAATGAGCTTCGTCATGGTGCCGGCGCAAGAGGGCCGCGAGGGTCCTGGCCGTGAGCCGTGATCGGTGCTTCGGGGAAAATCGCAGGGTTTCGTAGCGTTCGGTGGGGGTTGCGTAGAGTTTCCAGATGGCCGGGTTGGAACTGGGAAGGCGTGCAAGAGTAAGATGACCGGCTCCTTCCGTGGGCGCGCAGGTGAGAAAATAGGAAAGAACAATTGGGGAACCATCCAAAATATTATGGGAAGGAAAGAAGCAGCAGCGAACAAGATGGAGAAAGAAGAAACGAAAAAAAGAAGAAAAAAAAAACAGAGAACGGAAAGAGCGAACTAGTCGTTCCGCAACGGAGTCCTGTCAAAGTCTTCGTCGTCACAGAGGAGATATGTCGGCAAATCAAATGGTTTGCCTTTGCATAGGAAGCACACCAATGGAACGGGCGAGGGCCGACGAAAAAAGCACACTGAAAATTTATCAGGAAGCGGAAGCCACCCAAGTCCAGCACACTAGTGATCGGAGTCGGGGGACAGGACGAGAGTCTAAAGCCGCATGTGGCATGGATTCATGGCGAGAGGAGTAAAAAAAGACTGAAAGGCAAACCAGAGGGGGAAAATAGCGCCCGGCGGGCACAAACAAGCGATACACGAGTGCAAATTAGTAATGGCCGAACCGCCTGCGAGTCATGGAGCCGGTAGCGAGAACAATTCTGTCCGACTGCCCCGACAAAGTGCCCTTGTTCGGAGGAACGGGACGACACCGAACGACCAGTATTCGTGAAACAGACAGTAGGGAAGGAAGAATACGAATGCGAGGGCAAATGCGGAGATGGAGAGCGATGAATGTGGAAGGCTGCCTTCGAGATGTCTTGCATCGTCGGTTGCCCATCGGCTTATATAGTAATCAATACTGATACAGTGGTCGGCGTTCCCTATGCCCTTGTCTATTTTGTCATTCTTGTCCCCTGTACGATGGCCTTCGTTTCGCTCCTTCCTCCCACGCTTCACGCTCGGCCGCCTTCCTGCCTTGGATGCATCCCACGCGGACTGATTGGGGGTTGCTGGCTGCGGGCAGCTGGCCGAATCAGGAAAGTGCGGCATCAGCGGTTATTGCGTAGCCGTAGTTGCCAGTGCCTGTGATTCTGCCTCTGCGATGCTTTGGTGGACAGTTTAAGTTTACGCTGCACGGGCCGTATAAAGCACATTCCGGGGTGCTAGACGACAACACCCTCGTTACCGACCACCAGTGACTTCGTTGTAAATGACTGTAGAGGCCATCTCCAGAGTAAGAAACATACATACGACATTTGTGCAAGTCATATCGTTGACGACGTAAAGCGATGTTCGAGGGTCGCCCCCACGAGGCTTTGGGTGTTGTCATCCGTTCTTCCTCTTTAGGCAGTTTGCCCCTCCCTTTACGTGCTGTAACCCCGCTGTGCCACCACGCTCCAGAGAACGACACCCTCGCTAGAAATTTGCAATACAGCCCTGGAAGGGAAAGCGCAAGGCGTGCCACATGCCAGCACCAGTCCACCCCACTTCTGCTTCCTATTGGCGGGTGCCTTGTTCGCTGACTGGTCGAGCTTCTGGAACTGGCCCCGCTGCCCCGAAAGGTGCCATGCCTCGAAAATATCTGTCCCCTGACGACACCTCCTTTACCCACGCATCGCGCGACACCGCTACATCGCCATCCCGAACCCGCGCGTCGCCGTCCCGACGATTCCACAACCCCGACCGCATCCCCGAATCTGCGTCCCTCCATTTCATCCGTCCGACTACACCGACCTTCCCTGCCTTCTCCATGGCAATCAAGTAAGGGCTCGAAATTCCCCCCTTTATTTGGTGCCTAGCTACCTGCTCGCGTGGATCGCCAACCTTGCTGACCGCCTCACCCGTGTAGCTACCTCATCCTGCTCTCACGGCAGGGCAAAGTGGTAAGCCGGCCTCCATGGACCTCTGACGCTGTCAGGCGCCTTCGTCGTGCCCTCTTGCCTCTGCTAACAGCACCCAGCGCCTGGCCAAGTGGTTCACCACCCTCTCGCCCAAAGAGAAGGCCAAGATCGTCAAGGACGTCACCCAGCTCGTCCTCGCCCGTCGCACACGCATGTGCAACTTTTTGGAGTACAAGAGTGCGTTCTCCCGGCTCCCTCGAGTGGTGACGTCTCCCGGTGCTAACAGCAGACAGACACGAAAATCGTATACCGCCGCTACGCCTCCCTCTTCTTCATCGCCGGCTGCTCCTCCGACGACAACGAGCTGATCACTCTTGAGATCATCCATCGCTACGTCGAGCAGATGGACAAGTACTACGGCAACGTGTGCGAGCTCGACATTATTTTCTCCTTCACCAAGGCCTACTACATTCTGGACGAGCTGTTGCTCGCCGGCGAGCTGCAGGAGAGCAGCAAAAAGAACGTCTTGCGGTGTATCGGGCAGCAAGACTCGCTTGAAGATATGGAGGTACGATGCATGTCCCTTTGTGTGCCGTGTTTTGTTTTATGTGTTTCCCTGGTTTGCCCTCCTGCTTGCTCTCCCAACGCGCGCCACTCGCTCTGGCCCCCCCCTTGACCCTCGTCTCCACACCAGTTCCAGCTGACCCGTACCCTTTTCAATGCTTTCAGGTCGAGGAAGAAGTCACCAAGATCATGTAGACGCAGAGACACATGGTGTTCCTAGACGGAACGATTGTTGCTGCTCTTGTCAGCCATTGCACAGTTACACTGTGGCTCGCCCCCATGCCGTCTGCTTCTGATCTGTCGTTCCCTCTTCCAACCCACATGCTCTCAAACATCTTCTTCTGCCCCCCCTACACCGTGACTAACAATGGCCGCTTTCGGGCCGGGTGTGTTCGCAGGAGGTTGAGGAAGTCCAAAGGGTGCTTAAGGCCGCCGGATACCTATGAGCAAGCCGAGCCGTGCAGACATGCGGCACATATCGAGAAGACACAAGACAGAAGTCGAGACAGACGAGGCTAGAAAGACCGAATACGACGTCGGACACGGACACTTTATCCCGCAACAACCGCAGAACATACCCGTCCAGGGATCGCACCGCATCGATACCATACACATTGACACAACGGCCGACTTGGATCGACAAGAAGCAACGAGAACTGAAGAAAACATGGCGTTAAAAGGATGGCACTGCTCGTACATGAGCACGGCATATGAAGGTGCACTGGGTTTTTTGCTTTATGGCTTTGCAACATTTTTGTATCTTTTGTTTGGCTCGTTAGCGAATCCGTATTTCATTTCTTGTCCAGGCGGCCCTGGAAGTCGAAGCAGCAGCAGCCCCGCATGCCTCAGAACCCATCTTATGACGTCGAAAGACAACACATGGAAGTTGACAGGAAGACAAAGGCTGCTGCAAGGCTGATACAGAGTAGCAAATATGCCAGCCAAGGCCAAACGCGGCTGTTGATATGACCCAAACCAAAAGAAAGTTGAACATCACCAAGCGCTTCCAGCAACTGCACATTGCATTGCGTCTTGGAATCTAGCCCCTCTTGACACGCGAAGCACGGCAAAGTATGCAGACTGATCTTCCACACCAAAACCACCTCGGGCGCGTTCGGGACCAAGCCTCCCCAAGTCACTGGCTCTATGCCACCGAGACCGCGTCGTCTTGATGCTAACGCTCGTGGTTAGTTGACGCTATCCCATTCGTTATCTACAGCGAGCTGTGTGCTGTGATTGGCAGGCTACGCACTGTGGGTAAAATAGTTAGGCAGTCGTTGGTGTGATGTATCTCTGTCGCAAAGATACATGCTATAACTACATCTCTAAGTGTAGAATATATGTATCATATACCTCCAGGTACTTGCTCGTTGGCTTTGTTCTCTCCATCGGTCAGGTGGTGACCATCCGCCAAGCACAGTTCGCAGGCACGACTCAGCATCCGGAGACAGCAGCTCATGCACACTGTCTGACTGTGTCAAGGCGTCGTCTGATGTAATGCCTCTCCTTTGCCTAGTCCTACTCATATTCGTGATTCTACACGTTGGGGCTCTCTACTGTCCGACAAGCGTTCTTGCTTCCTTTCCCGCTTCACATCGACCGTCCCTAACGCCACATACCCATCGCGCCTTCCACGTTGTCGCATTCGTTCAAGTCGCTCACTTCCCCATTCGCCTCGTCAACACATTCCTTCCTTTCTCGGAGCTGGAATCCCCTCACTCCTTTCACTGCAAGTCACACATCACACTTCCACCGGTCGCCTTGTCAGAGGTACAGTATTACCTCACTCCTCTTTGCGCCAGAGACGAATTCCAGCAAACGACGCCTCCACACACCTCCACGTGAACGTGCCTCTCGTTCAAAACCCAGACTGCCAGACCTGCGCTACCGCTCCCCACGTCGCGCCTCACAAAGCCCGCCAACCACGAGTAGCGCCTTCCCGGAACGACACGATAAACAGGGAAAGCCGGGTTCGCTTTGTGTCTCCTGTCTCTTGCCGGGGAAGCCACGAGCGTCCTATAATTCCGACTCGCTCCTTCTTTCGCAAATCGACCCGTCTCTTCGCTTTTTGTGTCTTACGCGCCTCTCTCTCCTTTTTTCGTCTTTTCTTCCAACGCTCCCTACTTGCAACACTACGCGACATCGACGTCGTTCACGTCGCCATTGCCAGTCGCATCCCTCCGTCTCGGCTGTTCCACTCTCCACCACTCTCTCCCTACTCGCCGCAGAGGTGGAGAGACCCTCTCTTTCATTTCCACACAGCGCCAAACGCACGTCATCGGATCGCCAATCACACACGGGCGGTCTCAAGATTCACACGCAATCCAGAACCAGACTGCCCAGCAGACCAGAGATTACGAGAAACAGCGCAATTGTCCAAAGACCTGCGCCGTCACAACCGACTGCCTGCGCAGGCATCGTTTGCAACGTCTCGACGATCGGCCTTTCGCCCTCATCCCAACTCCTACAAACCGGCCCATCTTCGCTACAGACCGACCCACGCACTACCCACCACGATGAAGGTTTGTCCTCCATTATCGGTTACCTGGCGGGCTCTGGCTCTCTTTGGCGTCAATGACGTAGTTGCATCGTTGCGACGTCCCCTGCTCCGGTTCACGACGGCTAATCCCCGCGCTCCCCCCCGCGCGCTCTCTCTCTAGTTCATACCGCTTCGCGATTTCGACATTGTCACCAGCGCGCTCAACTTTGACACGCCCGACTGCCATGTCACCGGCGGCTGCGATCTCTACACCACAAAAGCCGCCGGCTCCGACAAGAAACTCTACAAAGACATTGACAAGTCCCTCGAGTCGCAACATGCCGCCCTCCTCAAACTCGGCGCCAGCCTGAGCCCGCCGCACCGCGAGGAAATGGCCGCCAGCCAGATGCTGTCGCGGTCCAGTCCCTTTGGCAACCTCGCCGAGATCTCGAGCCGCCGCACGTTCGCCTACCTCATCGCCACCCTCAACGCCTCCCACCCTGACTACGACTTCTCTCATGTCCTGCGGCCGGCCGACTTCCGCCGCGAGCGCAACCTGCGAAAAGTCATGAGCCTGATTGACAGCACGCTGAGCAACGTGCGGCCCAGCTCGCTGGTGCTGGACAGCGGGCTGGGCTCGTCCATGGGCGGCGCGTCGGCGGGGTCGATGCCCTCGGCGGCCGCGGCGTCCGCGTCCCCGCTCTGGGGCCCCCAGATGTGGGCGCTCATCAACAAGGAGATGCACCTCCAGGACTGCACCGTCTTTTCGTACCAGCCGGACAACAACCCCTTTGACGAGGAGGACGGCGCCATCTGGACCATGCACTACTTCTTCTTCAGCAAAGCCCTGAAGCGCGTCGCCTACATGTACGTCCGCGGCGTGCCGCTCCTGTCACACAGCCCCCTGCTGCTGCCGCGCCACCCCCAGCGCCGCCTGTCGCACCAGCACCACCACTCGTCCATTGCCATTGCCGGCGCACGCGCACGGTGGGCCCACCGGCGCGGCAGCCGCAGCAGCCGGCTGTCGAGCAGCGCCGCCGACCAGGGACCATCGGGCGGCGCTGGCGCGTTTTCGACGTCGGCCTCCAAACGGCCGAGCCTCTCGCTCCAGAACTCGGCTGTGTCGGCTGCGTCGGCGGCGTCGGCCGACGCCAGCGGCGCCAACAAGCGTGCGCGCTACTGGCTGGGCGACCAGTACGCCGACCGGCTCGTCTCGTCCCCGCCGGGCGATGTGGTCGAAGACGACGACGACGACATGGACGAGGTGCTGCTGTGGCGGCCGGACGACGACAGCGACATGGACGACTACGGCCAAAGCCGAATCGGCGGTGATGGCGGGTTTGCGGACGACGACGACGACATTAGTATACTGGACAGCGATATGGAGGAGGACGAAGAAGAGGAAGACGAGGAGGAGGAAGAGGAGGAGGGTGAGAGCTCCAAGAAGAACCGGAGCAGTAGTAACGACAGCCAAGCGCGGAAACACTCTGGCCGGGCCATGAGCGAGGAGATTGCCGGCCGGATGGACATGGAGTGATGGGGGAGGCTGCTGTTTTTTTTCTTTTTTTCTTTTTGGTCTTCCTTTTCCTTGTTTTCCTGTTTCCTGTCCAGCATTTGCATTTTGTTTTATGGGTCGGTTGCTTGCTACATGGGTTGTATTTTTTGCGGGCTTTTTATTCATCGTTTTCCGTGGTTAGGGCGGCGTACATTGTGAGAGGGTCACGACTGATTGGGTTTTGTCTTTATATCTTTTTATTTTACCTCGTCTAACGACATGCTTTACTGTTCATGGGTCCTTCTTCTTTTTCTTCTTCAGCTTCTGTATTCTAGTACTCTTACCGCTTCGTCGTATTATTTAGGAAATATGAGACTGATGCCTTGAAAGATTCTGTAAAAAAAAAAAATGAAATGAAATGATGACATAATCACAACTGTAGTCGGTCTGGAGCTGCCTGTTTTAGCGCATTTCGCGCCGGTGACGTTAGAGGAAGCTGCCGCACTCCAACCACCAAACAAACGACACGCGAGGGGCTTCACTGACCAGTGTTGCTTTCTTCCCATAAACTTCCATTCCACAAACATGGGAATGTGACGGCCCGACTTTTCACGAAGCGACTGCTTCAACCGATACGAATAACGAACCGACACAGCCCGATTTTTCACCCCCCGCATTTGATCGCATCGAGCCCGTGATCACCAGTAGCCGGTCGACAAAAGGGTTCGGCGTCCAGTGAGGGGGAGGACGACGTAGAAGACGACACTACAATGTCGTCGGCCGACAAGGCAACAGCCACGGCGGGCCTGGGTGGTGCAGGTGCTGCCGGCGCTTCAGGGAGCGGCACTGCCGGCGGCGTCGTCCCTGCCCAGCTCGGCTTCCTCGCCATCTACAATCCCAGCCTCGGCACCACGGACGAGACCATCGAGGACCAGATTGTCTACTACGGCGGCGCGACCGTCTCGGCGTCTGCACAGACATCCGTGGCAACGGATGCGCCGGCGACAACAGCCCGCCGGCGCCGCAGCTCGGCATCCGCCGCCAAACCGACCGGCCACCTCGCCCCTGCCGAGCGCAACGAGCGCCTCCGCCAGATCGGCCTGGCGCAGGGCATGGTCGCCTTTGGGCGCAGCTTTGCCGGCGACCAGGCCGTCGACACCATCGAGACGGACAAGACACGCGTCGTGCTGCACGAGCTGGAACCGGGGTGGTGGCTACTGGCGTCGGTCGACCTGACGCGGCTGCCTGGTGCCGGCGACGACAAGGAGGAGTACTCGGCGCGCGAGGTCAAGCCGGCCGCGCTGCTGCTGCAAGACCTGCTGCGCGCCCACGCTGTATTTCTGCTGCACCACGACGTGAGCCTGGACGCCCTCTTCCGGCGCGTGACGCCACGATCACGCTTCACAGTGCTGCTGGCGCGCTACTGGGACATTTTCCTGTCGTCGTGGTCCGTCCTGCTGCATGGCAACCCGGTGCGGGACGTTTTTCCCGGCATGCGGCTGGCGGCGTGTGGAGAGCTGGGCATTGGCGTGGGCGAGGAGGAGCGCGGGAGCGGCGAGCGCGAGGTGCTCGAGGGTCTGGTGGAGAGCACAGACGGGCTCGTCGATCTGGTCGTGTGCCGCTATGGCGATGCGCCCAAGGGGTCCGAGGATGCCGACGAACGGGACGTGGGGGCTATCATCGACGATCATGACGACAAAGAAACTGGCAACGACGAGGACTCGGTCTGGCTAGGCGCGGGCAGCGGGCTGGGCTCTGAAGACGGCGCTATTTTCCTCGGCGTTGGCGCCCTGACTCGGCCGTCCCTGCGCAGCTTGACATACTGGATGGAAGATGTGTACAGCTGGGGCCCGGATGCCTATGGGATTGCAGACAATCCGTCGGCACCATCACGCCAGGCAAGGCATCGCCAGAAAGGGGCGCCGACTATGGGGAGCATCTCTGAGCAGCACCAACAGCAAGCGAAAGAGAAGAAGGAGGTACCAGCACAACAAGAACAACCACAGCCAGCCATGATGCCACCACCGTCACTTTTCCCACCAGCACCCGTGACCCAGATAACGGCGCGGGGAGCAAAATCACCGTCACCGGCTCAGGCACAGCCGATCCCAGCGCCCCAGACGGGCAAAGACGCACCATCCAAGGGCACGCCTTCGTCGAAAACGCTCTCAGAGGGCGGCAACAGTGGCAGTATGGACAAGTACATGTCCATTATGAAGCTTGGATACGGCACCTACTGGAGCCTCGGCGGCAGCTCTGGTGATGCCGCATCTGACACGCCTCCTGCTAGCTCTTCGACGGCCGCAAAAGAAGACGACGGCCGCAAGCGGACTCGGTTCCATAACACCAGCCGAGCAGGCCGCTTCCTGATTCCCCTCGTCGATGAGGTTACGGAGGCGGACGTAGAGAAGTCTGCGTCAATAGACGACAGCGTTTCGTCAGTGGCAGAGTCGGATGAAGCCGCAAAGCCAAAAGAATCGACAAGGACGACGCCCAAGCCACCACCAAGAATGATCGTGGTCGACATGGCAGCGGCAAACAACGACACGAGCCGGCCTGCCTCGTCATCACAAGAGGCTCTGCAAGAGAGGCAAGACGAGAGCAGCGAAACCAAGGGAAAGGCGGCAGACACGCCCCACACATCCCAGGCCGGAAACAAGTTGCGTGTGGTGGTGTACGCCCAGCGGCCGTTCTTATACACGTTTCTTTTTGACCAGGGCCACGCAGAGAGTGCAGACACAACAGACCCGCCTCGCATGAGCGAAAAGGAGATCCAGGCGCTCATCGACCGCCAGCTGTCCGTCCTGCACAAGCCCCTGCTCAGGTCCACGGCCTACCGCCCCAACAAGTCCGGCATGACCGGCGCGACGGCCATGCTCAATGCCGCTGTGGCTTCCTCGCCGTCGTCGAGCTCGTCCGCCTCGGCGTCTGGTGCCATCTACGATCTGATTTGGGACCCGGGCATGCTCACGATCCACTCGACGCTGCCCAACATCCCGGACCCGCATGTCATGCTCAAACTGATGGCAGCGGAGAACGCCGCCGGCAAAAACGGGAACCATGGCAAACGCACCAAGAAGGCCAAGCAGCAGCAGCAACAGCTGGGACTAGGACTAGGACTGGGCCCGTCTGGTACGCCTCCGTTGTCCCGCGTCGAGGCGCTCAACACGCACATGCAGATTTTGAACCTGTACGCCGCCACACGCAGCAACGGCGCCGAGCTGGCGCGCATGTGCAAGACGAGTCGTGGGTGGTGGATCGTGTGGAACCGGCTCGTCGACCGGTCGGCCATGGGCACCACCAAGAACGGCGCGCCCACGCAAAGCAAGTATGGGTCCACCCTCTTTGAGGAAGCCGAGGACGGCGAGGACGGCGAGGACGGCGAGGACGGCGAGGACGACGATGACAGCTACCAGCGAGCACCGAGCGATTGCGACAGCGACGATACCGCCACAGGGCGGGCGGCGGCAGCAGCAGCATCGGCGGCCGTGGGGACCTACACAGTCCGCAAAGAGATTATCCTGATCCGTAAAGCCAGCGACCATGCCGACAACCTTGGCGGTGGCAGCGGCAGTGGAGGTGCAGCCAGAGAGGGCCTGGGCAGCGGCGGCGGCGGCGGCGGCGGCGGCGGGCTGGGCTTGGGCTTCGGGCTTGGCATGAGCAACCGTGCCTCGTCGGCGATGCGGGCCTTCAGCGCATCGACCTACCTCGGGTTCGGCGGGACCGGCGGTGGTGCTGCCGGCGGGCGATCATCGTCGACGGCCGGTGCCGGCCAGGGCAAGGTTGACGCTGCTGCTGCGGAAGAGGCTGCCGCCGCAGCTGATCGTGGCGCTGGATGGGCAGATGGTGCCAGTAGGCTGGCCCATGGCATCGGCGTCGACACGAAGAAATACATTGAAGGGCTGCTCACACTGAACAAGTAAGCCCGGGAAGGAGGCATGAGCATACATATAGACCGCGCCTTCCATTCTCGGACAGGGTGTTCGCCCCCTGTTTATTGATACCAACAAAAGAAGAAAAGGAAAGAAGATAGTAGCTCTTTCCTTGCAGATGAATATTGACGATGCCAACGGCACACTACTACGCTGCGGCAGGTTTGACTGCTCACCGGCCATTTCTAAGGAGCAGCTGACTCTTCCTTCTGCTTATTGTACTGTGTGCCTCTGTTTATCTCCCCATTTCGCAGCATCATCACTACGTATCATCCACTCTCCATACCAGGCGACTCCTCAACTGTACCGTCTGGTCTTTCTTTTCTGTATTTGGTGACTAGTTCGAATGCCAATCACTCTTCGTCTTCTTTCCCTTGTCCTCGTTTGGAGTCCCAACCAACTACAAGATGAGTAAAGTCGATACACGCCCCATCCAGCTCGCCGCGAGCCCGTCTGCCCGGTCCCTTCGAGACGTCACCACCGCCGCGTCTGCTGCCTCCGCCACCTCTTCCAGCACCGTCGCCACGGCCCCCTCTCCTCCGTCCACCTGCTTCGTCTGCCTGGAACCGTGCGTCGCCGGCAGTGCCGCCAGCCTCCGCACCCGCCAGGACGTCCAGGCCCTCGTCTGCCGCCTCACCGTCAACGGCGTCCGCGTCCCCCACGGCGCGCCCTTTACGTCCGTCGTGCGCGGCGACTACTATGCGCGCCCCTCGGCGTTCGACTGCCACGCCTGCGGCGCGAGCGTCTGCTGCCTGTGCCTGTGCCGGTGCCTGCGGGCCGGCATCCAGTACGTCGCGCGGCACCCGCTGACGTGCGCGTGCGGCGACGTGCCGCTCATCAACGCGTCCACCGTCCTGTTTCTGTCGGCCGAGCAGACGCACCAGCTGTACCTGCGGTGCGACGAGTGGTTCTGTGCCGATCCGCTGTACTGTCCGGAGCCGACGTGCTCGGCGTACCTGCCGATGCTGCCGTGCCTGCATGGGGGCCGTGAACACGACAAGGGCGACGCGGGCGACAAGGGCGACAGAAAGACGCACGGCAAGGCCGGGGGACAGGGCCGCCAAACGGCCCGCACAGACCGAACACGCTGTGTGCGGTGCGACATGCCCGTCTGCACGCAGTGCAAAGGACGCGCCGACGATGCAGCCCACCGAGCCGATGACCGCGCGGGCGCCGGCAACGAAAACGAAAAGGAAACGAAACACGGGTGGCCCACCGGTGCCGTGCACGCGGCCCAACGTCCACTGGGACAAGGGGGTCGAGCGTGTCATCCAAGAGAAAGGCTATCGAAAGTGGTACGTCTCTCCCTACGTCCTAGGTCCAAGCTGCCAGGAGAATTGTCAGAGGAGCCTGGCCTAACGCGAGCAGCCCCCAGTGCAGTGCTATGGTCGACTGCGCGGGCAGCGGTTGCCGGCAGGCGCAGTGCTTCTGCGGCACGGTCTTTTGCTACTCATGCACGAACCCATTGGAGGACTGTGTGTGCCACCCCATGGCGGTGACTCTTCGCTCACGGACAGTTTCTTGAGAGATGGGTGGAAGGCAGGGTGTGGAGAAATTGAAGTCGCACTCGGCGAGCGAGAGTATGAAACCCAATGGAATACGGAACACGGCATACTGATATCACTACGGCTATCACGGCGTGAAAGTGAAAGGCAAAGAGGGACAAAGGTGAAATCATCATTCAATAGAGCCCCGGTCTACACCCTTGCATGGTTGACACAACAATATAGTAATGTAGTAAATTGATAAAATAAAAAATAACAAAGTGGCTGCAGTCGATCCATAGTATGCCTGACCGAGGCTCGCTTTCAGAACAAAAAATAAAACATGTACGCCATATACGCCTTTTGTGGCAAATGAAAAAGAATGTCCCCATAATCCGATCCGATGAGGTTTATTTTGTAGACCCATTTGAGCGTCATTTGACGCCTCACTGGTCTCTCGCTTCACCCGAGCTTCCACCGCGTTGCTTTCTACCGTATTCTTTCCCTAGAACGTCCCGAAATATGAAATGGTGGGCAGGTGGACAGGTGGACAGGTGAACCGGCCCGTCTCTGGAGACAACATGCGAGTTCTGCTCCAAACAAAGAGAAAAACAAAAACTGGATTATGATGCGAGAACACGACGACAAATAGGGTATTAGATAAACGAAAATGAAAAATAAAAATAAAATAAAATAAAATAAAACCAGCAGTGCCTTCATCAACCATGTAGGCAGAACAGAGGCCGTGCATAGAGACTCTTAGCTCAAGCCTTCTCTATTGGCGGCTTCCCGAGGCTGCGGTCAAATTCGAGAGGCGTCTCGGGCGGCGTCGCAATCGTCGTGCTCACGCCGTTTGCCACGGTCGGCGCAGAGTTGGAGAGGTCGGGGGGTTGGGGTTGGGGTTGGGGTTGGTGTGCGGGAAGGTCAGCCTTTTCATTCAGCGTCTCGCCCTCCTTGTCGAGATGCGCTGGATTGGGCGCCTTTTTGGGTGCATTATTGGGAACGTCGACGGCGTGCGTCGTCTGGGTCGTCTGTGTCGTCCGGGTGGGCGTGGTGCGCCGCGTCGAGGACGTCGGCTCGGGCTCTTCGGGGATCGTGGCAAACTTTTGCAGGACCTGCTTGAGGGCGGGCCGCCGGATGGGCTTGCTCAAAAACTCGTCCATGCCGGACTCCATGCACTCCTTGACGTTGCTCTCTTCAGAGAAGGCGGTGAGGGCGACAATGGGCGCCGAGTAGCCCATTTTGCGGATCAGGCGCGTGGACTGCAGGCCGTCGAGGTTGGGCATCTGAACGTCCATGAAAATCACATCGAAGCGCTGGTTCTTTTCCATGTTGGCCTTGACCAAATCATAGGCTTCCTGGCCGTCCTTGGCAATGGTGACGTCGTAAATGTCCTCGAGCTTCAGCATGCGGCTGACGACTTCAATGTTGGTGGAGTTGTCGTCGGCCACCAGGACGCGGACCCGCGCCTGGCTGTCTGCCTTGTTGGCCACGGCCCGGTCCAGCGCGGCCAGCTGGTCGGCCTTGCTTTGCTCGGTGGCAGCGGCAGTATGAGGTGGGTTGGCGACGAAGAACGGCTGACTCAAACCAACCAAACGTGCCTGCTTGTCGAGAACCGGCGGCTGTTTTGCCTTGGCGCTGGGGTCGACCGCCTGCTTCGGGAACGAATTGCGACGGTTGTCGCCGCCATCGGCCGAGCTGACACTCGGTGGCCGGGACTTTAAGCTACTTGATGCTGTGCTTGACGCTCTGCATACTGTGGTTAGTGGTCACTTCACTCTAATGACACATGACGTAAACAAGACCAAAAGGGAACGTACCTGTCCTTGACGTATTTGAGCGGAATCCGCATGGTAAAGATCGTCCCGATGCCAGGCGTGCTCTTGAGTGTCACGGTGCCGCCCATCAGCGTAGCCAGCTGCTGGCAGATGCTCAGACCGAGACCGGTGCCTCCAAACTTCTTGCTCAGGCCCAGGTCGCCCTGCACAAACGGCTCAAAGACCTTTTCTTGCATGTGCTGGGGAATGCCCGGACCGGTGTCTTGGACCTCAAACTCGAAAATAAACGTCTTGGAGCCCGGCGGCGGGGGCGTGGGTGAGCGTTCGCGAATGCGGTACTGTCCGGTCGTCGTCGACTTGGGACCGATCGGGTTGATGGCAATGGCGGTGCCAGATGCTGTGCCCTTGTAGAGGGTTGTGCCGGTGGTCGTCGAGATGGAGCCGCTGCCGCCGTTGGCACCATTCTTGGAGCTTTGTGAGTGTGTGGACGACGAGCCGATACGGTGTCGTGAGCGGCCGCCCCGGTGGGATCCCGACTTGGAGAAGGACGAGGAGCGGCTTTCCTCGAAATGCTCGGCCTCGCCGACACAGCGAATGCGCAGGTCGACGGCGCCCGAGGCGGGCGTGAACTTGATGCTGTTGCTGACAAGGTTGATAATAACCTGCAGGATGCGCTGCTGGTCGCCCCAGAGGCACATGTCTTTTAAGCGCCCAACGCCGGCCGGGCCCAGGGCGGGCAAGCGGCGGTCGAAGCTGGTCCGCTCGGAGGCGGCTACGCTGGGGAGGTTGGTGAGGCCGTTGTCGGCGACGACGACGGCGCCCAAGTCTGCTGCTGCTGCTGCTGCTGCTGCTCCGGCAGGAGGAAGAGGGACTGTGCCCTGCTGATCCAATGGGTCGGTGGAGCCAATGTAGCTGACATTAAAGGTGATGCGGCCCTCGCGCACTTGCTTGTCAAAGATGGACAAGACTTGCGAGCGAATGTCGCCGAGGCGGAACTCGCGCTCCTCGAGGCTGACCTGGTGGCCGATCTGGTTCTTGGAGAAACTCAACAGGTCCTCGAGCAAATGAAGCAGCAGGTCACCCGACTTGTAGAGGGTCTTGAGCGACTGCTTGATGCGGACAATGTCGTCCTCCTCCATGCAGACGGCGCACATGCCCATGATGCCGTTCAAGGGCGTCTTGAGCTCGTGTGAGATGTTGGCAATAAAGAGAGTCTTACTCTCGTTGGCAGCCTCGGCGGCCTTTTTGCTAATCTCCAGCTCGCGCGTCCGCAGAGCCACCTTTTCGTCCAGCGATTCGTACTGCTTGTACAGCTCGTCGGTCATGGCGTTGAACGTGGTGGTCAGCTCGGTAAGTTCGTCCGTGATGATGTGCTTCCGCTCAGGGACGTGGCCGGGGATCTTGAAGATGGCATGGCCACTGCCGCCTTCTCTGCCGTCGGAAGGATGCGGCGTTTTGACGCGATGCAAGCCCAGCATGGTACGCAGACGCACAAACCAGGCGTGGTCTGAGATGCGCGAGCGAGACGACCGCGTGCCGGAGCTGGGCAGCTCGTCGTCGTCGGCGTAGCCGGGTGGCGCAATGGACTTTTCGGTGGCATCCTTGAGCTCGCGAATCGGCTTGACGCTCAAGTGGGCGCATGGGAAGACGACCAGTATGACAAACCCGGCGGTGCCAAAGACGGTGCCGAGGAGGATCTTGCGCAGGGTGACGACGGGCGCATAGGCTTCCGAGTGCGCCTGCTCCACCAGCACGGCCCACGTCACCAGCGTCGACTGCGGTCGCGCGTATCCCACGGCGACGTCGTAGCCCTGCTCGTTGGTGGTCGACAAGGTGGCTGTGGCGTTGTTGACGGTGTTTGTCTGCTCGGCAAAGGCGTCGAGCACCGATGGGTATTTGCTCATTTTGAAGGTGTCTGTATAGCTGCCGGACTTGAAGTCGTAGTTGTTGTGCCGATCGGCGCCGGATGCGGAGGCGATGGGCGGCAGGATGAAGTGGACTTCGTTCTCGCCGAAATCGTCGCGGTCTTCGGGGACGTACGTGTTGTTGCTCGCCGGGTCGGTGAGGTTGAAGCGGTTCCACGGGGTGTTGGGACCAACAATGAGGACGACGCCCGATTGGCCCAACCCTTCTGGTGTTGTCTGTGTATCGATGAGACTTGTGGCCGACGCGACGACGGTCATGTAGCCGAGAAGGAACGTATTGCTGTTCTGCCGTATGGGTACAGTGAGCGAGACGAGCGCAAAGGACGAGTTGATGATGAGAGGCCCGAGGAGCAGCCCGCCGTTGTTTGTGAGTTTGACGTCGGGGAACGCCGTGGCGGTGAAGGCGTTGGTGGTGTTGTCAATGCTGCTGGGCATACCGGTGTCGTTGTAGGTGATGTTGGGGTAGAGCGTTGGCGGGTAGCCGAGGTCTGGGTCGCCGAGATAGACGCGCGAACCATTGCCGTTCTCGTAGGGCAGTTCGATGGAGCCGATGCCGTTGCCGGTGACATTGAGGAGCCCCGTGGCGCGGCCGCTCGTGTTGCGCGAGTAGAGCCGGGACTGGAAGAGCGTGGTGAAGCCACCAGCGCCGAGGGCGCTCTGCATATCCTGCTGGGCGAGGTCCCAGTTGCTTTCCGAGTGGTTGCCGGCGTAGAAGCTGCTGAAGGCGCCTTGGATCAAGATGCGCGAGGCGACATTCTCGCAGGTGGTCTGGAGCAGGTCGATTTCCGAGGAAATGCGCGCAGCCTTGAGCGAGGCCGTCAGAGCGAGGCCGGTAGACTCAACGTCTCCGACAAAGTGGTTCACAAAGATCCAGGTCGGGATGGAGACGATGGCCAGCGCAACCATCACCGCGATGATGACGAGCGCAGCAAGCTGCTCGCGGATGGCGACCCTCATGGTGCCGGTCTATATCGCGCAATTCGACGGCAGGGTTCGTTTTGCGTGCATGATATGGAGGGAAAGGGGGGAGCGCCCGTCGGAAAGAGACTCGAATCCAGAGCGGAGGAAGAAAAGATTGTACTCTACCGTCGAGGCATCGGAGGGAAGAGGTGTAGCTGCCGGGGCGCGGCGAAAAAAAAAAAAAAAAAAAAGGTCGTCGGTCAAAGTAAACAGAGAGCCGAGGGGAATGACGATGCTTTGAGCGCCCGACAAATAAAATAAAAAGATCGGCAGTGGTCGGTCACACGTGTGGGGAGAAGGACACTCAAAACGGGCGGGAAGCCGTCGGCGATCGTCCAGTGATTGGCGACAAGGGGCCGCGGTCGACAGAGGTCGAAAAGACGGAAAAGAGTTCAACGTCGCAGAAATCGCAATGTGGCTGAACGGGCGAAGACGAAGGTGGAAAACAAGCTCGTTGGAACGAAGAAAAGGAAAGACACAGCTAGAGCAAAAGACGACCGAGAGGGAAAAAAACGGGGTACCGAAGACCACGACGCTGTTTGCTTGGCAATGGAAAGTCAGTACGGTGATTCCAGTGGAGAGACAACGGCACGCAACGCGCAGCAAGGCAGACGGAAGCAGGGGGGTTAGTATTGAAGAACGACCACAGCTCTGCCAAGGACCGGGAAGCAAAAGTCGAAAGAAACGAGATATAGAGGAAGCAAAACAAGACACCGCAAACATGAAGCCAAAGGACAAAAGCTGTATGCAAAATCCGCGCAGTTGCTGGGTGGTATTTTGGCTGCGCGAGTCGCTTGGACCTCCCTTGGTCCCCCTCTTCCAAGGCCTGGCGCTGTCTGTTCGCTGTTCTCGAAAGTGCTCTCGCCGTTCCCTGCTCGCCCATCCGACGTCGTTTCTTCCCTGTCGTCCGCCCTGTCTGGATCGATGTTCGTAGTTTGTGTTTATGGTTTATGGTCCATGGTCGTTTCTAAGTCGCGCGCTTCATTGTGTTCAGGAAAAGATGCTGGGGTGTGTCGATCACGCCCAGGACGACCAACGCGACCACGGGTCAGGACCTGCCGCGAAAGAGGAGAGACGACGTTGATGGTGCGATGCGATGGTGGAGATGTTGAGAAACGACGAGCAAAGGAGGTACGGAGGTACGAGAGGCAGAGTAAAGACAGCTCCAGACCACAAGGATCGGCCACGATCCAAGACAACAACGAATGGCAGGGCCTCGAACAAAGGCAATCAAGGTCACGCAACGCAATGAAGAAAGGACGTCAAAACACAGAAAAGCACCTTGTCCAAAAAAGCTCTTACCTGCAAGAAAGGACCAAGGAAATGCCAATGCGGCTGGCGACAATCGCGTCACGGTGGCAGGATGTCAGTGCTGAGAACGTGTCGAACTTTCACCAGCTTCGCATCGTCGTTCTTTTTGTTGTCCTCGTTCGCACGTTTTCTGGCCCGTCCCTTCAGCTGGCGGTCAACACTACCGCCCTTCGCACGAAGCCACTCTCTCTTCTGTACTCGCAACACGCTGGCTGCGTATTTTGCCTGTGGCGGAAGCAACGGGGGAGGTTGGGGCAATAGAACCGGCAAAGCCTACCCACATAGGCACGCACCTTTTTCCACTCTAGCCTTCTCTGGACACAATCGACGGGATCCAGGCCTTTGGGGAAGAAAGAGGAGACGGAAAGTGATGAAGAGACAGCACGACGGACCCGCAGTATTCAGTAGTGGCAGCGACAGGGGAAAGGGTCAAGTCAACATGAGAGGCGGCAGCGGAGACGGGGCGCGACAGGACTAAGTCAAAACGAGAAAAAGAGACACGGCCGACGAAATGGTTCAGGTTCGATGGGGCGTTGGTCTGGCCGGAGTCGACTCCGTTCAATAGTGTGGATTTTGCGTGGACGGTGGACACCAGTATTTGGTACGTTCGGAGACACCATTGAACGCAGTGGACACCAAAACCAGTGGGACAGCGCTGGAGAATAAAGGGGGTGGGTCGTGGGCGTGCGTGGCAGGACATTGTCGGCACGAAAGGGACCCTCTGGACAGCCTGAAAATTTGACTCTGTGCACTGCGCGGAAGGCCAGTTTTCCGAGGCGTAAGATACGATGCAGGATAAGATACGTGGAGATGATCAGTGGGTCTACGCATACGGTCGTACTTGCAGCAATATTGGCATAATGGAATCGTTGGGAGGCGGCGGACAATGAGCTAAAAGGGGAAAGGGCAATATGGTGCGATGCAACGAACAAAGCAGGAGCAACGCTGCATGACAAGCGCTACGGAGCAAAAAACGTGCGGAGAGCACCTTCCGTCTGGTTTGCATGGCTTTCATCTACAACAGTGAAAGCGTCCAATTCCGGAAGGGACCAGGCAGTGGAATATGGACACCAAATGAAAGTGTTCAATGGCGACTCAACGTCACAGAAAGACAGCTCCTGCCTCCGATGCGATTTGTTTTTTGCTCCTCATATCGCGCAGTAGCTCTTGCCCTGGTGAGCATAATACGTTTGCGGATCGCCCACTACAAACCAGATCTGTCGGGTGTGCAGGAGCCGAGTAATGGGCTGTTCTTTCCCTCCGGAGACCCCCGTATTACTGTGTTTCTTTTGCTCTCCTTTTTCTTCTGCTTCTATCTGTGCCCCCAAATGGCCCAGCCCAGACAGCTTGGCAGCAGCTCAAATGGGGGCGGCCGAGGGCTCTGGTAATGAGGGCGGGTGTCTTTTTTTCTTACTGCGCAATGGGTGGCGTCGTTCTGAAAAGGTCGAGACCGGCCATCGAACGGACTAGGCTGAGAGAGAGCGGCGCTATATGACAGGGGTGGGATGTGCAACTGGAGTCTGGAGTGTCGGCTTGATGGGAGCAGCTCCAATCCGGCCAGGCTCAGTCCATCTTTGTGGGCAATTAAGGACTTTTCAAGGCAGGCAGGCCGGGCCATGCCAAAAACAGCCTTGGGCGGTGAAAGACATGCTCGAATTCATGGCAATGTGGCCAGTCCCCTCGTCCACAGCCGAGTCTGAGCCGCATTGGAGCAGTCGACAGCCACCTCGTCGCTGTGCGCTCCGAGCAACCCGAATCGGACACTTCAGGCTGAAAAGATACAAGGGAAAAGCGATGTGAAGGCCAAAGAGGCTCTGCACGCGGTCAAGAAGCTACAAAGGAATGCAAGTCGCGCACGTCGCTCACAGTCGATGCAGAGAACGCCTCGCATAGATCGATGCAAATATGCCTGCTGGGTGCTCCTAGGCCAATTCGGGTGACAAAAGACAAGGTCGCAATACGGAGGACATGCTCCGCCAATCATACGAGAAGCATCGTGGTGTGGAATCGTGAATGGCAGCCGGGTGATGGGACATACGACGGCCAAAAGAAGCCATCAGAAAAGGCAATAGTTGGGACACGACATGGGAAAGATACGACGTAACGATGTCCAAAATATCCTCGGTGCTCAAGTCGGATCCTATCGGAATCACGTAGATTGTATTCTGTACTACACGTAGTGCATGGATCTGATCGCAAGCATGGACTTTCACGTTATGATACTCGCACGCATGCTGTCTTGCGTAACACCCAATTCAAAACGTCAAGCGACTCTTTGTAGAGACTTAGATTGATGCTCGCCCTATATTTACTATGTCCGACGTTGGGCGTGTCTGTGTCCCTCGCACAAAAGCGAAAGTATGCTGTACCCTGTAATACTATGCGGTGCTAAGCAAGAGGGAGGTCCGTCGTATTCAGCTGGAGACTTCCGAGCAAGACGGGTCGAGACGATGTGGAACGATTGGAGAGTCCAGCCCACGCCGCGCCAAGAAAGACGGCTGCGTGGCATATCTCCAGGGAAATCAGCAGCTGACAGAAAACGGGGCCAGACAGCGGCAATACCCTCCCAGGCCTAGTAAAATTGAAATAACGGTCCTGCTAATATATCTTCCGACCGACAATAAATGGATAAAGTCCATTGCAAGGCGAGAACCAACGAATCGAAGGCCATCTTTTAAATATGCTACCGGTTGCGTCGTTTCTCCGGTTGTCTCGCCCTGGAACCTAGAACATCCAAAGCCACGCGTATGTACTCCGTGATTACGGGGCGAGTATTATTTGTCTGGTATTATTTGATAGTTCACCTTTCAATATCACAATGGCAAAAGATGGTTCAAGGCGGTTTCTTGAAAATAGAGAATATAAAACTTCACACACAAGCAAGCGAACAAAAATTAAAAAAAAAAATAGAAAACATAAATGAAATAAAAGAAGGAAAAAAAATACAAAAAAAATACAAAAAGTTGAAAAATAAATAAATAAGGAGTGGTAAAGAGAAGGTTGTGCACAATACATAAAACATAAAGTCGTGACAATAAAGACATCAGACATGAAAGACCGTCAAAAGCGTAAATCGTTGACAATGCAGTAAACCATGCCATCACCTACGAGACCGCCATTGTTTCTCTTCCGTAGACATAACAAAGCAGCCCTGCTCCGCCTCACGCCCGGCTGAAAATCAACGGCACAACCGCCGAGTTGCTCTCCATGCTGCGGTGCTGGTACTGGTCCATGGCCACCGACGGCAGCGCCAGGTGCGGGGCGGCGGATGCAGTCATCGACTCGGTGCCAAACAGCCGCTCCCGGAGACGGAGACCGGCAAGAAGCGACAGTGTTGCCGTGGCAGCCGCGTTGTGGTGGTGGTGGTGGTGGTGGTAGTAGTGGTTGTCTTGCGACGTGGATGTGGATGTGGATCCACCCGACTGTGGTATCCCGTAATTGTTCGTGGGCATGCCCATCGACACCGACGCCGCCGCTGCTGCCATGGTAGCCGCCGACGCCGCGGCCGACAGCTGTGTCGTCTCACGTCCGATGCGCCGGTTGAACTCGCGGCTCAGCTTGGCCAGCACAGCCTCCTTGGCCTTTTTGAGCGCCGATGTGCGTGCATCGGCGTCGTCGGCCATCATCTGGCGCTTTTCGGTTTGGTTCATTTGGGCCTGCTTTTCTTCTTGGAGAATCTGGCGCTGGATGGCCGACAGGCCGTCATCCTCGACGGGTCCGGCCGAAACCTGACGGCCACGAGCCGACGAGGACGAGGACGATGACGTGGTTCGCGACAACCCGGACACCGTTGCGGCGGCAATGGCTGTCGCCGTCACAGTGGCCGAGGGATCGTACACGGTGGGCTGGAGCACCACCGGGTGCGGGCTGGGCACGAGGATGGGTGCCGAGATGTTGAGAGGCGCCATGAGCGGCGAGTCGGGCGCGGTACGCGGACGGAAGACATCGTCGTCGATGCCTGCCGTTGTGTCCTGCCCAACAATGGCCGGCCGCGGTTGAGGTGGCTGGGGTGGCGGTGTGCGGTGGGCAAAGGGATGGTGCAGCACAGCCAGGGCCGGCAGGGCCGGAGGTGGAGGCGTGCTGGGCGACCCAGAACCAGACCCAGACGAGCTGGGCGAGTCCTTGTCCTTGCGCCCCTTGCGGCGGCGGCCGTGCGAAGAGTGGGAGCGCGAGTGCGAGCGAGACGTTTCGCGCCGCCGGTCCTCTTTCTTTCTAGGATGGCTTTTGTCGTCGTGTTGGTCCGAATAGTGGCGGTGATGGCTGTGCGTGTGCCCGTCATGGTGGCGGTGGGATCGGGACCGGCGCTCCTCGGTGTCCTTGCTGTATCCGTCTGAGTGGTGACGTCTGTGCGACCGGCGAATGCGTCTCTTCTTGAAATGGGTCGTAAAGGTCAAGCTGGCTTCATGGGCTGCAGCGATGTCAGATGCAAGCCCACCATCATCGTCGACCACTTCGCCATCATCCTCAATCCTTTCGTCATCGAGAAGCTGACTGTCGAGTTCCTCGTCTAGCTCCTCGATTGGAGGCGGTGGCGGCGCTCGCATGTAGGGTTGTGCCTCATCAGATACAGACACGTCCGACGGCGAGTCAAGCATAAAGGGCAGCTCGGACCCCAGACCTAAGTAGTTTTCGAGATCTTCCACCTCCAAGTCGAGAAGCTCTCTGGAGACGGCGGCAACAGCTGCGGACGGCGAAGACAGCTCCACGTCGTCTGGCGCCGCAACGGCACTAGGCCCACACACGACGGTCGACGATGCAGAAGACAGCGATCCGGTGTACGATGCTGCCGCAAAGCGGAAGCTCTGGTGGCCAGAAGGCGAGCCCTGGCCTGCTCCATTGTTATGAGAAGAGCCAGAAGAGCTAGAAGAGCTCGAAGAGCTTTGGGCGGCAACCTCACCGTCCGCCGCGGCATCGCTGCTCTGTGGCTTGCTGTCGCCCTTGCGCGTGCGGGACCACAGCTTCAGGCCACCGCTGCCTTTCTCGTCCAGCAGCCGCGAAAAGGCTTCTTCGTAGCTGCCGCCATCCACGAGCGACACGTTTTCAAAGTCAAACTCGCGAACGTTTTGATTGTGCCGGTCAACCAGGTCACGCAGCTGCGGTGTGTTCATGGCCGCATTGCGAATCGTGAGACACCGCAGGTGCGGGAAGTGCATGGGTTCCCGCCGGGGCGCAGGGGGCAGGGGTGACATGGGGCCCGTGACTTCGTTGAAAAGCTTCTTGGGGCCTTCAGGCCGTGGCGAGAAGAGCGAATCGCCCGAAAGCGCAATCGGACAAGGACCCTTGCGCACACCGCTGCCACTGCTGCAGCCCTTGTCACCGAGCCATGTGAAGGAGAATTTTTCCAAATTCGGCGCCATGTGGCGGATGAAGTCGTCCATGATCTTGAGGTGATCCAGGCCAGGCGACGAGCCATAGAAATCCCATGCATCGACCGACACATACAGCTTGCGGATCTGCCGCCACCGGCGGGCGGCCGACGGGTGGCTGCCGAAGCCAGATACATGACGCAGGTAGTTGAATGCGGCCGGGTGCACACCAGACAGGGACAGCTTGCACAGCTTGTGCAGCGGCGCCCGCTCAATGGAGATGCGCAGGCTGATGAGCGCGTAGTCGACAATACTGCGGCGGTAGCGCTCCTTGGGATCCTGTCCGGGACACTTGATGGTCAAATGGCGAATGTTGGGCATGTGCTGCATGGCATTCAGGAATGAGGGCACGTTGGTGGCGGCATGGAAGAGCGGCGGGTACTGCTGGGTCAGGACATCGCCCAGCTCGGAGTTGGTGTACTTGGGCCGGGTAAGCACGGAGGCCATGCACGTGTGAGGCGTGTATAGGAAGCTGATCTCGCGGCCTGTGAGCGGGTGGATGAGAGGCGGCAAAAAGGTGGCTTCCGAGTGCTCAAGATAGAATGTGAGATGCTCCACATGGTGACCGATGCGCGAGAGCGCCTGGACACGGCTGGCCTTGGTGAAGGTGTTTGCGGTGAAGGCTAGGTGGGTGCGCATGAAGAGACGCTTGGTAACCAAATTGCAGCAAGCTGAGTTGGCCAGGCGGACGGAGCAGACGTCTTCCTTGGGGAGCATGTCAAAGAGAGTCTCACGGATGCGCTCTTCCTGCCAGAGGCAATAGAAAGATTGCGGTGCTGAAGCCATGACTGAACGAGCATGACGCTGTTCCCAAGATTGATTGAGGCTGTGGCGATACGAGGACACAGCGTTTGTGGTTTGGTTGTTCCCGGCAATGTGATGCTGGCTTCCTTTTGACACAGTATGAGGTCTTGCAGAGTCCAAAGTAGATATGGTGGGAGAGATGTACAGAAAAGGGTAGCAGCTAATGAATATGCACAAGTAAACAAGAGAATTATAAAGTTGTTTGATGGGGGGATTTTGTATGAATAGTAGTAGTAGTAGTAGTAGTGTATAATATGACAAGTTTCAGCCGTTGTTTCTCATAACCAGACTTTTCTGGGATGATGCTGTTCCTGGGTGAGTATTCTGTTCTCGCCAGGAGAGACAGGTCTAGATGTGGCACGGTTTTGTGATGTGTTTGAGGGGATTAGATCATAGAAAGAAAACACAACGAGAAGGAAAAGCATAAAGGAAGCGTACAATAAAACAAGAAAGGAAGAAGAAAGAAGAAGGTCGAGAGGGAGGGGGTTCTGGCTCGAGGGCGGACTCCCAGATATACTCATCTCTTCCCTTTTACAATCATCCTCGTCGTAGCAGAATGATAGACTCGATCGAGGAGCGAGGAGAGCGGACAGAACGCGACGGGAAGTCGCAGAAGGACCGGCACTAGCCACCTTCTTTCTTCAACCCTCTTCGAGCATCTAAGTCCTGAGGCTCCACACTCGTGGTCCCCTGCAGTGGCCGTCACTCGACCGATGATAGCTCATGCGGCATCTTCCACGCGATTTGCTCTGCGCGGCGCGGTCGCGATGTCGTGGGAGGAGAGCAAAGTGAGGTAACCTTTTTCCTCTCCCGTGTGCGATCTGCAAGCGACGGAATAAGGACAAAAGAGACAGGAAAGGAATAGCGAGCCAAAGAGACCCCCCTTTGCAGGAGTCGTCGCCCGACTGGGGCGGTTGACAGAAACGACTGGTGAGGAGTGACTCATTCGATGCAGCTTGTATGCAGGTCCCCCTTCTTAACCGGAAGGGTTGTGCAGACAGAAGGCAGGCATAAAAAGTAGGTGGCGGGATGCTCGTGGGCCTCAGGCTCCGTGTGGGGTCGTAGAGACAAAGCTCGGATGGGAGCGCAAGGTTTTTGTAAGTCCCGTTTGGGTCTGTTGTATCTGAACCGGTCCAACTCTTACTTTCTGTTGCGATGCTTTCACAGCAATGTACTGTAGACGACTTTGTCTTTTCGAATCCAACAGTGTAAGGAGTACATCCCTCTTCCACCTCGCTGCGAGTAACTTGATTTGCCTTCGTTCGCGGTTTTGGCAAACCAAGCTGTTCACATCAACCAGTGCTTCGTAGGACGAGAAGGAGGCAGTTGAGATCTGGAAAAGCAACGGTCTCAACGGCCTTTGTTTCACGTTCTCTGACTGGTTCGCAAGAGCTCTTTTGTCGAGTTGGGGGCTCGTCGGGCGATCTGTACACTCCCTCGCCCGGTTTCCCTTCTTCTGTTGCCGTTTTGTTCTTGCTCGTTTCTTCCTGGTCTTGAAGACGAGTTGATGGGGGCGGATGGTTGCAGGGGCATCTGTGCATGCAGCCTGCAGCTACCTGCAGCCTCTTCCAACCAGTAACCTGCATGCTGTGTGCTAAAGGCACGGGATTCACGAATTGGTTCGCTGTCGAGGGACGGTGAGGTTCGTCGGGTGGAGCGGACACGCCTGCAGCTATAGGCTGGGCGGTGCAAGGAGGGCGGGCACAACACGCCATTGGCCCAAACAGTGCCAGACGCCAAACCGACAGGAAATTGACACGTAGTAGACGCGCTGCGACAGTTGCCCAAGGTGTGCTGAACGTGCCATTTTGGCGATGCCTAACGTGGGGATGCACCGTTGAAAAAGTGAGGTCTCAAAGTCGCCATGCGGCACAAAAGTGCCCGTTGAAACGAAACAGGCGCTCTGCTGGCAACATCGGATACGTCAACGGTGCGGCCAAGGCGTGGGCCACGGGAACGAGACCATGGCCGCGAACTTGTAGTTTAAGCTCATCGGGAGCGACAGCACCTTGATCGATGGCCAACGCAGCGACCACTGCAGGTCCGCATCAGGGCCCGATGCTAGAGCAGTCGATGCAAGGGCCGCAATGCAGCTTTTTGCGGGGAGCGCAGAATGAACAGATGGAGGAAAGAGCTCGTTGGCCATGGGAGACGAGAGTGAGGATGTCAAGACCCGTGATTAAGAGCAAGAAAACGGAGGCGATACGGGGATTGGGATAGAGGTGCTTTTCCACTTCAAGTCCGAGCTGATTGACTGCCTCGTTTTTACTTCGAGCAACGAAAGTAACCATGAGAGGAGACGAGTCAGGAGCGAAGAATTGGTCAGGTCAGTTGAAGAAGCAACGAGCCAGAACGCGTCTTTGCCCCTCGTTCTTTCTTTCTTGTCAGCGGGTCGGTCTTGCTATGCATTCTTTACTGTTTACCGCCATCCTTCTGTTGACATTGCAGTCATTCGATTTGTGCCACTGGACAAGAAACAAACGAGACAGAACAATGGAACAAAAGAGTAAGGGCGCACTGAAAGTGTGCCGAAAACGGTAGGTTCATTGCACGGACCAAATGATTCGCTGGCAGGAGCCGAGGAAATGCCTCCAGTGAACCTTCCTTTGTACGAAGCAGGTGGCTCCTTCCGTGTCATGCCGTCTCTGGATTGTGGCCATAGCTCCAAGGGAGATACAGGAAAGCGGGACCGACGATGGAGCGGGAAGCTGCGATCGTCTACAGGTCATATGGCTCTTCAACAACTCGCGTACTTGGGAAGGAGCATATGGCCACCGCGAGCACGGCAAGAGCGGCCAGATAACATGTCTTCGTCAAGCAGGAGTAGCAACGAACATCGGCCCCGCGTGCAAGGGCAGCTTGCATATGCGATACTGGGACATCACTCGCAGGAAGGCAACGCGTGACCGGGCAAGAGCACAGCTACCGCCGGCGCGTTTTGACGCGACGTGATTCAAGCGACGCACTGCAGATTATCGCCACCTTCGAGAGTCACGGAAAGGGAAAAGTCCTACTAGACATACACAGAGAGAAATAAAAGAAACACATAATTTGATTTCTGAATGCTTTTCCGGACCTGGTGTCTCGACTTTGAGTGCGAGGACAGACAATGCTATGCTGGTATCCATGGCTGAACCTTCTTCGAACGCCGTAGTATGCTGTAAACAAAGGCGACAAAATTTCAAGTAAAAATAACAGCGATAAAATATCATAGCCCAGCGCAATGCATTGGCTAAAACGCAAATCTGATAATCTGGTGATCGTCAGATGATGATCGTTGCTCGATGGAATGGGGGTCGAGCCGTATGGAGCATGACGCAGGTATCGCTCTGGTGTCTTAGGATGAGGCAGCGGCATTGCCTTCACCTCCTCCTTGGGTTTCTCCCGGGCCATCTCCGTTGCGGCCGCGTCGTCGTCTGGGTGGGTATTTCTCACGCAGGGCCTCCACGTCTTGCGATTTTCTCCTCCTCTTCTTTCTTGCCCCGTCGGCATTTTTCTTCTTGGCCGCTTCCGCCTTTCGCTTCTTGGCAGCGGCCGCTTGAATTTCATGTTGGGCCCTGCGTTCGGCCTTGAGCGCGGCCTTGGCCTCCTGCTGAGCTTGGAGATCAGCGGCTCGAGCTCGGCGTTCAGCTTTGGCTGAGGCCTTGTCCGGAGCCTGAGATTGACCTTGTTCTTCACCATGGCTTTGGGCCGCTTTTCCTTTGTGGATCATCCAGTACGGCACTGCCTTGGGATTACTTGATACGGCGGCAGAAGCATCACGGGCACCGGTCGAAGGAGAGATTGGATTCGGCGCCGACGTTGCAGCCGGGTCCGTAACCGGGGCAGGGGTTGCCGTCGTTGGCAGAGTCGGGAGAGAGACTTGAGGCTCTGCAGCAGCTTGTTTTCCTTTGGCCTTTGCTTGCTCTGAGGGGTTCGAGTTGTCTTGTGTGAGTTTAAGGCTCTGGTCTCCAGCGTTCGTCGCCCCCGTTGAAGGCTCTGATTGCGAGACCTTGCTTTTTCCTTTCCTCCCCTTGCGCTTGGGCTTCGTGTTGGCATCGTGGCCAGGACCAGCTTTAATGTTGCTGCCACTACCTCCTTTCTGCGCGTCATTGTTGCTATCACCGGCGCCCGCATGGGCCTTCTTTTGCCGTTTCGATCCCCGCACCACCAGCACCGTCGTAGACGCGGCATCTGTGTCAAGAACGGACGGCCCTGTGAAGGACTTTACCTTTGTGAGGTCCGAGAACTGAAGGACGTACTTGCGGTTCCAGATATCGTCCTGAAGAGCATACCGCCGGCCCGAGATGTGCTCCCCGGTGTTGTCCTTGCAATCACCACCAAAATGGTCATCTAGACCGCAGAAGTAGCAAGCGGTCGAGATCTCGGCCGCACTGCGCTTGCTGGTCGGGCTTGGCACAAATGTCTGCCACAGCCGCGGGCAGGCTCCGACGTGTATGTTGTCTTCGAGGCAGAACGGACATGTCGACGCAGCGCTTTCTGACTTTGCAGCCTCACCTGGCTCTGCCGACTCGCTCGCGACCGGAACGGTTAGGCAGCCAAAGAGCATGTGCTCGTCGGCGCTGCTTCCGCAAAACTTGCAAGTCCGCATAGGGCAGGTCTCGAAGAGGTGACCATACGATGCACAGCCAATGCAAAATACGGCCTCGGTGGCAACTGCCGGAAAGTATCTCTCCATTCGGCTGCGCCCGCCGACAGTCGCCGCTTGGGTTTGTTGAGAAACCATCCCGCCGTCCGCTATACCTTTCAGCGAAGCCTCAGCTTGTCACCAGATCGGTGTACGTTTGCTTGCTGTGCGGAGCACAAGACGGCCGCATTTGCTCCTCCAGTCGGACGCTCTCATCAGCACGTTCAAATTTTTTTGCAGAGCCGGCCGCTCCAGTGTCTCCCGACGCGCGCACCCGCTTTTCGACACTCTCAGGCTCGTACAGCCGACCGTCTGGACGGCGGCTTTTTGCTGCAGGTATGGCAGCAGAAAAGCAATTTAATAAATGGGGGTTAATGTTAATTTTGGGGGCCTTTCAAATTGACTAACCTCTGCAAAATCAGGGATGCCTCGAACGAACTAAATTTCTGGGTTGTGTAGTGCTGTTTTTGCCGCGCGTAGTCTCGCCCTGGTTCGTGCTGCTCAATTTCGCTGTTTTCTTTCTTCCTAGTCGGGCTTTTTGTGGTCTCCGGTTGCGTGGCAGTGGGTCAGGTGGCGGCGCAGTGACATCACGTGAGCAACGGTCCCAACAGTTCCAGATCCTGCCATTCTCCGACCCCAATTTCCACCGGAAAGGGGCCGTGACAACGTTGTCGTAACCGTGTCGAATCCGATTCACAAAGCGAACAACAGAAGAACAAAATCTTCTCTACTCCTGTCATCCAGCTGTCATTGCCGCGAGGCCTGTTCTCCGTACCACTGCACCCCGAAACGAACGGCCCAGTCCTCTCCACTGACCCAGGGACCCAGTTCGCGGCCGCCCATTAACAGCGCTGGGAAAAGCCCCTTGTCCACTTTTGTAACTGCGTCAGCCGCTCACTCTCTCGCCAGTGCTTTCTGCCCGTGTTCGCCGCCCACGCCAGAGCTAGGGTGGTTATGCACACGTCTTCTTTTGTTTCTTCGTTCTCGGAATGGTCCTAGGACTGGAAACTCTTGCATCACAAAGCCATCTTCGCCAGGCCGATCCCATCGCCGACCCTGCCCCCTTTTTCGTCTCCGGTAGACGCGTCGCCTCCGCCGACTACGATCCCTCGTTTGCTTGCCCTTGTCGATTCTCGTTTTCCGAGCCGAACAGCTTCTCTCCTGTGCCGTCACCGGGCCGTGTGCACCGCGCTTCCCACGACCCGAGGCCGCGGTTTCCATCGCTCTAGGCTACAGCATCGGCGGGCCAATTTCCTCATCTTTCTGGTTGCCTTGTCGCCGCCATCGACCTCCCACCACCGTTCGCGTCGACAATACAGACCTCGCTCGGCCGACATCCTAAAGGTCTGTTTGTTTCCCTTGTTTTGCGTCCCGTTAGATCCTTGCTAGAGCCGAAAATTGGCGATGATCGGGATTGTGGTAGCTTATGCTTCGGCTCGGAACACCCAATCAAGTTCATCCCAATCGACCTTTGCCCTTTGCTCAGCGACGCACCGATAACCTCGGACACTTTGGCTGAGCTCATCGATTTGATTCTTTCCTTCGTGTGAGAATTGCAGCTGACGTGAGGTTTCCCCCAGCGGCCAAATTAGTCTGTCCATCCCCGACCGTCGCCCGATCCGCGACTCTCCGGAAAGCGAGGGAACGCACAAACCGTCACCAGGTTGTCCCTCCCCAATACCGTCAAGCTGTCTTCCCCAATCTTCCTCCCCCGAACCGTCTCTTACGACGCGGGCATCCGTCCCCCGTGTCGCGGGAGCAACTTAGCCGCGCCCGGCAACGCCTCGGCATCTCGGTCCGCAGCAATGGCCGACACAAAGACCAACCGGAGGAGAAGATCTAGTAGCATTCTCCAGGTTTACCACGAGCCACTCGAGCCGCTTGAGCAGCTGAGCGACCAGTCAGCTCTGCCGAATGGCAACGCCAACTGGGTGAATGCCAAGGGTGAGTGACGCCCGGATCAACATATGATGCCGATGCCAACCCAGAAACATACTAACGCAATCCCTCTATCCCTCTAGGCGCGTGGATGGTGCACATTGTCCTCATTTGCCTTCTCAAGATCATTTACGACATAGTACCGGGCGTATCACAAGAGACATCGTGGACCTTGACCAACATCAGCTACATGTTCGGCTCCTACATCATGTTTCATTGGGTGCGTGGCGTGCCCTTCGACTTCAACGCCGGTGCCTACGACAACCTCAACATGTGGGAACAGATCGACGACGGCGCGCAGTACACGCCGGCCAAGAAGTTCCTGCTCAGCGTGCCTATTGTCCTCTTCCTTCTCAGCACGCATTACACCCACTACGACTTGACCTACTTCACGATCAACTTCTTCGCCGTGCTCGGCGTCGTCATCCCGAAGCTGCCTTACGTATGTTCCGCTCCAAACTGCCACTTGCATCTTCGTTTATTTTGGAAATCGCTGCTAACACGTCACCTGACAGAGCCATCGGATGCGTGTCGCTCTATTTTCGGGCGTGCCTGGCGAAGAATAGGAGGGAATGGGCAGTTGCGACTGGTATTGTCCTCGTCGCTCCGTCCATGAGCTCTCTTACTCCTTCTCTCTTTAATTCTCTTCGTTTCTCTGTGCCTGTTTTAACAGTTGTTTGTCACACGCTTGCTCTTTCCTTGGATTATTTTGTCCTTTTATTTTCGATTTTCTCACCATTTCCGGTTCATGCTTTCCGTTTTTTTGTCTCTTCCTGTTTTCTGTGTTACCCTAGTCTCATGTTTCCTGCACCTTCCGTGCTTTCCGTGATCTCTCTCGTTTCCTTCTCTATCTTAACACATATCTGGGTCGTTGTTGCACTTTGACCAGGCGTTTGGAATTTTTGCGTATGAGTTCTTGCAATTAGGACGCCAGGGGATACGGGGAGCGCATGTATGTGGAGGCAGGCGTGGTCATGATCATAAACCCTACTAAACTAATTTACAAAACAAGAACTCTTCCAAAATGGGAAAGAAGCACGAAAATGAAACGATCGGGCAGGAGCGTACCTCGTATGGGGCCTGCCCGTGAGAGAAGGAGCACCCTAAGGGCTACGCTTTGTTTAGATACTGCATACCACTAGCATAATACCGGTCGGAAGAGAAAATACAATTCTCATCTTTTTACGTTCCTTTCTTCTAACGAAGGCAGTTTTTTCATGACGGAGTGGCGGGCATTACATATGAGAGTGCTTCTTTTAACCTCTTTAGAGGAGACAAAAAGATCTTGCTAACTTGGAGAAGGCGCTCACCACCACCTTCTTCCTTGGGAACAAGACTAAATTGGATAGCTCTTTCCCCGATAGAGACCTTTTTGACATAGTTGACTGACTTGCAACGGCCAGTGAACATCGGCTTCAGACAGCCGTGCTCAAGTGACAACGGGTTGCTCTTTCCTCGCCTTTGTCTCCAAGTACAAGCAACTCCTTGACTCTTCCCACTCCTGTGATGTTCCTTGGGCATCGCTGCCTGTCGTACCTTCCTCCCGACATGGTGAGAAAAGGGAGGGCGCTGTTATTGCCAGTCGTTCCTACTACAATGTTAATAGTTTTGCTGCCACCGCCGGTTATGGTTGTTCGCTATTGCCTCAACTCGTATTGTTTTGATCGTGCCTTCTCCAACTGGCACCATGTTGCCCCAACAGATGCTTTGTGTACACTGTTTGTGTTCGTCAATTGGAAGGCGAAGATGGCTGCTGGGCTAGGTAGGTGTTTCCTTCCCAAATGAGCAACTTGCCTTGTTTACCTTTCTGCTTTTCCTCCATCCATCTCGCCCCTTTTCTCTTCCCTCTTCCCTTTCTCTCCCTTTTCTTCTTCTTTTCTTTCTCACCCTCACACACTCTCTTTACTCTCTTCTCTCGTCAATCTCCCAAGAGAATCCTCGTCATCATCATTATTGAGTATCCTTTTACATTTTGACTGTCTCGTTGTCCTTTGCCACACCTCTCTTCTAGATCCAAACAGCCCAGTTCTTCGTTTTCTACCCCTGACTCACCATGAAGTCGACAGTCCTTCTCCTGAGTGCCGGCCTGGCGCTGGCCAATGCTGAAGGCTTCTTCAACTGGCCCAACGCTGTTGTTACGGCTGCCGCGGGTGACGTTGTGGCAGCACGAGATGCCGCAGACCAAGATCAGGCTGACCTGGGCAATACCGGACTCGAGCTGAAGCATTGTTCGGGTGGCGGTTGCAAGTCAAATCCAACGTCAACAGTGACGAAAACTTGCAAGGAGTGTGTCACAGTCACAAATACCGTCACGATGAAGGTCCCAGACCCAACGACATTCGTCAAGACCAGAATGTGCACGACCACCATGATCCGTTCGCGGACGGTGACCAAGTGCATTGACCACACCAAAACTGACACCAAGTATTGTCCTGTGACCAAGACCTCCGTCCAGACGGTGACTATTGAACCCACCTGCACCCCAAGGCCTTGTTGTGATCGCTGCCTTGCCACTCAGTCAAAGTACGTTGTTGAGAATGGGGATGATTGTGAGAGTATTGCCGCCGTCTACAACACAACCGTTGAGGATTTGCAATTGACCAACACGTGGCTGAATGGTACTTGCAATCTGAATGCTGGTGACACTCTTTGCATCCCTCAGACCGCGACCGTCACTCAGCTGAAGCGTGACGTAGCGCACCATCATCATCATCACCATGACGAGGAGGACGGCGGCATGACTTGTGACGGTGAATGCCAGAAGAAGAAGAAGGAGCATCATCACCATCATGGTCACCACCATCACCACCACAAGGGTGGCAAGAAGTGCGAGTCTGATCGTGGCTGCGATGAGGACAAGCATCACCACCACGGCCATCATAAGCACCACCATCATCACCACAAGGGGGGCAAGTGCGGATCGGAGGGCGGTTGTGGTGAGGACAAGCACCGCCACCACCACCACCATGGTGGCCATCACCACGGCCACGATCACCACCACCATGAGCACAAGTCATGCGGTGAGCACCACGAGTGTGTCGCCTGCACAGTCCCTGGCTCTTGCCCTCGCGACGGCATTCACGCCGCGTGCCCTGACAACTACAAGTGCCAAGAAATTCAGGACACGGCAAACTGAGCGGTGTGGTCAATGGTGACTATTTTGTGACAGCCACTCTCTGTTGATGACAGCTATATTTGATTGTGCAACCTTGGCTGACCCCGACAACGCTGAGGGAACAAGGGGGAAAGCGTTGGTACCTGGTCTGTTTTCGTCTGTATCTTTGATCTCTTTTCGGTGTACATAATACCCTGGTGCGCTGGCGTGCCAAGCAAATACAACTGACAGTCAAACAATTTCTTTCGCTTCACGAGCGACATAGCGCAAGCACAAATTATTGGCACAGTGAAAATAAAATAGAACACTTTTTGTAGATAAAGCTCTTGTATAGCTAGTAAATAGGTGTATGCACCTCAAAAGGTGCCAGGGGTATTTGGATTGTAAACGAGAGGCGCATCCATGGGGGTATCTCTTGACTCATTTGTCCTGGGAGCTGTTATTGCAAGCGACCCTTACTCCTGCTCTTCCTCTCCTGATAGGTTGTGATTTCCCTTTTTTTGCATTCTTGCACCAACTAGAGTCATGAGCCAAGTCACAACATCTAATGCGTGGGCAGCTCGGCAGGGTGACGCTGATGCAGGCCCTCGGCGCCCAGCTCGGCCGAGCGCAGGCCAGCGGCCTTCTCGGGGTCGGAGGCGTCCTCAGGGGTCTTGGCCTGGACGATGACGCCACCGGCGACGTGGGCGTGGGTGCGGGGGCCGGTGTAGTACTTGCGGCCCTGGATGAACCAGTAGGCGGTGGCGACAAGAAAGACAAAGGTCAGGATGACGACGGCGTAGTTCATGGTGTCGGGGGTGACGGGGCGGACGGTGGGGAAGAGGAAGATGACGGAGACGAAGGAGGTCCAGAGGCAGGCCCAGAGGTTGACAAACTTGCTGGCGGGGCCGAGGTGCCAGGGGCCGGGCTGGAACTTGCCGTAGGCGAGCTTGCAGATGATGGGGATGCAGTAGCTCCAGTCGAGGGCGATGGCGCAGACGTTGAAGATGGCGGAGATGGTGATGTAGGAGCCGAGGCCGATGAGGTTGATGAGGATGCAGATGAGGGTGTAGAGCCAGACGGCGAGGACGGGGGTGTCGGTGCGGGACCAGATGCGGTACCAGATGCCGGAGCCGGGCAGCATCTGGTCGCGCGAAAAGGCCCAGACGGTGCGCGAGCCGGCCTGCAGCGCGGTGATGCAGACAAAGTTCATGATGAGGAAGGCGGAGACGGTGAAGAAGATGGCGCCGCCCTTGCCGATGACGTTGTAGAAGATCTGGGAGACGGGCTGGCCGATGGGGCTCGCGAGGATCTCGGCCGGGTCGCCCATGCAGAAGACGAGCACGACGTTGAACAGCCAGCCGACGACGTAGGTGAAGCTGAGGGCGAGGGCGATGGCCTTGGGCACGACGCGGGCCGGGTCCTTGGCCTCCTCGGCGATGTGGGCGGTGGCGTCGTAGTCGGTCATGGTCCAGGCGACGGACAGGAAGCCGAAGAGGAACGAGAAGCCGGGCGGGGTCCAGCCGGAGGTCGGGGTGACGTCGGTGAAGGCGTACTTGGCCGTGTGCTTGTCCTTTTGCATGACCAGCAGCGCGATGCAGGCGGCCACGAGGATGCCAATGTGGAAGACGGCGTACGTCTTGGCAAACTTGTTGAGCCAGTTGGTGGTCATGCTGTTGATGAGGGCGTGGAAGATGGACAGGCCGGCCATGACGGCGATGATGTGGCCCTGGGTCGGGAAGTAGGAAAAGTCGGAGCCGATGGACACGGCCGCCAGCAGCATCTGCGAGGCGCCGTACTCGGACGAGGCGCTGCCGCAGATCTGGCCGATGAGGTTCAGCCAGCCGTCGATCCAGGCGACCAGGGGCACGTGCTTTTCCGGGGCCAGGTACTTGATGGTAAAGTACATGGCGCCGGACGTCGGGTAGGCGGACGCGATCTCGGCAATCGAGAAGGCCAGGCACAGCGCGCCGATGCCGGCGATCATCCAGCACCAAATGGCGGACGCGGCGCCGCCGGCGTCCAGCGGGTACGAGAAGGTGGTCATGACGGTGCCAAACAGGCCCGAGATGCTGAGGGCAAAGCTGAAGCACGACCACATGGAAAAGTGGCGCTGGAACACGGGCACGTAGCCCATCTCGGCGAGGGCCTTGTCATCGGTGTCGTCGCCGCTGCTGTTGCCGCCCGTGTCGGGCTTCTGGCCCGAGCCGACGACCTGGGGGGGCTCGTAGGCCGCGTGCGACGGGACGACTTCGGGGAGCGTGGCCATGGTGGACGGGGAGAGGTGGAGGAGACGGGTACAAAACAGAAGAGGTGTAAATAAAAGATGGGGTGTAAATAAAAAAAGAGGTGTAAGTAAAAAAGAGGAGGCGCAGTGTTGGTGAGGATGTGGTCGTTGAATGTGTTGACAGTCGAATTATCTTGTCGACATCGGCGGCGGCGTGCTATCGTGAGCTGGCGTGCGAGAGAGGAGACGGAGAAGAGGGCGGAGGAGCCTTGCTTGCATGACCTCGAAGAAGACGAGAAAGCACGTGGAGGACTGCCGAGGACGGTCGCGAGGGGTGTAAACAAAAAGAAAAGGAGCAATGAGGGGTGAGGATCGTGAGATGAAAGAGTGAATGAAGAGGGGAAGAGTGAGAGAGAGTGAAAGAGGAAGAGAGGAAGAAGAAGAAGACAAAACAGCAAAAGAAAAACCAAGAGGGAGAGAAAGAGAAGAAGTAGGAGGAGAAAAGGTACAAGGAAGAAGCAATTCGGGGGGGGACGGAGTACTTTAAGAATGAGGACGGGGCAGTCGAGCCTTGCATGACTTGACAGTACAATAAGGACAGTCGAGTAGGGCCAGTAACACGGAAAACACTGGAAAAGAAATAATGAAAAGCCGCTCGGTATGCACTGAAGCCATGCATAGACGAATAAAATCGAGGCAAAACAGTAACAAAAAAATGAGACAAGCAACAAACAGGTCCAGCAACGACTGAGAAGACGCCATGATAACAAAAGCGGCCTTAGCGTGGGCGACGGTCGAAAAAGGGTCGCCAATTGGGCCATCTGCCATGTAACACCCCAACTATGACGCCCGCAGCAGCTGCTGCGACCCCACTGCTGCGACTCCAAACGACGGACCACAGCCGCCCCCATGCTTCTTTTTTTCTCTTCTGTGCGGTCCTAGTTGGCCCTAGCGGTATTAGTGGACCAATGGTCCCAGATAAAAATCGCCGTAAAGATCCCACTGTCGTTTTAGTGGATGTGCCCCGTCGTCGTACTTTATGGCGTGTGAATACGGCCTGTGGACCTTGCGAGATGACGGTGGCAAGGAAGAGCTGCGGGAGGTTGAGAAGGTAGAGAAAGAAACAAAAGACAAGATGCAGAAGACATAAGACACAAGACACAAGACACAAGACACAAGACAAGACAAACGAAACAATAGCTTCTGGTCTCTCGTCGTGGGCGTTGGATTGGTGGTGCGTCATGCAAAGAGACAGCCAGTGTGGCGCTTGAAAAAGTTTTTCCCTCCCCCGTTCTTTCTTGTCGTATTTCCTTGTAGTATTTCTGCCACGGCGTCGCATACCGTCTTCCAATGGAAAGCAATCTTGCCGGCCACGGGCAGGACTTGGGTTCAGGCAGGGAGAGAGCGGCGGCTGGGATACAAAGACACCTCTGCGGGACAAAGAACAGGGATTGAAGGTTGAAGAGAGGGATTGGCCCATTCGCCGTTTGGTAAATATTGTACTTTTGTAGTCCCGTTGTAACTCAACTTGTACTCTGTACCTGTTGCCCACTCCCTTTGTCGGTTGTCATCTCTTAGTTTTGATCGTGTTCTTCACGTCTTCTAGAAAAGTCAAAAGTAGCCTTCCCAAGGGCTCGGCAGTTTTCTCCACTGTTCGTAATTCGTACAGACAGACGACTTGCCCTTTTGCTTGTGATTGTCCTTGGCCCTGCCCCGTAACGGACCGTTGTTCCAATTCCTTGCTCCGTGCTCCGTGCTGGCGCCGTCGACGCGTTTCGCATCAAGACTTTGCTCGAGCCATCTTCATAGACGGATTTCGACGCATGAAGCCCGACATCCACCTTTTCCCGATGGACTCGGTTTGCCCAGTTGGATCGACTATGCTGGCAGCCATCGCCCGGATGTCCGCGTGCGTAGGACGGCGCCCAATCATGCCTTGCACGATGATCCAGCCACAGAGGTGTTTTTCTTGTTCTCTCGACAGCTTCTGATGGCTTTCGAACGCGTCCGATGCCGGCAACGCTCCGTTTCGGCGGCTTTTCAGGGTAGAGAAGGGGACCTTGTTCTGCTTGGCAGCCTGCCGCACAGATGCGCCGTTTTCGATCGCAAGAAGAGCGCGCTTGACGTCATCTTCGGTATAATCGCGCTGTCTCCTACAGACAATATTGTGAGAAACGCTGGTGGCAAATGACGCGCTCATCGTGGACTTACGGCATTTTGAAGCCGCTGCTTTTCCCGTGTTTTTGGTGATGTTTATGTCAAAATCGTGGGCGAAAAGTGGGGTGGATCAAGGTACTTCTGTCTTCTGTACGGAGTACTCTTTTTCTTCTCCACTGCCGTCAAGCTAGTCTGCCAGTGTCCCCCTGGGCAATGTTGGGCCTGTTCTCAGCATTTAGGCCTTGGCTTTTAGAAGGTTCCTTGGCCTGGGCTAAGCCCACAGGCCTTGCGAGGCGCCAAAAGCACTGAATTCAGCTTTTGCCAGGCCACGACTGGTATGACTGGACGTCGTATTTACAGTGTGGCCAACGGACGTCTCCAAATTAAATGAAACCGAATAAAAACTGGAAACAAGATAATGTTGGTCGTTCCTCGTATACAAGCATGCGACTGCAAATGTACGAGGCCATACAACTACGAGCGACGAGCATCCTCATAAGTCATGTTCGGCGTATCGTTTTGCACCGCGAAAAAGGCCCGTCTCGCAAAACAGAGCAGCGCAGGAACTACTAGACACTGTACGACGCCGACAAGGCCCTGGCAAGACCGTTCAAACCGCATCAGACACTGAAGAAGCAGAAAAGCTGGCACGAAAAGAGGGGCCGCAAAGCCCGTTTGCCGACGCCGGTTGCCGCGCTGGTTGCCGCGCCGGTTGCCGCGCTGGTCGGGTCGGTGTGCTGAACGAACGAAGCAGACAAGGGGAAAAGAGTGGAGAGCGGAGCGGTGGAGGCGGTGGGATGGTCGCAGAGAAGAAATTAGAGAGAAAAGAAGCGATGGAAAGCGAGGACTGCCAAGGCAAAGAGGGTCTGTGGCGAGCCATTCTGGCATTCTGGCGGTACCAGTGTACTTTTGGATTTACTGTCTAAGTACTCAGCAGTAACTTAGTTCCTTGTTGAGCCGAGGCGAGGCTACGAAAGGCTGATATATGCGAGGGTGCCTTTTTGTCATTCAGCCTGGCACGAGTCATGGCGATGAGTGTTTAGGAAGATGTGCATGACTGAAGCATCGCAAAGCACGTTTCGGTGTAGGAGAGACGATCAGCGTGAATGAAGTCGGGGCGACGGGTCAGGGAACAATCGCTCGGTCCTTTTGTACTTTCGGTCATGTATGTCTCCATCTCCATTTCTCCTTTTGCCGAACCTGCGACCCTACTTTTTTGACAGCGGTAGGAACTGCCTTGTTCAGACAAAAAGAGGCACAGAGGCAGCAAAGCAGGCGCCGATCAACGAAAAACCATCTCGAGAACCAAGACCAGCCAAGAGGCACAGTTGCCTCTTTGGGACTGGCCAACTTTTTGCTGGCCAAGGACACGAGAAAAGAAGAGAAGACAGGGAAGTCAAGGAAGATGTGCAGAAATATTTACAGAGAGTGAGTGAGATGCCTTTGCTGGGCGTTTCAAAGGCAATTCATAGAAGGGGACACCGAACTCCATCCTTCCATACACAAATGATGAGAGACATACGTCGTACCGAGTACGAACCACCGACTGCAAAACACGACAGGTCTGCAAAGCTAGTGATGTACAACGACGTAATGGCGGGGATCTGACGAAACCCGTCGAGGGCCGCTGCGGGACGCGGGAGAAACAAGGTGGTCTGTGGTGTTGCGAAAGAGACTCGCTGTCCAGACAGACGTGGTAAAAACTCTGAAAAAGAGTCGGTATTTTACACGCAACAATGGGGACCGCCACGACGGTGTGAGCGACATGTGGAACGCCTTCAGGTGGGGCCCTCATGTATCTCACACATACAAATTTGCAGCAGTCGATACGCCAGTTTCTCGGCTTCTGATTGGCGGACGCATGATCGGGTCGACCGATAAGGATCCACATACACAGCAACAACGCCTGTGATTGGCTACACGATTTCCTCTTGTTCTTCTTTTGAGCCTTGGTTTCCTTCACTGAGCTTTCTCCCTCTGTCCCCTTTTGTTTCCATTTTTCTCACTGCTTGTCATCTGCAGGCCGCTGTCCTTGTTCGACTCGTGGCCTCGACACGTCTGCGCTCGTCGGAGTATGCCGAGTTCACTACACGTTTGCAGCTGCGGCGTACATGTAAGATACTTACACCACGAAGACCTGTTCTTCCGAGCTCAACAGCAGAGAGAGCAAGTGTCGTGCTATTTAGCTACGCTCGTGGGTGACAGCCCATCCATTTCCTGGGCAATGGAATGGCCTGCGTGGAGAGCTTACGAAGTACTCAATAAGAGCTCCTAATGGACGTCGGTGGACGCCTGCATGGCGCTATTGAAATGAGAAGAGAAACGGGTCACAAGGATCACAGGGACCACAAGGCCGAAGGTCGCGTGTGGTCCTGCCATTTAAGAGACGAGAGAAACAGGCAGAAACGGGGGACCCGCCGATATCAGAAATTGTGTCGAAATTATATCGCATTACTCTAGATAAAGCTCGACACTCATTGTCTTCAACACTCTTCCGTCTCACCACGACCGAGTTACTGGTGAGAGTAGAAAAACACACGGCCGACAAAACACTTTTCAATACGGCGCAAAGGATCGCAAGGAGACAAGTTTCTTCCCTCCTTTTTGCTTGTCCTATCAAAGGCGAAAGCTGTCAACCGTCGAAAGTCGATCACGAGACATTGTCTCGATGGCACGATGTCTGTCGGTTGTGCTTTCCGCGTGGGGGAGTGGGGCCAGACACAGTTATCGCAGGCTACCCCGGAGCACCGTACGAGTCCGGCGATGAAAGCCCTCGGGACCTTCCTATTTAGGACAGCACCCTGCCCATTGGCTGCCAAGCGAGACGTTTGCTGCTCTCCTTCCCACCTGTCCCAAACCGCCTGCCACCAGCAACTGTCGTTCCT